CACAAAAAATATATATATGTATATTAGTGGAAGAGGTTTTCTCTTGGCCATAGTTTAGTGGTATCAATATGCATTGTTTCTATATGAATATAAAGGAGCAGACGTCTCTGCTTGGTTCAGCGAAAAAAATATAATTTTCATATGTGTAAATCGAAGTTTAAGTTCTGTAACACACTTCTAAAAGTACAATACATCGATGTGAATTAAAAGAAAAGGTAAGTGCAATGTGTATAAAGACAATAAATTTATGTTTTTTTGTGATTCCATAACGAATGCCAGCACAATTGTACGTAACCTATATTTCTTCGTAACGTTTTAAAATCAATTCAAAATTAGTGATTGGACACTCAATTTTGATCGGTTGTGGCCACACCTTGTTTGAATAATATGTCAAAATAATGTAGCACTGCTTTCTTCTAAAACCACTGCACATATATTATTAGTACTTAGGCCCACTTTAATTGCTTCGCAGCTGACTATGTTGAAACCGTTGAGCTTTCATACTCAATTGCTACCAGCGGGAATCAAATGGACAAAGACCCGACTGTTGGCCACGTCAAAGAAGCTCGGATAAAGTCACAGGATCACTACTTCTTTCATTTATCTGGGCCATTGTAAATTGTCAATCTAAAGTAGTCCAATGCAGAGCACCATTCTCACTTCTGAAAACGAGCTGACTGATTTGAAAAATAAGGCGACAAAAAACATCTAAGGCCTTGATGCTTGCGCTCCACATAATTAATTTTACCCGATAATTAAAATGAGTATTGGGGTATATTAGAATGTGAATGTGTGCAACGTCCAGAAGGAATCGTTACCGACTCCATAAAGTATATATATTTTTGATCAGCATCAATAGCCGAGTCGATTGAGCCCTGTCTGTCCGTCCGTCTGTCAAAGATACAATAAAACTGAAATCGCAGAATCGTAGAGGATGACTATATGTTCTAGAATGTAAAATCTGAACCAGAGCGTATCAAGAAAACAATTTCATTCTTTCTCGCTCTGTCTCTCTCTAACACAGAGGTTTCATGGTCGGTTGTTCCAATTGCAAAATGTAAATTCTAGGATCTCAGAACCTATAAGAGCTAGAGCAACCAAATTTGGTATCCACACTCCTATGATATCGGACCTCGGCCGTTTCGTGTCAAAATTTCGCCACACCCCCTGGGGCATCCACAAATCTCAGAAACTATTAAGGCTAGAGTAACCAAATTTTGTATCGGCATTCCTGTTAGATCTCACTAAAAAACTTATATCTCAAAATTTCGCCCCACCGCTTTCCGCCCCCACAAAGAACGAAAATCTATTGCATCCACAATATTGCAGATTCGAGAAAAATAAAAACGCACAATCATAGAGAATGACCATATCTATCCGGTTGCTGAATCTGGATCACATCGGATCATTTTTGTAGCCAAAAGGAACAAAAATTCCCCCTCGTTTTTTTCCGCTCATACAAGTTTGTACAATTTACACAAAAAATAAAAACCATTTCCTGCCTAAAACATGAGCTGAAATATTATATTATATTATATACTCTTCGAATATCGACTATAAAAAAAGGCAAGTGCTTCCGATTCAACTTGAAAGGTCCACCCCAAACGCAATGTTTTGGGTACAGTCACACCGATATAGAGGCATGTTTTGATGGTGCTACTCGAGTGATTCTCTAATTTGTTTGTTAACTGAGAGGATTTCCCACCCGTAAACAGATTGGACTCTTTCGCTGTTGCTCTGCGCTCTCCGGTCGGCACTATCTTGCACAGCTGGGGAAGGCAACCGCCTTATCAGTTGGAGTGGCCTAGGAAAGGCAGATAACTCTAAGCTTCAATGGACTATTGGCTGGCGGTGTTAGATTTGGATATTTTGCCTGGCGCGGCGCTCAGTTGTTTCCTGAAAGTGCGCTTGTCCGAAACAGACGTAAGGTTTTATTTGCCCCAAAATGAGCTGCGGCACGAAGACCTTGAAGATATCCTCATTCGTGTTGGACTTTCTTTGCTGTGTGAGTGTGTTATCGCCAAATCCCCAAACTGATAGTCATCACTTACTCATTCTGTCTCCACCTAACAGGTGCTGGCGGCCCTGACCATCGTAGCATGCTCCTACGCCTTGATTGCCTTCAGCCATAGTATGGCCATTCGGGTGCCCTGCATTGTGGGGATTGTCCTGGGGGCCCTCCTCTTTGGCAGCACTATCTTCGGCTGCATTGCCGCTCTGAGGGAGAGCATTCGTCTGACTTGGATTGTAAGTGGTGATCGCATTTTTTTGAACAATTACGAGTACGATTTGTACAACCTTTCGTCTATTCCTGAAAGTACGCTGCGATTCTGATGGCTCTGGTATTCGGGCAGATAACCGTGATATTCGCCCAGCCCATTAACTTCGAGCTACTGGCCAATGAGACCATCTACAGTGCCTGGCAGGGCCAGCTGTATCACCAAGGCAGCATGTCCTATTATGAAATTAAGGTACGCTCGAATACCGATCGGGTCCAGTTTTAATCAGATTCCATTCCTTTTCAGTATCATTGCTGCGGAATGACTGGGCCCTCGAACTATCCGGACAGCGGCCTACGCATTCCGCAGAGCTGCTACTTCAACCAGAACTCAACAGTAACCACAGATCTCTACACAGTGGGCTGTGACCGACAACTGGGTGCAGCATTTATTAAGGGCACTCGCTGGGAACGCATCAGCGACTGGTCAGTTGTGGGTGTGGAAGTAAGTGTTCATAGTTCCTAAATGAAATCAATCTCTGAACTACTTCTCAATCCGATTTTCAGATGCTTACCGTAATATTTGCTGGTCTTTTGGCCATAACCTTACAGAATGCAGAGCGCCGACGTCCGTATCGTTAGAAGCTCGTCTTGAATACATCTGTAAACAGTATTAGAAGCTGTACAAATATGTTGACCCAATATGTTTAGTACAAACAAAATTTACAAAACTCGAACTAAGAACTTTGTATTTCAATTAAAAATGTTTAATGCAGTTTGAGTATTGATAACTGCGCGCCACAACAAGCCAGGGCCGCATTTGAACTATTAGAACCACATCAACTGACCAGGGCGAGCTAGAGGAACCAGTCGAACTAACAATCCAAATAATCGTTGAAAACAAAAGCCGTTACGTATCTTTTTCCTAATCGGATCGAATAAAAATCTACCGTCCCCAGATGTTATAGAAAAATTCCAACGAATCGACACGGAAAATTTGTTACAGTGCAAATCACAAGGAGTAATTTATCATGGCCGAGGCAGGGAAGAAGAATAAATCCAGACTGTCGAACACAGCCGACAGCCTCGTATGGGATATTAAATCAACAGAGTATCAACCGTTCCACTGCACACATTAATGAAAAAAAAGCTTATTAAATTGCACAATTTCAATGGGTGATTAATGATCAGACGTTGATCATAGATTCTTCTAAAACACTACAGAAAAAATTGTGAGATATGGTTAGGTTTCGCTAGACCACCGAAACCTTGACATGGCGATGTTAAAAAAGGCTTTAACTCATTGTGATCCTGTATTTTTTCAGATTGTTGTTAGATTGTTATCTCAAGATTTATATGGCCATATCGATCGAAGAAGCGACCAGCAGAACTGTATAGACTCAGCAGAGCACAGTGCTCTGCCGTTACTCGAGCCATCACGGGACACTGGCAGATCGGCACTCATGCCTCTAGACTGTCAATCCCTCATAATGACTTCTGCAGGAGGTGTCGCGACGAGGAAGAGGAGAAATCAGTCCCCCACTTCTTCTGCCATTGCCCGGCCCTTGGAAATCGTCGTCTTCGGATTCGCGGGGCCGCTTTCAGCACGGACCTTTCGGACCTTCCCGAAATCAAACCAGGACGGACTGGTATTCAGACTTGATATTGATTAGATACTTTTAATATGTAATTTATTGTTTAAATATATCGCACATTAACGGAACCGATTTTGGTGTAGTGTAGCGGTTTGAAACGGTAACGACGCTATTTTTTCTATCGGACATTAAAAATCATCAAAAATGTTCCATGCACAAATGTTGCAGCAGACTGGTGGGCCTGACTCATATGCCGAAAAATCGAGCCCCGGAACATGGGCACCATTCTGCATACCCTAGGAAAAAGAATATTATTGAATTAAGGGTATGTTTGTCATCCCAGGTTTCAGTGATGCCAGAAACTAGTCAGTATCTGTTTTTAATCTATCACAAAGATATTTCGCACTTGATTGTCTTTTTATGGAGATCAAGAATTAGCATCGGGATCAAGATTTATCCAGGAAACTAATCACTAATCAGTCTAAAAGTCTAATTTAACGTTTAATAATTGGGTTTTAAAAACAGTTTGAACTGTAACATTATCTGCAAATCAAACAAAATATTAAAGAAATAGGGTATAAAATTACCCCATACACTCCGGTTGATAAGCAACAAGTCTTCAAATACCAGCAACATTTATTTGACAACACTGGGACTGTTTTTTTCTTAACACTTTTTGTTTAAACCTTGTTTTAAGACACAATACAATAAAAGGTAGTATTTAAAAGTAGCTAATCCTGTAGAAAATGTATTCATCAATGGCTTAAAATTATATAGGCAGAGCTAAGAGTCTTGGTTAGCCATCATTATTCAACGGAATATCCAAATTGATCAGTAGGAACTATTTTTCTCTTACGTTTTATTTGCTTGACCTTTTTTGCTGAAACCTATTTTTAGACAAAATCCAATAAAAGCAAGTATTTAAATTAGTCCAGTCAAGTGGTAAATTGATTTATTAATCGGTTAAAATTATGTGGGCAGGGCTGAGGGTTCTATATAGCTTGTAATATTCCACGGAATATCAAAAACGAGTAATACGTAAAATATATCTTGAATTCGTCGGTATATTTACGGTATATTTTGAAAATGGGACGGTATATTTTGGTGTATTTTTGAATGTCAGTCGGTATACTTTATCAATGGGTCCGCGGTCACACTGAAGGAATGTTTTGGTCAACGTATTTGCCGTAATTTCTAAGTAAACAAATGCCATCCGAGAACAAGCGAAATGTATTCATAAGCCATAATCAGCACAGTTTGCAAATTGGAACGCGTACGCGGCGCGTATTTGAAAGCGGCCGAATTGTTCCAGCGCCACAATTTGCGTCCAGCGAGGGGTGCATGTCGGGTTCCGGATCGTAGGGTATTGACTTGGCCAACAACAAATAACTTGATTAGTTGGCACCAAACAGTGCTGGCGATCACATCTCAAGCTGAAGACGGACAGCGGTCATTAACACGCTTTAGGCCCAGAAGCACCAGCCGCAGTAGCAGCAGTGGTAGTAGAAGACAATCAATTCACGGAGAACTACAACAAGAACAGCAACATTAACGATGGGTCTGCGCTTTCAACAATTAAAGAAACTGTGGCTCCTCTATCTGTTCCTACTGTTCTTTGCATTCTTCATGTTTGCAATTAGCATTAACTTATATGTGGCAAGCATACAAACCGCTGATTCAGAGCTGCGGTGAGTAACCAACACAACGACACCAAAAAAATAATCATTTAGGATGGAGTGCAGCAGACCTCTATGCCACCTCCTCCTCCGGCTGGCATTGCATAATTTCCTTTGGAGCCCACGTCTGGCCATGTTGCAAGTGACTGGCTGTTGTTGTTCCACTCGAGCGGGTCGCCTCGACTTTCGGTTTTCGGTGTTTTGGTGTTCGGTCTTCAAACCACTTTGCATTTCTTCTTGTTTGTTTTGCCATCGCCTCGCGTGATTCGAGTTATTGTAAAATGCTAAATTTAATACCATTGTCACATCTTTGTCTATGCCTTTGTGGATCACTTGCCCTCGGATTGCCGCGTATCGAATCGGATCGCATTGGATGGGCTGGTGCTTTAATGGGTTTCTTGCAAAGTCATCCGAAACCGCCGCCGAAACGTCGCTCCCTCTGGCCGCATAAAAGTATCGTGGCCCATTATATTGGCAAGGGAGACATCTTCGGCAACATGACTGCAGGTGAGTAGACATCAAGCATCTCTCATCACCAATGTCACAATATGCAGACATAAATAAATAAATGAATGTATAAATCTATTCATTGGCAGACGATTACAACATCAACCAGTTCAAGCCTGTCCCTGGCGAGGGAGCCGACGGGCGACCCGTTGTTGTACCGCCCCGCGACCGCTTTCGTATGCAGCGCTTCTTTCGCTTGAACAGCTTCAACCTGCTGGCCAGCGATCGTATTCCCCTCAATCGCACTCTCAAGGACTATCGTACCCCGGAGTGAGTGCGACCTGCCCTCAAGGGAATGCTCTCCATCTAAGACAGTACTTTCGTTGTAGATGCCGCGACAAGAAGTATGACAGTGGCTTGCCCAGCACTTCGGTGATCATTGTGTTCCATAACGAGGCCTGGTCCGTCCTGCTTCGTACCATAACCAGCGTCATCAACCGCTCGCCCCGCCATTTGCTCAAGGAAATCATTTTGGTTGACGATGCCAGCGAGCGCTGTAAGCAAGGCTCTCGGTAGTCCAGAAGACCGAATAACACCAATTTTGGTTTTCTCTTTCGCAGCTTATCTGAAGCGTCAGCTGGAGAGCTATATACGGGTTCTGACGGTGCCCACTCGGATCTACCGCATGAAAAAGCGCAGCGGTTTGGTTCCCGCTCGCCTCCTGGGTGCCGAACATGCCCGCGGAGATGTACTAACCTTCTTGGATGCCCACTGCGAATGCTCGCGTGGCTGGCTGGAGCCCCTGTTGGCGCGCATTAAGGAGGCACGCAATGTGGTCATCTGTCCAGTGATCGACATAATATCCGACGACAACTTCAGCTACACGAAGACGTTTGAGAACCATTGGGGTGGCTTTAACTGGCAGCTGAGCTTCCGCTGGTTCTCTTCGGAGAGGAAACGCCAGACTACGGAAATCACAGCCAAGGACTCCACGGCCCCCATAGCTACTCCTGGCATGGCTGGCGGTCTGTTCGCCATAGATCGCAACTACTTCTATGAAATGGGATCATACGACAGCAACATGCGTGTTTGGGGCGGAGAAAATGTCGAGATGTCCTTCAGGATCTGGCAATGCGGCGGAAGGGTTGAGATCAGCCCCTGCTCCCACGTGGGTCACGTATTTCGCAGTAGTACGCCCTACACGTTTCCTGGCGGCATGAGCGAAGTGCTCACAGACAATTTGGCTAGGGCTGCCACCGTCTGGATGGACGACTGGCAGTACTTCGTCATGCTGTATACTTCTGGACTATCGCTGAGTGTCAAGGATAAAGTTAACGTAACGGAACGCGTGGCTCTGCGGGAGAAGCTGCAGTGCAAGTCGTTTGCCTGGTACTTGGAGAACATTTGGCCGGAACACTTCTTCCCAGCACCCGATCGCTTCTTCGGCAAGATAATCTGGCTGGATGGAGAGACGGAGTGCGCCCAGGCCTACAGCAAGCACATGAAGAATCTTCCGGGACGTGCCCTGTCACGGGAATGGCAGCGTGCCTTCGAGGAGATAGAAAGCAAGTCGGAGGAGTTTATGTCTCTGATCGATCTAGAGCGGGACAAGTGTCTGCGTCCACTGAAGGAGGTTGCGCCGCGTTCCTCTCTACAACCCGTCACAGTGGGCGACTGCACGTCGCATGCCCAGACCATGGACATGTTCGTGATCACCCCCAAGGGACAGATTATGACCAATGACAACATCTGCCTGGCCTACCGCCCACCCAAACAGGGAGTGATCAAGCTTCTTAAGAACCGCAATGCCACTACCTCAAACGTGATGCTGACTCAGTGCGCCGGTGATGCCAGCCAGCTTTGGAATTACGACATGGATGTGAGTGGACTAAAGCGAATGAAGCAATGCTGTTTATACCTACTAATCCTTTTTCTACTGACCGCAGACCCAGCAAATCTCGCATCGGGACACTAAGCTGTGCCTCACACTCAAGGCGGCTACAAATGCACGACTTCAGAAGCAGGAGAAGGTGGTGCTCTGCATGCAGTGCGACTTCAAGGATATCACACAGAAGTGGGGCTTCATCCCACTGCCATGGCGTTTATAGGACGAGGAATGGAATGGAAGAGCTAGGAATGCCAGGACATGATCCAATTACCCTGCCAGCAACTCTTTTAACACAATGTGATATTTATTGAAATTTTTGAACGGGGCGCCACTCGTTGTGTTCTTTATTTAAACATGAAACAAACCAACACAAATTGCCGACATATTCAGATTAACACCACCACCACCGGGGTGGTTCACCCGAACCACGATACAGACCCACAGGATTGTTTGTGAAACATTTTATGTATCCAAATACGCTCGAGAGTTTGTTTTTCTCTCGAGCCATATTGCGACGCGATAGAACTTTAGATCTACTCGTATTCTATGTCTATGTCATATTTATTAAGCAAGTTTTTAGACAATTTTTAGCTGTACAGAAGTACGGAAGTACTTACTACCATCGAACACTTGTATATGTCACTTGAATAAACCCTCTGATTGTAGAAAGTGTCGCTGCACTTTTTCCTTTACGAGTTTTTGTTCTGGCTTATCGCTTGCCTCTTGTATAGATTGCAAATTGCTTAAATTCGGCGCATCTGCTCGAGATTCCAGCATTCTCGCCATGAACCGCTGCTACAACACAATCAAGCTTTCGGGCCTGCTCGGAAATCTGCTCTATATGGTAAGCTACTGAATCTACACATATTTATTTCTGACTAAGATATTCTCTTCTCCCCCAGCTGCTGGGCATTGGTGTTATGTGCGGGGCAGGACTGGGCCTCCAGGCAGCAGAGCCCAATACGCCGGAGCACACGTACTTCGTAAAAAGCTTGGTTCTTGGGGGAACAATCTGCATGATCGTAATGTTCGGCTGCTACGGCCTGATCTGCAATCTCTTGTGTGTCAATTTAATCGTAAGTACGCTTAAGATCCGCCAGAAACCCAACTGAAATAACTATTCGCCTGCAGTTCACACTGTTTATACTGATTTGCCTGGGTGCGGAGTACCTGCAGCTGCATCACTACAACAATCCGTCGCATATAGCTACCGACAGTGCCTGGCACCAGCTGGAGCTGGCCTGGCATGGCCTGGACAGTCGACCGGAGCTAATGCATCAGTACGAGGCCACACAGCATTGCTGCGGCTACAACAATTCAGACGACTACAGGCAGTTGCATTTGCTGGTACCCGCGAGCTGTTATCAGGCCACTTCCAATGACACCTACCAGCAGAAGCATGTCTATCCGCGCGGCTGCCTGGAGACTTTGAGCAACAGCCAGCGCTATATACAGCATCGCGATAAGCTCTTCATGTGGTCCATCGTTGGCCTTGAGGTGGGCAATTGACTGCAGCTGTCAGACAAATAACACTGCCTCTGTACTCCTCCCATAGATCTTTATTCTGCTGCAGACAACCGCCCTGAGTGTCGTGCTCTTCAAGCTGCGCCAGCGACAGCGTCTCGCCCGTCGCCAAGTGCCGCCTGGTGTTAGACGAGAGCCGCGCTCCAACCATGTAACCGGCTCACGGGCACAGCTGCTGAATGATGCCGATGTCTGATGTTAGATTTTATCAAATGTTTCGTTCATTATGTTTTATTATGTGACTATGTTGCAAATGCTTCTGTGCGAGTATGAATAAGTGTGTGTGGATCAGTAGGCATATCGGCGTGTCTTGTTGGTCAGCTGACAGCATAGCGTGATGCCCAATATGATGCCCACAAGCTGCAAGAGACAGAAAGGGAAGTATTAATTAATAATCGGGGCCGAGAGTATCGTGCAGTGAATACCTCGTAGCCAATGAGTCCACAGTGGGCCCACTTCTCATAGCGGTAGATCTGGAGGAAGGCTCGCTTCACGGCCGCCATGCAGCCCTCCGCATAGGGATGCAGGGCGTGAAGGCCGTCCCTGGTATGGAAACAGCTGGAGGGCACCTTGATGTTCAGGCTCGTGTAGTCCCCGAACCCCTTGTTGCCGCAGCATTCGAACTAAATTCATGGAAATTAGACCGTCAGAAGAGTTTTCCCAGATGGGTATACAATCAACAACTCACCTCTCGCTGCAGCTGCTGAATGGCGCCCTGATGGACTAGCTCCTCCATCCACAGGGCCATGACGTAGACCTCGGTGGCGTCCAGCTGCTTGTTCTCGTTGTAGTGGGAGAGCTTCCAGATGTGCGACACAATCAGGATTCCCAACAGAGTCAGGTGCTAAAACTTGTTCCCCTTGCAGTTGACTTTTTGTATTGAAGCCTAGGACAGCTGATACTCACCACTACCAGGACCTTGATGGAGCCCAGGAAAGCGCCGAGGCATCCAATAAAGGCTGCCAAAATCAGAGTCCCCGCCATGCCCAGCTGCACGAACTTTTGCAGATGCTCGGCGGAACCCTCGTCATACCTATCCAGCTCGTAGACACCGGCCAGGGCGGCCAGGATGCCGATGATCTAGATGATGATTAAAAATAAATATATATGCACATTAACTATTTGTTAATGGGCCGTGAAATGGCCAAACAAAATAGAAAAAAAATCTTTAGAGACAAAAGTTCGCTATGTAGGCGACGTCATCGGAGCGCGAGAGAAGCGAAAATACAAAATAGAAGAAAATATTGGCATAAAAATAAATTGAATTACTTTGGGCTTTATTTTTAAATGGCATATACACAGATCTCTCTCCGATTTCTTTCGTTTCAAATGTGCCAAAGGAACCACAAGCGCAAAATGAGGAAAAATGAACGCCAAGTGACATGTTGTCTGGCAGAAATGGAAAATTCGGAATGGAGTGGGATTTGTTTGCTGCCAAATTGGCCATCTACACAGGCAGCGGCAGCCCAAAACGAAAAAAATTACATTCGACAATGAAAAATGCCACAAAATGTAAGAAATTAAATGATTTCGCTTTGACGGCCGACGGCCGAGATGAACTCGGATACAATACAATCCATTACTCATTCGCCGTGTGAGTCAATGAGCGGAACATAGTACATATTTATTCTCAATGAAATGATTTACTACATGCCACTGCTTAGCACTTAATTTATGTATTTCAATTGCTTGCACACGAAAATTTGTGATCGTAAATAACTCAAGCGCCGTGTGGAGCGACGAAACTCTTACCAAAGTAATTGTATTGAAGACCACCGCAGTCCATTGCAGGCACACGCGAATGGTCGGCATTCTGACACCTCTATTACCAATATATCACCCTCGTACGAGCTATAATAATTATATTTTCAACACTGTGAAGGCACAACACTGCGACTCCAGCTGCACACGCTTTTCTCTCGGGGGAAATTCGTTTTCCACTCGCGTCCGACTGTTTCCGACGCGCGCCGCTTGTGACCCAAACTGTTAATGCCTTCGGCTGCCGCGAAGAGAACTCGTTCAGCCCAAAGCAAAATAAAGCCAAAACCCAAAAAACGATCACTAAGAAGCAGCGAAATGTTTACAAATCCGCTGAGTGGCTGTCCGTGCCGTGTCCGCGTCCGGGTTGGGGTCCGTCTTGGTCTCCGCCTCGGTATTTTGTGTGTGCCGGTCGTTACTCGTAGAGTCCGGCGCTCATCTTCTTTCCCACGCGCGTCCCGACGAGTGGCCGAGATTTATATTTTTATTTGCGTCTTTATAGGCAGACATATACTCGTACTCGTACATCTATCTACTTAGTCGCATCTCTGATATTCCGCATATAGTTGGCAAAAATAAAATTAATCGAATATTTCTGGTTGTTCTTATTATTTATTCTACGTATTTGCTGCCTATTCCAGATCCACGGGGGGTGGCTGGCGTACAGAAGTGTTTGTTATGGGTTTGTTTGCTCCCATCGGTTCCAGGCCATGGCTGGGGCAGGTGCATCGCCATTCGGGAAACCTGTTAGAATCTCTCGCGCCGCAATTTGTTGCGCACCGTGATGCCCAAGTGTGTAGCGGCTCCCAGGGCGGCGAACTGTGTGATGGTATTGGAAGATTTGATTAGAAAACCCATCTATATCTGGCCTGGAAGCTATTTCCGGCCCGCCCTTGACTTGCTAAGCCCCATGTAATTTATAATCGAGGCTGACAAGAGACTCACCTCTACCACCAACAGCAGCCACTTGATGACGAGACCGATGGCCACGTTGTCGTTGGCATGGGCCTGGACAGCCGCCAGACAGCCCTCGGTGAAGAGGTTGTCCTGCTGCCTGTCGAAGTTCCTGTAGCAGTTCGTGGGTATTCCCCTGCCGAGCAGTATGTAATCATGGGCACCGACCTGACCACAGCACGAGTACTGAAAGGGAATCCAATTCCATTTCATGTGTGAGTTCGTTTATGGACACTTCTCCCCACTCACCTTCTGCTCGATGAGGGAGAGGCGCTCGACATTGGTTCTGGGATCTGACCAGAGGGCCAGGAACTCGCTCCGCGACCTCTCCACATAGTTCGTTGAGTGGGCTGCAGCAATGATGTAGATCTGCAGGCAGAGCAGGATCAAGAGGCAGATCACATACTGGGAGGAAGGGAAAGATAATGTCAGATGTGATCATTGCTTAAGGAGCCTTTATTTACAGTCCAAACGAGTCCCAGGGAGACCCGGGCCGTGGCAAAGCAGCCAAGGAACGAGGTCAGTATGACGAAGGAGCCCACAAAGATCTGGATGACGATGGCAATGTGCTCGAAGGTGCCTGGCGTGGAGCTGTTCAGCTCATACACAGACAGCGCAATCAGTGTCACGCCAATTAGCTGTCGAAAGAAACGCAGTTTCGAAGGAGCCCTCTCAGATATTATGCATACGCACCGATAGCAGGACATTGAGAATGATGAGAAGTGTTTTCAGAAACGACACGCGACAGGCCATGTTGCAAGACGCTCCAGAAGGATAAACAATCAATAAACGCACCAATTACTTATCGCTTTATCCGTCCTTCCTGTCCTTTTTCGTTTTTCCGATGCGCAGTTAACTAGAAGCGGTGACCAGCGGGGACACGACCAGGCAATGCTCAGCTGAACGCAAGCCCTTTTCCTATAGACGTTGACGTTCGACTGAATGGGACGCATTCTATTCGAAATTATGGCGCCCCCCGAGGGCCAGTTGGTGGATTCCACCGCTCGTATAAAATCAACGAATCCCATGGCTGTTCTTGTTGCTGCTATTAATGTTATTGTCGGGTGCTTTATGCGCGGTGGTGGTGGTGTGGGTGTGGGTGGGGGTTGCGGTGCTTCTGTCATAGATTTTTGGGTGGTATGATGTCACAGTGCTTCGAAAGCTTTCTTCCGCAACGCACCTAAGGAGTATTGAGGCGCAAAAGCTTTCTCATATATATCGGAGAGGGGATACGGAAGCGGATTTCAGGACATCTTTGTAGGATTTATAGCCATTTCCCGACACCCATTTACCTAATTATTATGCAAACTCTGGCCTTGGCATTCCCAGCAACAAGTTGTCTGTCTCTGGCCAAAAATTTCGGCATTTAAAGCTCACAGGGGCCTCACGTCGTATGCTTAATGTTTCCATCAAGTTATGAAAACAAACAAACGCCAAGCGATGAAACGTTTTTAAACAGACACAGACACATTTATTTCGATAATTATAATGGATAATTGGACTATATGATGTACTTAATTAGAGGAAAGGTTTAGGTACGAGTAAATAATGAATGACTTTGGTTTTTGTTGTTGTTATGTTTGTAATGAAATGCCTAGGCGGGAATTACTTGAGAGACCCAAAGTCCGAAGCATTTGTACTGTGGGATCAGGTCGATTCTGGGCCATCCTAGAACTGCAGGCGGCGCTGCTTGTTGCGGAAGCTAATGGCTAGAAAGACGGCCAGGACGAAGCAGAGCAACTGCAAAGGAAATTAAAAGACGAAACCGGTTAGATATGATTTTTAGAAGGCAAAATAGAGGATGTAGGCCCACCTCGAATGCAACCAGAACCCAGGACACAATGATGAAGCGCTGCTTGTCGCTCTCATAGAAACTCTGCACCTTCTCGATGCAGCCCTCTAGAAAGAGGTGGTCGGTGGTCTGCTGAAGATCGGCGTAGCAGCTGGGCGGGATAAGCTGGTTAAGATGCACATAGTCCTGGGCGCTGCTCTTGCCGCAGCACTCGTGCTTCTGCTGCAGTGCGTCCATGTTGTTGGCCTGCCAAGCCACCTCCACCGTCTCCTGTCCACTTTGCACCTCGTACTGATGCAGCAGCATGCAGGTGCTCACGATCTGCGGTATGGCCAGTACCAGCAGGAACACGGCACTCTAGGGATTGAAAGGAACATTAATCCTTATTCAGAGACTTCCTGTTGAGATTACTCTGAGCCCCTTACCGTTGCAGTCAGGGCCACCGACTCTCGGATGGCCGCCACGATGCCCAGCATGGCGAACACGAGGATCAGCGAGCAGGCCACATAGGCGGCGATGACGAACTCCTCGCTCTCGGTGTCCGCATTGTAAGCGATCCATCCAATGGAGCCCAATGCCAGAAGCTGAAATAAATTATGGGATGATGCAATTCCAATTGCAGTTTCAGTGGCAATCTATTTGTATGACAATTAACACCAGCAACAAAGGGCATCCAGCCATCCCGTCCATTATTTATCGCTTGGGGAAGTTCGCCTGACTGGTCTGTGATAAAGATTTCCCCGCGCTCCAGATTTCTCTGCTTCCCTGTTTCCCTTCTCTGTTGCCATTTCGGGGTGGCCAACCCTTGTTCTTGTTGTTTTTCGTATGATTCGATTTCGCTATATAGGTCAAACTATAAACCAGAGTGCGGGGTTATCCGAGTATGTACACACATACACATGTACATTGGCATGACATCATCATCCTGCGGGAACGGAATTGGAACAATTGAAGGCTCTGGCTGGGTCCGTCTGGGAATGGCCTAAACCGTAAACAAGTTTTCCATGGCAACCGCAGGGAGGGAAGCGAAGAAGGCAGGGTGGTCAGGGTAGTCAGGCGGCTGCCACCTTGAGGCCATCATTCAGGTGTGCTCGCGACTGACAAACACGACAGAAATCGGTTAAAAATACACCCGAAGTAGAATGAAAACATTCAGCTAGTATATGCTCTGAAGCTCTCCTCCGCCGAACACTAGTCCGTACATATAGGAATAATTTTTGAGAAAAAATTCATTTTGAGGCTGTTTTTGTTGGACTTTTGAAGTGCGTTCACTTGTCCCCCATGACATCATGCTAATTTCCTTGCTCAAATGTAATACTCATACATACATATATATGTACATATATCATATATACTCGTATGTACTTGCACTATACATGATTCTGTTGCTGCTGTTATGGCTAATTGGTATTCCTTATAGGAAATGATGACTTACCCCTAAAATGGCATTCAGTATAATGGAGGTGATCTTAACGCTGGTCGTGGCACAGCCCATGTTTGTAGATCTGGAAAACCGACTTCTGGAATTACCTGCAAAATTCGCTCAAGAAGGTCTCTTCACCTTGCTGTTGTTGTTTGTTTCTCTCCCCCTCTCTTGCTGTTTGTTTATTTACTTTCACGTTTTTCTTTTGGCTTGTTTTTCCGAATTGAATTTACAGCGAAATAAATTTCCGTTAAATGTTCTTTCGGGATTTCCGCTCTCCAAAAAGTCGTCTCTTGCTTGTGGCACGTTCTGCGTTCGTTTTTGAACTGAAAGCGGGAAAAGTTTTTGTCGTTCTCTTTTGCTTTTTCTTCCGCCATCGCAATCAAAATAAAACCGTAAGAGAGGGTGGTGCGGGAGAGCGAGGCAAGCGCACACACTCCCACACACAGGCGCCCACCAGCTGGGAGAACGATTGAGAGAGCGCGTTGCACTCACTTCGGTCAGCGCATGGTGTATTAAGTTGAAGGTAAGTCAGACAACACAGCGGCCTGTGTCTCGGTTGCATTCAAGAGAGAGAGAGAGAGTGACAAGCAAACCGAACATACTTTCGGTCACCGCTCCAAGCAATGACGTCACATGCTCCCTCTTAGCCAGTGCTGTGACTTTGACTTTGCTTTCGTGACTTGGTCTTCAAGATCAGGCAGATTGGGGGACAAAGAAAATGCAAATTTAATCAACAGATTGCTCAAAATTTGATTAAACTGTTATTGTTGCTCCGCATTCCCTGTCTCTGCCTCTACCTCTACCTCCCTTCTCCTGACAGCCACCTCTTCTTTGGTCTGAATCCTCAACGACATAAATTTGTCAATAATCCAGTGACAAGCTCTGTCTCTCTTTCTCTTTCTTGTTTTCTCTCGCTGTATTGTTTAACAGTTTTTTTTCGAGTTTACTGCGAGTTTACTGTTGTTATGTCTGGAGTTGCGCATTTCTCCCTCCTCACTCCACTGTCCCCTAGACACGCACAGACACGAACACACAGAATTTTTTTTCGAGCTTAATTATGTTTGGGTCTGACTTTGGTTTCATTTTTTAGCTCTTTTTTGTGTCCACATACAGTTGGGGTCACAATAATATGCATGAACAGTATCCAATCCATTATATGAAGCCAAACCGTCAAGAGCAGATCACTGTTGGGACGATTGGTCAAATCATAAGCCTCTGTGGAAAATCAAATATTTTTAGTTGCAGCAACAAATTTTCAAAAAGTAGAGCTCAATACATTCAATCGCTAGTTCTCCTGGGGCCTGCCCGGACTATTCCCTATACCTTTTCAATAGTTTTCGAAACATTTTAGCACTGCTATTTGGCTGACCGCTGCTGTTTGTCCGTCTTAAGTACGCGTCATTGATTTGAAGCGCAGAGTCTTTGCTTTCCAATCCCAATGGGATGACGATGTCGAAGATGAAGAAGAGGCTAAGCAAATTACACTGCTCTCCGAAACATGGGTATTTGTTTGTATGAATTGTATATTTAAGGCAACTTCAATTGCTTGGCAAGTGGAACACATACACAGCGCTGTGTGCTGTGGCTCTAAGCAAGGTACATCGGTGTGACTTACAAATGAGACTGGTAAATGTTAAGTAGATTGACTTGCTTAGGTGCTAAATACATATACATATGTGTACGTGTTAATAGTTATAGCGTCGTCGGCGATTCGTGTAGTGTATGGCCAAGATGATGGCCAGTGAGAGAATAACAACCTGCAAAGATAACGACAATTTGTGAGCGTTTCTCCTGTGGGAAGTGGATTGAATTCCATGGCAGACTCACATCGAAACCGAGGAGACCCCACTCCAGGTAGCGCGATGTGGTGGCCTCGTCGGAGAAGGCCTCCTCCACCTTGCTGATGCAGCCGACCGCATAGAGATTCAAGGGATTCACACAGTTGTTGTCCTTGCAGCAACTGTTGGGAACACTTGCGTTCCAGTAGCTGATCTCCAGATAATCCTGGGCACTATTTCGCCCACAGCAGGAGTACTGTAATAGAGGAAAGCTTTGACATTTTTCTACAAAAAAGTGGGTTTCCACGACTCACTGTCTTCTGGATGAGATCCATGCTGCCCGGCTGCGTCTGTTCCAGCTGCCAATGATCCTCAACCGTCTGCAGGGCATAGTTCTTGAACACATCCCGCGGATTGAGAACAATGAAAGCGGCTATCAGCACCAGCAACACAACCAGCAGCGATACGTACTGAAATGCAATTGAAATTCACTTAATTTCAGACTTTTCAGAATTTCAGATATATCTGTATCTGTCAAAAAGCACATACCGTCCAGAGCATGCGCGGCGATTCACGAACGGCGCCACAGCAACCAAAGAGGGATATCAGGAGGATAATGCCGCCCAGAACAAGAATGCCAATGGCATACTGGTCAGGCATCGCCCCCCACCCGAGGCCCCCAAAGATAAGCACCAAAATGCCGAGTATCTGAAAAATGCAAACAAAATGAGTCAATAAATAGGGGTAGCTTCCCAGCCAGATAATCGAGCAATATCAGCTTACTTTTTAAATGGGAGGCGTATCCAATTTAATTTTAGATATTCGAAAAAAAAGAAACAAAATTGAAAGCTTCAAAGCCGAAGCTTAGATGATCTAAATATCCCATTCTGATCAATCGTTTCTATGCTAAACTCAAATACGGTTTATCCAACCGTATAATAATGTTATTACTCATTCTAAGTTTTACTTGGAAAGAAATTAAATTGTTCTAGAATTTCCTTTCTTGCAAAAAGTTTCGCTTTTTCAAAAACCTATGCTGATGTCTAGCTCGCAAGCTGAGAAATCTAAGGAAATTACTGTGCTACTCCCAAATCTATAGAATATCGAAAGTCCCTCCATTTCGGTATCCCAGTTGTCTGCAACCGTGACAAGGCCACGAATGCCCCGGCATATCTTTAGTAATTTGTCAGCGCTGCGCTCATCTCGTCTCTATTGTCAACGCTGTTGACTAATCCGGTTTCCATATTCCCATATTATATTCGTGTTAGCTTTTTAAAAAGAAGCAGAGGAGGAGCATTACCACATTTAATTTAACGAAATCGAAAAGCATGACGCATTTGAGCTGCTCGCTACTTGGCTACTTGGCCAGAGCTTTCCTCACGGCTCAAGGAATGCAAAAGCAAAGCACAAGACATTAACAATAGACACACACACACACACACACACACACACCCAGTGATACACACGAGACGGCAAAATGTAGTCATAAACTAGGCACGCATACGAGATGATATCATCTGCGGGCCAGGTGGAAGTCTAATGGGTGTACTCCCCAAAGCTCCAAAGCGATTTCCAATATTAAGCGAAATTCCGCTCAAAATATGTTGTACAAAAACTTGGAAAAATATTCTAATACATAATAATTGAAACTGTTGTAATATTTAACTTATGCGTTATACATATGTATGTACATATGTACATATCATATGAACATACGAGTATGTAGCATATGCTTTGAATTCAATTTTTGGTGTTCTACTTACCGCCCATAAGGCATTGAACAGGAACAGAGAGTACTTGATGGTGCCCGTTGCGCAGCCCATTCTGAATGTGTTTCTATTTTCCTCTTTGCGCTATGGCCAAGTGCTTTTCGGAGAATGCAATCGAGACTCTGTGCAACACGTGCAACAGTTTGTTGTGTTTTTGGGGGCAAGAGTTTTTCAACAGCCGGCCAGAATCGGGTAGACAACTACTTTCAACAAAAGTTCGCGGCAAACTGAGAGAGCTGGAAACGCTGCCCCGTTAGTTGCCGCCGCGCCGGTCGCCGCGCCAGACCAAAGCAAACAAAGTCAGCACACGAACGCACACACACACTGGCAGTAGGCAAACACAAAGAGCAGAGGCAACAAAAACAACAACAAATCCAAAGTCAAAGACCAAACTTTGTTGTTTCTATTGCTTTTGTTTCTCGAAAAGATCTTGTTATATGCACGCTTTTGAGTCCCTAAGATTTGAGCTCTCTTAATGAAACATTGCGCGGACCCCTTATTTGTCGATACATGCAGAAAATATATATGTACCTACATATATTCCGGAACAACCAATATCAGATCAATATAGCTACCATACAGCTAAACATACACATACATACGCTTAACAATCACATTATCTCAATATCGGATGAGAAATAATCGATATGCTAGGGTATCAAAATCTAGCATTACTTTTTTGTTTCTTGTTGTTTCTGCTGTTGTTGTGGTTTCTGTTGATGCCTCGTAGTTTTTACACCCTTTTAGGGTATTAAAGTTAAGAGTAGATGTTTGTAACATGCGTTACTATGAGTTTCCGACTAACTAAATTAAAATATTTTGATCATCAGCAGCGGTGGCGATCTAGGGTAGGCGATTTATATATACACGTATTATTAAATGTATTCCTGGAAAAGGACATAGCTTCTATTAGAATATCTATTTTCCCCCAATAACTAAACCTCTGATCTAAAGACATCTCTGTCAGATATCTGTCATCTGTAATCTGTAATACAGAAGAGTATTACACTTTGACCAGTCGTCGAACAGATAGGGTATATAAGCTTCGCGGCGACGAAGAGAGCTTTACTTTATTTTTGCTATTACTGAGGCAGTGCTGTTGTTTATGTTGTTGTTGTGGTTCTTGTTGTTGCTGTTGCTGCTGTCATTCGGAAGCCAAACAAACAGTCTGGTGGGTCGGCAGGGGGAGCCAGAGCTGGTTATGCCTGACAGAACTGAAGCGAGCGGTGTGTTGTGGCGGAAGAGCAATGTGAGCGAGGAGAGTAGGGAGAGCTCTAAGCTTTCAGAAGCGCCATTCGCCAGATGTTTAGCTCGAATGGAGTGGGGTTCGAAAGGGGGAAAGAGAGTTCCATCTCTCTCTCTCTCTCTCTCTCTCTCTCTCTCTCTGGCTCCCCAAAGCAATTTACGCGCGATCGCTCCCCGAAAACTAGTGAGATTGATTGAGCTTGATTGCGTCAGAAGATTGAGAATGAATGACGCCAGCAGCAGAAAAACGACAGATTAGCTCAGCCACTCCATAAGGGAATGGAATGGGAAGTGGCAGATTCTACCAAGTTTATTAGAACACACGATTCTCACAGAGAAATCAGATCGGGAATCCTTAGTAGTGATAGCGCCTGCGCTGCTTGCGGAAGCGTCCGACCAGATAGAAGGCACCGAGCACCATCAGTGCCTGAAACAGATGATTAAAGATTAAATGATTAGAATCCATCGAGGGCAGAGTCACTGCAGGACCACTCACGGTTATGCCCACGGAGACCCAGTTGGTGTCGCTGGAGTAAGTGAAGAGCTCCAGGAACTTGTCACCAGCGCTCTGGGCACAGCCGGTGGTGAAGTGAGGCAGCTCGTGGTTCTCCTTGGGGTAGCACGTGGCGGGCAAGGTGGTTCGACCGATGCTCACATAGTCATCCGGTCCGTTGCGGCCACAGCAATCGTACTGGAAATGAATAGCGTCGCTTACCATCGAATGAAACGGAAAATAAGAATAGTTTGTATTCGAACCGTTCTCTGGTATGGGTCCATTGCACCTGGTTCCACCAGCTCCAGGTCCCACTTCTTCTGCACCTCCTCCGATGCAAACTTCCGGATGTAGTCCTCGTTGAACTTGAAACCGAAGTTGCCCAGGAGACTTATTATCAGCTGAGCCAGCAGAATGAATCCATACTAAAATGCAATTTAATTGGTTTAAAACTGGAAGAATGGAAGAGTTTACTTCACTCACCGTTGCGGTCATGCAGACATTCTCCTGACAGATGCCGCAGCAGCCCAGAATGGCCGAAACGAAGATTAGGCCGCCCAAGCCATACAGGAAAACGATGTAAACGAGAGGTGCTTGGCCCAGGATTATCGTGGCTATGCCTATCAGGCCAAGGCCCAAAAGCTGTCGATGTCAGAAGGGGCCAAAGGTGAAACCGAATGGCAAACGAGATTAGCTTTAGTGCAATAAGAACATGAAATGTCAACGACTCGGATAGGAGACAAGATTTCGTTGAAATTCCGAAATTTGGTGTATTAACATAATTCTACGGAGAAAATTGTGATTCATTTAATACAGTAATAGAAATTTAGCTTAAGTTTAATTTAAATACAACTTTTGGCTCTGATAACGAATCTCATCAAACTTGATCCCAAAGAATGTGATCAATACTCGTTACTCATGAATATATGCAAAATTTAATATTTATTGAAATGCTCGGACAAACACACATTGTTCATATATAAAGAACATATATATACGTATATTCCTGTTCAAGTTTTGTCAGCAAACACACGCACGGCAAAGATTTTAAAAACAACCAAATGCAAAGTTGTATTCACACCGAAATATATCAAAAATACACATATCTCTATATATACGATTACCAGCAATCAATTATGTATCGTATATGTGTACACATCCGAGTGAAGTCATCCAAACTGCTGAAAAAACTCCAAGCACTTACCGCATTAAGGGAGTTAAGGGTGTTGAGGAAACACTTGATGCAACCGGAAGTGCAGCCCATCTTGACAAGAAGTAGGACTTTTCCCAAACCAAAGAACCAACTAAAATATACCGAAACTGATTGGGAGAGCGGACAGAGCGGAGAGAGGACCGAAAGAACCAGCAAGATCGGTATCCAGACAGCGAATGAAAACGAACATTTCTTATGAGATACGGCAGACGATCGATGCTGCTAGGGTCTCTGCTTGGAGAAGAGGAATCGAAATCTCCGCTCTCTTTGCCAGTGCTGCCAAATTTTCGGGGGAGACTTTAAACGGCTGAGATATTCGTTTAGCATATGGAAAGTGTTTTATTCTCTAGTGGCAAATTCGCTAATCTGATAAATAGAGTATCGTTTATGCAACATTTATGCTGGCTAGCACCTTCACTCAATCGTTTAGGTGGCTCTCGTCGTCCTTGATCTTGGTCTTCGCATACTTCCGGGCCCGGCCCATGTAGTAGGCCGTGAGAATGCCCATAAACTGCAATGAAACAAATGGCTTAAACGTCTCTTCCAACGCAACTTATCATAATTCGCACCTCAAGGGCAATAATTGCCATGCAGCAGTAGTAAGTGATATCCGCCTGCATTTTCAAATTTTCGTTGGCCTTGGTGGCACAGCCCTGCTGGAAGACGTTCGTCGGATTGGAGCAGTCGAAGGCGAAGCAACAGCTGGCGGGCAAGGCCCCGTTCTCCTCGCCGAGGTAGTCCTGCGGTCCCTCCAGCCCACAGCAGCGGAACAGGCTGTGGATGGGCTGCATCTTGTCGTTACTGTGCGTCTTCTCCTCAAACAACTGCCGGACCCGCTCGTCAAAGTGCGCCAGTAGATCTCCTTTCATCGCCGCGAAGGTGAAGAAGTAGGCAACCATCGTGACGATGACCAGTCCACTGACGAACATAAACTGTGGGACACACGTAAAAAGGATCGTCCTCACACAGAGTCCAGGAATACTCACGAGTATCGAGTACTTATAGGATTCCTTGAGGGCCACATACACGCCGAGGAAGGCCACCCCAAAGACGGCCGCTCCGATCAGAGCAGTCGTATAGCTGCCAAAGATGGAGGCTGCCGAGCCCCATGTGACGACACCACAGGAAAAGAAGAGCACAGTACAGGCCTGAAAAAGAGAAACAATTAGACGAGAACGATGATGGAATTCCTGTGATTCATAATAGCTAATAGGCATAAAATAGCATTCCCCCAAGTATTTCTTGGGTGAATCTTCCTCGTCAATAAAGATTGGGGCTTTACTGCAATGAGTTTTGTTTCTAGGTTCTTAGCACAATGCCGGGAGCCTTGGCATTTGCAGACTTGACATTATCCTGATGCTCATTGTATATAGAAATAACAATCTAATTTGCTAAATCAACTTAATCATAACAAAATGGGCGCATGATTGTGTAAGCGGTTTACATGAAGGGAAGGCAAGAATCGGGCATATCGGGCAATCGGATTGAGTGCCAAGTGCACACCAGCTCCCAGCTGTTCGGCTGAAATATACAATGCATAAATACATAAATAAATAAATGTATAAATATACTTTAGTTCTGTTCGATTTGCTTTTAGCCATCCTTATGGGCGATTTTCCGCCTATGGCCGGCGACAAATGCGTTGCTCTCGTAATTTTGCACTTTTGCACAATATTGATTTTTGTTCGCTTCTTTTACGAGACTACCGGGTTGTTGTGCAAGACTTGGATGGGTCAAGAGTACGGCCCTGGGTGTGGAGGATGTCACGGTTGGGGGGACGGGACTTACCGTTATCAGAATGCAGGTGGCGAACAGGGCGTACTTCCAAGGCGATATGGGAAAAGACTTCTCCATGCTGTCCGAAGGGAGCTGCGGTATCAAAAGAACACATTTTCACTCGTGCCATGGCCATTCCCTTAAATATAAATAATTATCTGGATATTATTACACTCACATCCCTGAAGGGCTGCTGTTTAAACGGAAATTTGGTTTCTCTGGGGGTCTGCCGATTCGCTCGATTTCCCCTATTCCAGGTGGGAGGCCATTGTTTACTCTAGAATTAAGTGATAGAACCCAAGTCCCAATCGAAGCCCGACTCCCCAGGCCCAATTCTGGATCAGTGAAGGCTCGTGTTGATGCCCCAAATGCTGGCCAGCGACTGAACACAACACAGAGCGCCACCAAGTGTCGCCGCCGAACATCACACGCTGAATTCACCACAGAACCCACCGAAACCCAAACAAAAATCCGAACAAGCCAGCCCCCCACCCATCCGCTTGATGGCAATGACGCAGCCGCAGTGCCATGTGGCATACCGGGTGCCACATCAAACCGTGTCCGACTTTGGGTGTTCCCTGTGCGGAAAGTAGTTGCTCCTGTTGAAAGAATGAGATTGTGACAATACGGATGAAGCTTGAGCTACAAACCCAATCTGCTACTTTCGAACTCAATGTAGCCTCATTGTAACTAGTTCTTGCTAGACTCTTATTCAGTTTCGCTTTTGCACTATGCACATTTATATTACGTTACCTTAAGGATCGCAAATTCTTTACTTAGAATTGTATTTTGGTAGTCTTAACAGAATAATTTTACTGCCATTCAGGGGTACTACAATAATAATTATCAAAACAATCACACGTACGTATAACGCAAATTTATCGACATAAGAAAATATATTAAATTATTTGATTGATTAATTAATTAATTAATTTAAAGAGATTGACTCCTTCCGGCAGCCACAACCTTTGCCAAAGTTTTTCGGAGGTCTACATGTAAGTTAGTGTCTGTGTTCGATAAATCATTCGATCCCACAGCTGGTATTCCACAATCTAAAGTCACACCTATCCTCTCACTAGCAAGGATACCTGAAACTGAATATAAGGTGTGTTCACAAAAGCCTGACCAAAGTCAAGATTGTCGATAAAACTCTCTCTATCTTTAAGAAGAAGAAATAGATTACCATCGATAATAGTCATCGATAGTCTAGAAGGAAAAAAGATTTTTGTTGCTTGAGATACAATCTCGCTAGCTCTGAAAAGTAATTCTTTGCTCACTCTGTGGAATCAGCTCCCAAATGACATGAAACACATTGGAAACGCAGCTCAATTTTGTATTAAACTACTATACACACCTAAATACAAATACAAACATAAGAAAATTAACTAATAAATATCTAAATACAAATTTAACAAATGAATATTTAATATAAAAAACAATATTCCCATTCAATTTAAAATTTAAAGATTGTAAAAAATAAATAAAAAATCAATCACTGTTAAAAACAAGCTTAGTATTATAAAATTAATGTACATACATATGTACGATACATTATAAGACTAAAATTATTTTGTATTTATAAGTAAATCGTGTGGCACTAGGATAATGTACAAATAAATAAATAAAAAAATTAAGTAAAATAGTTTATATTACATCAAAGTCTCTTCAAATTTCCTTTGAGTCTTCGTCCAAACAGTCGTTGTCGCGTTGGATCTGCCTCTTCACGATCCTGTACAACCGCCACCCGCATAGGGCCCCATTAGTCTGAAAGGGAAAGAGTGCTTGAAGGAGAGTCCGACTGGGTACTGGGTATACGCACCCCAACCACTATGAGCACCCAACAGGCCAGTTTTAGGAGGAGTAATTTGCTAAAGACATAATCAGAGAATTGGGTTTTGCAGCCGTACGGGTGAAGGGGCGAGTCGAATTCGGATTCTTCGTCTATGCAGCAGCTCTTTGGCGGGTGAAGGTGGATCTTCGAGTAGTCGTCGGCGCCGTTCACGCCACAGCACTTTAAAAACTTCTCATAGAACCCTAGGCGCCGTTGCAATGCCAGGCCCCTCCTATCCGCTTCCCACAGGTCATCAAAGATTCTGCCGATGCGGACCGAGCTATTCGCGGCCTCGTAGAGGAGCAGTAGCTGGCTGAATATTTGCAGCATTGCTATAGCCACATACTAGAGCAAAACGAAAAGTTTAAATCCATATTTTTTGATTGAAAATAAGGCAGAAAGCACGTAAAGACAGCACGTACAGCACAGCTCATATACTCAGTCAATATGTCGATGCTCGAGGATCAATTCGATTTCTCAATGAGTAGCTTTTCAGTTCAATACATTAAAAAAAACAGTGATTTTAAACCCGGATTATATGATGACAATGAACAGCTTCGACATGCCGAAGCTTCAAATACCCTGACAAACTATATTCCAAAATATATGTATCGGGTTGAATGGGAATGTCTTAAAAGATGGCTTCCAAGCCATGAGCATTCGAAAGTCTTTGATGGATCTTAAATGCTGTACGGTGGATTTTTTCCACAAATCACGAAGTCTATAGCAGAATATAAGTGGAAAATCGGATCAATGTAGGCCGAATAACAAAGTGTCAGCTAAAAAAATAACTGTGCTATATATCAACCGATTTATGTGTAATGTCGAGACTTTCAGCGACTATCGGGACATCATTTACACTCGTAGTTCTATGAATACTCACATTTCTTAGACAGTTGAGCGACTCGTTTTTGGCTGCTCCCCTGCAAAATATCGACAGGATCAGTCCAACAGCTCCTTGGGCAATAGTCAAGCTGCCGGCGACTTTCTCAAGAGTGCTGACCTCGTCAATAAAAAACGATATGCCACATACAATAACCAACAGTGAAACCGTCTGCAGAGGGCATGAAGTATCAGAAACGCGGAACGGTGCGGCAGCATTAAACTTACAGCATGAACAAAGTTCATCGAGATCAACATTTTCTTTAGTGACGAAGCCATGGTATGGACGATCCGAGCCGAAGATGGTAATGCTTATTTGACTTCCGAAAAGCAGCGAATTTATTGCGAAATTCTGTCTATCAAATGTCACGGCTAGTTCCGTTCTACAGCTTACATTCGATATATTTCAGAGCTGTGACACGAATGACAGTGAAACTGAAACTGACTTCGAAACTCTTTTGGAGTAACCCCAATGCGAAAGTGTTTTCCAATTCCGTCCGGCAATGAAATACACAGAGGAATAGAAACATGTTTTTTTGAATAAATAGAGTTTGAATAGTCCAGCATTGTGTTAATGGGTGGACTCCCTGATATTCCAACCCAATCCAAAACCATAAGCCTAAAAGGGAAAAACTCCCCCTTAGATTCGAAAGTAGACGACCACAGCACTCCAACAACCGTTCCAGGGATCCAGCGTTCTGATTTCCACCGGAAGCTAATGGGATTGTTCCACAAATAAAATCACTAAAAAGCAGAGCACCTACAGGGAACACAGCACCTCAAACACTTTCAGCATTGACAACTATCAATCTTTTCTTCCCTGAAGAGAAGGAAAGGGACACAGACCGCTGCCTTTCAGTGCCTTCATATGATGGAGTACGTACTTAGCGGTTAGAAACGTAGCAGGGAGGATCAGTTTGCGTTTCGTTCAACCAGAGCCTTTCCAGCTGCATCAGGCCTTTAGGCATATCGTCTCAATGCATCCCCTGATCCCCACAAGACAGCACTGCACAGCGAGCCGGACATTAGATCAGAACAACTTTTACTTTGATATTGTGAGTACTTGATACATACGAGTATTACAGAATTAAGCGATTACGAAATTGCTCATTAGTTTGTGTTGAGTTGCAAAAAGTACAGGAGTGATTAGAAACCGGCTTGTAATATTATTTAATTTAATACTTATGTAACTTAAGATGTGCCTCACATCCAGACCGCGTTGTTGCGTCGACTCTGGTTCTTGACGCTGCTGTACAGCAGCCAGCCGAACACGGCCCCGACAGCCTGAAACGGAGAGAAAGCGCCTTAGTTTGAGATGGGGAAAGGAATGGAGGCGACTTACCTCGCCAATGATGAGCAGCCAGCAGACGATCTTGAACACCAGGAGCTTGTCGTCGAGATACTCCACGAATTCGGCCTTGCAGCCGACCTTGTAGACACTCGTGCTGTCCACGCATTTGTTGTCCAGGCAACAGCTGGAGGGTATGGCATGGTGGATGATCCAGTAATCCTCGGAGCTGTTGACCCCGCAGCAGTGCAGCCAGTTTTCGTAGTAGGCCAGGGCGCCGGACTCGTTGCGCTCCGCCTCCCAGAGGCGATCGAAGCCCTCGTTGATGCTGCCCGAGAGGCCGTCCTTGGTGCCGTGCGATGCCATGCTGAGGAACAGCAGCTGGGTGAGGATCAGCACCACCACGACTCCCACATACTGGCGAAAAATAGAGAATTTTACAACGGAGATCACGATCACGCTTGCCGAAGATAAAAGACCAGGTACTCACAATCAAGAGCCGGACTGGGGACTCGTGAATGGCCGCCAGGCAGCCAAAGACCGCTATGACCAATATGACAGCGCCCAGGCCAATGATCAGGCCCCCGGCCACGTTCTCACCAATGCTGACTGCATTCTCGGCGGCGCTGATCAAAAAGAAAATTCCAAAGGCAATCAGCACCAGACCCAGCACCTGTAGAATTCCCAGAGAGTCAGAGACACACGCAGACAGATGCTCTGCCCACTCATACTCACGGCAAATACGAAATTGAGCAAAAGTAAGAGATGCTTCACTGTAGTGGAGGCCAGACCCATGTTGACTCTGGACGAGGACGCACCGAACAGAACTGAACTGAAGATGGGAACTGCGTCTCTGTGGCTAGTCTCAACTGTTGGAATCAGCCAAATTATACAGAATGCATCGAGCAGGGTTACGTATATGGCAATAGCCAATAGCCAGTTTCAGCTGCGTATCTGACGGATACAGCACAGGCGGAGTACAAGATCTCTCTGTCTATTCCGTTCGCTGTTGATCGCTGCTGATCGCTGCTGCTGACCGCTGTGTTTCAGTGGCGTGAATCAACTGAAACAGTGTGTTTTTGTTTTGACTACATTCTACCTATCTATATGTATCTGTATCTCTGTATACGAATATACTCGTAAATCTGTGAGTGAAAATCGAGAGCGGCGCCGTGCATCGCCCACCTAGCTTGGCCCCGTCTGCCGTCTGCCGCCTCCCGTCTACTGTCTCTTTGTGCGAGAGGCTTTCCTATTTATCTCCGGATCCCATCTGCTCGTCTCGTATGCCTGCTGGCCAAAACAGTTTTCTGTTTTCTTGTAAAATTTCAGTCAATGGCAACAACAGGTTTTCGGTTATTTTCGTTTTCGTTTTTATTTCTTGTCTCCGCGTGGGAGCAAGTTTACAATTTTATGAATGAATACTAGGTATCTGTAGCCTAAGTTGATTAAATTACAATCACAATATGCCAAGGCTCGTGGGCCAGGAAATAACACACACAAGTAGTGATAATACAGCTCGAGAAGTCGACAGTAAGAATTTAATTTAATTATAGAATCGTACGCGATCGCGATGGTTTCGTATGCTGTCCACCAGGTAGCAGGTGGTCACAGAACCAGCAAACTGTAATTAAACTTGAATAATTAGGGGATACAACAATAAATATGATACCTGTGGAAAGGTGCAATGTATGGAAGCGATGCAAGAGATGCAATGAATGAAGCAACGATTGAATTTATATGATTCATATGAGTAGATCGATTGGATAGCAAATGGCATAGACAGCAGACCCACCTCAGTGAGAATAAGGAACCAACTCAGCGAATGAAAATTCGCAGTCTTTCCGCCGAGGTACTCCTTGAACTTAATCTCGCAGCCTGCCATATACAGATTCAAGGGCTTTGTGCAGTCCAGATCGAGGCAGCAGCTCGCTGGCAGCTCCTTGTCCAGATGCATATAGTCCTCGGCACTGTTGCGACCACAGCAGTGCAGCTAAAAACATTGAAAGGGGTTCAAGTTGGGCTCGAAGGTAATCAAGGACGGAGGCAGCTCACCCAGTGCTCGTAGGTGTTCAGGGTGCTGTTCCCCACATGCTGATGATCCCACAGATCGTCGAAGCCTTGACGCAGGCTGTCCGGCAGTGTGTCCTTGCTGGCTGCAAAGCTGATGCTGAACATCACGAACTGAACCACCAAGAGCAGAACCAACAGAACCGCATACTGCAAAAGAGAGTATAAGGATTGAGATGGGTATTCTTGAGGGAGATCCCACTTACACAGATCAACATAGTCCTGGAGTCCCTGCCCATGGCCACACAGCCGAAGATGCTGGCTAGAATGATGACAGAGCCCAGCAGGATGCAGAGCACGGCGGCCAGGTCCTCGCCATGATCGAGGACCACCACGCTCTGCTCATCAGCGAGGCTCTCCAGCAGCCAGGCTCCATACCAGATGAGCAGACAGCCCCCCACCTAAGAAGATCCATCGATTGATGCCAATGTCAGGAGTTCAGTTGTTACTCAGAACTATTTTTAAGCACTTACAGCACAAATCCCGCTGATGACACACAAAATATATCTGAGCAGGCGGCTGCTGCGGTACATGACGCCGGAGAGGAGTGGAGAGGAGAGAGAGATCGCAGCTCGTAGCTAATAATCGGAATTTTCACAAGAGTTTTTCCGCTGGGGGCGAGCACACCTTGGGCCTTGCCATCAAATCATCGACTAAAGTCCCATAATCTTCATTTGTTTGTCTGAGGCTGACAAAGCGTTGGGAAACGATTAACCCATAGATACAGATATTTTGTGTGGATGGGATGTCTCTGCCTCGGACTCTGTCGCCATCCATCCGGCCCGGAGCGTTGCAGTGGCCAAAATACACAGAGAGAAAGACAGAGAGGTTCGGCATAGATAAAAGCTCAGGGGAAATAAAGAATATAGAATATACTCGTGGAACAGAAACAAAAATTAGCGTACGGCGCCCGCCCACGGATCTGCCCCACAAGACATGAGAGACAGCATGTGTCCACCCTCACCTTGCGCCCCCTCGGATTTCCCCCGATTCCCCCGAATACTCATAACTGCGGGCCGTCATCTTATTTATCATCCGAATGATGTCAACAGCAGTTTCCCAAAACCAGAAATGAAATTCCCGAACCACCGAACGAACTATGAAGAATTCTTTATTTTGGTTTTGGCTGATCTGTTCGAAATGTTGTTACAAAAGATTGTGGCTTAAGTCGAGCTTAGATTAGATTAAATTAAAATGTAAATGGTTAGTTCTCGCCCTACCCAGAATTATCCTCTTTGCCAGATATACTTTGGAACTACTATTGTTTGGCTTCAGGTATTTGCATTGCGAGTTCTTTGGCCTTAAGTATGCGCTTTATAAAGTTGGTTTTTTGAAATGCATTATACTCAAAAATGTTCTACACTAATTTGGCAACTATTTCTGGTAGTACTTCGAGCGGCGCCAGCGATTCACAATGCTGTTGGCGAGGACATAGGCCAGCAGGGCGCAAATGATCTACAAATGAAAGAGTGAAAACATAAATGCGAATTCAACTGAAGGAAGGACCCGCACTAACCTCCACTCCCACCAGAACCAGGGAGACAAAGTTGAAGGTTGTCCAACGTGAGGCAATAAAGTCCAGAAACTTTTGCCGACAGCCCTCCAGATTGAGTTTGTCCGTCTGGCTGTTGTAGCAACTATTTGGGGGCAGCATATAGTCCTTGGGTCCCACATTGCCACAGCAGTCCAACTGAATGGGGGAATCCCTCAGGGGATTAAGGAAATTCGGGACTAAAGATCGGACCAACTCACCCAACGCTCGAGGCTGGCGATTTGGCTCTGATTGCCGGGCTTGATGGGCACGGGCTGATCGTTCCACAGCTGATCGAAGGTCTTGTCCACATTGATCAGCAACGAGGTTTGGAATATCCACAGGAAACCCACCACCAGGACTTCCAGCACAACCAGAACTACCAGAATGAACACAAACTGAGAAAAGAAAAGATTAAGTTTCAGCTCATTCTCTGAGTTGTGTTAGTGTTGCACTTACCGTCTTTGAAATGTTGCTGCTCTCGCGCGCTGCCCCCAGGGCGCCAAAGAGGGCGGTCAGCACCACAACCACGCCCAGGCCAATGATGACGAAGGCGGCGGTGTTGAAATGCTCAAATTTATAGATGACGTGCACCCCAAGGCCGATCACAATCAGGCCGAAAATCTGTCGAAGGGAGAGAGGCGGAGAATGCTTGATTAAATATTGCCCAAAGGTGATAAAAGTCTGTATACAAGTCGCTTAATTGAAGGTCATGCTTAGATCTAATAGTCGTATGCAAATTATGGCTTGCTCGAACATTTCCCACGTGCCGCCGCCACCCCCGTGGACCACTCATACGCAGTGTTGCAGGCTGTTGGAAGGAATACTCTACCATGTGATCAGTAATGTTGTATGCTTCGGCGGCAGGCCAGAGCTACTCGGGCCATCTAATGTCATCATAAATTACGTATACGTCGAGTGGTGCAGTGATCGTTCGCCTCTCACTTGCAACGCTAGTTGCAACTTTAAATTTAACGCAATGACTCATCCATCCACCAATTCAATGCGAAATTTCACACACTTCTGCCAAATGTAGACTGTTTGTGGATGGCCACTTGGCAGTTTGCCCAAAGCCCCCGAGGAATACACAGAAAAATAATTCTCCTGCCGAAAGTGAGTGGATGAAATGCGTAATAATTGTACGAGTATTTCCACGTTGCTGATCTTTGAATTCAGCAACCTGTTGCCGCCACAACCCAACCGTTTGTACATTGTATACAATTATCATTACAACTGTCGTCTAAACCAGTCGCCAGAATCGTTGACTTTGACGTGACTTGTTTGTTTGTCACTCGAGCTAGAGGCACTCGAGCTCGAGGCACTGCCTCACCTTTGAAGCGGCTCCAAAACCAACTTACAGCACACGGTGTACTTAAAATTATGAATGATTTAGCCGATTAATCATTTGGGCTGGGGTACACAAATTTGATCGGTTTTGGCTGTAATCCATAGCCAAGACCGTTTAGGGATTGCTTAAAAGTAGTTAAAGCCAATCAATGTTGTGCTCGGACTTGGGTAACAGCTGTGCATATTCAATGAGGATTGCAACTAAATATGGATGTAGATAAAGGCATTTACATTAATTGAGTTATAATCGAAATGGGGAATCGACAGTGCCCCATCAATTAACGAGTGAAGATGAGCTCTAGACATCTGGCAGCACGTGGTAACCACGTATCTATGAGTATACAACGCCATTTAATTGTAATTTATTATGCTCCGCCGCCCCATTCCCAGTACAGACCCAAATTTCAAGGGCCTCTATGTACTGCGTCATCGAATGAGGAATCAAAGCATGGAGGCACGTTCTCGGTGGAGCTCCCATGGAAATTGGGAACAGGCGACTGGCTTTACTCGCAGTAGAAATGGAAACGAAGCATGCCCGAATCTGGAATTGCTTAAGAACATTGAACCATAATTAGACTTTGTAATTGCCAGCCGAATGTTGGGACTGGACTTAATTCGTAGTGGAACTATACAAACAGTCGTAGTTTATATGGGGTCTGAACCCACTCAACTTTCGTTTGATATCTAAGACTGTCACAAGTGCTTAAGGCACTAAGGAGACACTCACTCAGTCCCATAAAAAGGCGATAAGAACTTGGTGTTGGCAACAGGGAGACAGTGCAAAAGCCAAAAACCTTTTATTAATTTGCTCTCTTTTCCCGCCCATAAGCATACGCATACGCGGCCAAACAATTAAACACAATTATCACCCGAGAGCGCAAGGTCAGACTAGTGGGACACACTATATACTATAGTATGTGCATAATTTGCATGTCGTCTGATAAGGCTGCCACTCCACAGATCGGCGAGTGGGTAGATCGATTGCCAGAGCCAGTACATAAAATAAATGCCCAAAAACGAAGCCAGACGGACAAACTATGGCAGCTGTCATTGAGTTGCCTATTTGCCAGAGATTTATGTGGGTTTCTGTCACTCGGCACCAGCAGCAAGGTGAGACAAAGACTTGGCCCTACCCTACAGCAGACCAGACCAGACCCTACAATATGGTCCCCACACCCAAATGAAGTAATGCTGGGCCTCGGCCTCAGCATTATTGAAATCTCTCGGCGCGCAAATCGAGAGTGAACTCGCCTGGAACCGAATGCGGAAAATTGCTCATACGCCGCGTTGTGCGCGCTGGCATTTCCTCAGCCTTCGGTCGCATTCCATTTTGAAAACAAATTCTAGAAAAATGCCCAAAACATCTAAGAAATGACATCAACGCACGAGTATATGTAAAGTCTCGCCCAAGTAAAACAAACTACAACAAACAAACAGCCACGAAGCTACGAAAAAATCAAATAGATTTCTATATCTTTTTTCGTTCAGGGTTAAGTAGTGGCAGGCGGGCGTGGGTGACCAAGTTTTGCGTTTGGCTGCCAGCAGAAATGTGGAAAAAACTCAAATAAAAAGCTCAGCAAGAATATAAACAAAATCACTAAATAAATAAATTATTAAATCATTTTTACTCAAAGATATTTTTGTACAAAACTGTTACGTAGAAGGACAGCATCTGGAAAGCTTATGCGCCAGACTGACTGAACTGGATATTGGACAAAATGTTGATGGTTTTATGTCTCGAATTTGCATCAAAATGCGCCACAAAACAAACCGACAAACAGCCTTCAGTATTCATTTGAATGGTTGTTAACTAAACGAATGGAAAACTATCCGACTAGAAAATAGCAATAGTTTTTATAGCCCAATGTTGATGTTCTACGCTATCAAATAAACAATTGCCCCGCACATCAAAGACTGATGTATCTCCGAATGAACTTGGACCGATCGAGGCATTGTCTGGGCGGGAGAAATATTCTACAGCAAGATCTGGCATTTAGCCAAAGGCAGACAGACCCAAGTCAGTTCAGCTGGCCGCGGTAATTTCCCTGCAATTAGCCTTGCCTTGGCCCGCTCTTACGATTAATTCGTGTTTTAATGCTATCTGGGGTCATGAAGCTGCCACACAGAACTCGACGCTGGCTCTCTATGAACCGATCACAATGAGAGGTTCGCGGTACTCACAGCATAGATGATGTCCCAAAAGAGGGCAAACACTTTCAGCACATTGGTGGAACAGGCCATTTTCGATTATCCAATCTCTAACAGAGATTATCTATATGTTTTCTATAAAGGTATCTGTGCACAAGTGGTTATTTTTATCGAATATACAAGTGTTCTTTCTTCTTCTCCACCTGGCAACCCGCGCGGTTTTGTTTTGTTGACAAACGGAAAATACTTCAATCTATTTAAACGGTTGCTGTGGGTTCCCCAAAACCCGGTTCATGTTCTCCGCGCGAATGTTAACTGAAAACTGTGCGGTCCGTTCCACAGTTGCTGATAGCGCGAAAAAATAAACGTTTGGTTTGGCGAACGCGAACACAGTGGCAACGGAACGAAACGAAAAGCTTCGGCACGAAATGGAATCGAAACTGGCCGGTTCGTTCGGCGCGTTTTCCACACTTATCTATGTGGGCATTACGTACATATATACATACATACATACATATGTATAATGAAATATATGAATAAAAGGAAAGCGAAGCTATAGCCAATTCTGTTCTATTTTTATTTTATTATTTTGCAAGTGTGCCATGCAACTCTCTGGCTTTTTTGGTTTATTAAATAAATCAGTTTTAGTTAAATTTTTGTGCCGTTAGCAGATGAATCTGTTTTATACATATATCTCTTTCAGGGTTACGATCCAGCTGAGAGATATTTTGTGGAGCAAAATTTGTGATTGTGATCATCGAGAGAATTCATGTATGTATTTATATACAGTCTCAGGATGGCATATGAAAGTAGAGACTTAGCTTATAAGGTTTGACCGTCAGAAATCCGGCCAGTTGAAGATAAAATGCTCCAGATGAAATGCTCCATGCTCCAGAGTATTCACACAGGCATTCTGTCGACCCTACGCGGTAGCGACAGTTGGTAGTGGCTGAGACTTCGATTGCGCTCCTTGCACATGATTTTTAAGGTATTGCCGGAATCAATATCAATAGATCTGGAAACTGTGGAGCCAGAATCTATCAACTATTTTATAAACTTCTTTGACTGTTTTATTTAGCAATATATTCAAATAAATAATATTAAAATTAATTCACATTTCTTAGCCTAAGATTTGAGTGTGATGTACAGCTAAAATTTGCATTGAAATTAGTTCGTGAGTTATATAAGCTGTGTTTTGTGAGTGTGTGTGTATTGTACTTATTTAAATACTCGTATCTCCCGGTTTCCAATTTTAAATTTCCAACAACTGTTTTTCAAGTCTTACTTAACGCTTGCTAATAACAAATTCCGTTTAGAATAATAACCAATTGGTCAATTGGCTAATTTCGTAGTTTTCGGGATAGTCTTAAAAGTACGAGCGCCGCTGATCGTTCCGAATGCTGTTGCACAGCCGGATCGAGATGACACTGATCAGGAGCTGAGAATGGAGTAATAAAGTTCGTTAAAGGTAAGTTTGTGGAGAGGTATACGGCGTCTACGGATCACCCACCTCGATGCCAATCAGCACACAGCCGAGAATGTTGAAAATCTGCAGTAGCTGCAGCCAATAGTTTTCGAACTCCTTTCGGCAGCCGTTGGGGATGAGGTTCTCAGCCTTGCTCTTGTCATGGTTGCGGAAACAGGTCTCTGGGGGCAGTCGCTCGTTGACAATGTAATCCTGGGGACTGCCACGACCGCAGCACTGGAACTGTAAGAAACAGAGTTTTACGTAAGAGTTTCCCAGAAGATACGAATTCTGGCACTCACCCAGTTCTGATAGATGGACATGGCGCCGGGACTGTTGAGCTCCTCCTCCCAAGTGGCCTCAATCGGGTTGGCCAGATTGGAGGCTACAGAGCTTTCATTGTGGATAAGCAAAAACACCACAGCGAACTGGGTGGCAATAATCAGCCACAGGAATACCACGAACTGTAACAACGAGGATATCCATCATTAGAGACATCACTATAGAAACAGTTATAACGAGTTTTCCACCTACCGTGACAGTGCAGCACACACTTTCCTTCCAAGCGGACAGATATCCCCATAGGAGGATTACCAGGGCGACCGCTCCCAGATAAATGAATGCGTAGGCCGACAGCCCTCCAATTTCGTTTAGATCATAGGACACCACGACATAGATGCCGAAAGATATCAGCACCAGGGCCAGCAGCTGTATGGGAGGAAAGCGACAACAAATTAATAATTGGATACAACAATTCCCGAGACAACAATTCCACTTCAATGATTTTGGACCACAGACAAGGCAAAAGTAAGGCACTTAAATGGATAGGCGCCGAGTAGGCTAGTCTGACTGGCGTCCGGGAATGGTATGGCTGGGTGGGATGGCAGGGAATTATTTATGCCAGACGGTAAATGGGTCACATGGAGGTCGCCCTCGGCAAAACAATCCTGACGGGGATTTGCGTATGCGCTGTAGGCAAGGTCATTTACTATGTGTAGTTAACGTTCATATCAGGTATCAGAGACTTGGCCAACCTGATTGTTTGACTGGTTGTAAATTATTCAAAATTTGTTCAAGCCAACAAAAGCCGGAGAGTTTATGACGCCAGCACTGGTATTTTTAGCCGGTTAACGTTGCACAATCATCGATGAGTAAACATGGTTTTCAAGCCTTTCCTCTTAAGATAGTACAACTTAATTGCTATTGATTTATCTAGTTTGAGAAGGCTGTCCAATCTAGAAAATGGTTGATATAAGCCTGCCGGAAATTCATCCTGATTCATTTATTAACTGAAAACTACACATTACAGAAGCCTGGCGGGAACATCTGCCCATGGCGCCCGCATCGATTGGACATTCAAAATGGATGAGCCTACGATTAAATGTGATGGATATACAGAGCGCATTACATATGCTGACCTTCAGGACCATCTGTCTATTCTCACCGTTGCTAGCAATTAAAGAGGTATAAATAAACCAAGCATTTGATAATTTTGGAAACTAGTTTGCCGAAAGATACATACATATGTATGTATTTTTACTAAGGTGCAACTCTCCTAGCAACACAAAGTGAATGATATTTATGCGATTAGCACGCAAAAGCTTCTTTTGATTCATTTTGCAGCGATAAGGTTGTTCCAGCGAAAACAACCTCATAACGGGAGGCGGTAACAGTATGATATTATGCGTGCTGTTTCTTTTATCAGAACACAGAGTACTAATACAGGGAATAGTAATAAATTGCGCCAAGTGGTTTTGTGATTGTGGTTGGGGTGTTTACATCAGGTCAATTGACCCAATTGCCTTAGCTGTCGCAAATTGAAAAGAAAAGCAAAGGAAAGAGGAGGGCACTTACCGCACAAACAATGTCCAGGGCATACACGAACACCTTGAGAGCCGACGTGGACGACATGGCGGGTGATTGAGCTGGTCGGCTGGTCCGCTAGATGATGCTTCCTGAGATTCCTGGGATTCCTTGGGAGGACGGACGGCGAAGTTCTTCTGGGCCTGGGCGGGAGAGCAAGCTGCTTGCGCAGCGGAAACTTGTTTTTATTTCTGTTTTTTCTTTTGCCTCTCCTTCGTGCGCTCTCAGCTCAGAAACTCAGAAGCTCAACAACTTTCTGCTCTCTGCTCTCAATGAGATCATAACGTAATGTAATCTACGGAGTGCTCGCAATGTAATTCTTGGAATCGCGAATTCGTCACTTATCAATGTTCAATGTTTACACATTTGCCCACTATAGAACACCGACTAACTGCACTTTCCCACCTCATTTCGTTTCGAGTTGAATGACTCAGTGGCATTCTCTCGCCCTACCTTCGTCACGAAGCAATGCGTTGTGCCGATTTCTCCGTCGACCGTCAAAACAAAAATGAGCACCAAAAGCTTTCGAATGGCGGCTAAATGGCTAGCTTCTGTAAAAAGCTTCGAGACGCATAGTTGCCATACCAGGCCGATGGTATTAAGAGACTTCAACTGAAAAGAGAGCCGACTTTTAAGGCCTGTCCAAACGGGGCAGCAGCAGCCTGCTATACCAGCCAGAAACGAATGCTATCATATCGGGGTGTTGCGACACGCGTCATCCATCATTTGAATTTATTGTAATTTTTTTAATTATCACAATTTATTTGGGCTTTTTACAGATTCACGATAGAACGTAAGTACCACATACAAAGTGCATATGCTGAAGGCTGTGCGAGATAATGTCACTTCGGTTACTATTTGTATAAATATTGCATTTAATTACCCTCAATATAAATACAGGTTATTCCACCGTAAGCATCAAAGGAGTCGCTATATTCGTATTGCCAGGCAAATCGTATGTTCCAGACGATAAACATTAGATTAGCCAAGACAGACACTAAAGTCCAAGTGAAAAGTATCCCCTTTAACTAGACTTGAAAGAGTTGGATAAGTTATACATTTGTGATTTAGGAGCTTAAAATCAAACCTTTAATTTTCCGCACACTAATGATAGACCATAGGCAGCATTGGCTAATTGAATGACTCCCAGCATTACCCAAATATTTAAGAAGTCTTTAAAGTAGATACATAAATATTTTGAAATTCTGATCAGCAGTCATATTCAAGCCCTACCTTCATCGAGTGTCTCTTCTTCGGTAAGGAATATAAACACCACATTTACGAAGATCAAACCCACTAGATACCCATTGAAAACCACAAATGGAACAAAGACAACTATTAACAAGTTTTGACACATCCCAAAGAAGGTTGAACAAGAAATAATTTGTTAGTCCGACAATACTTCGATTGGTAGCAATATACTCCAGTAAATTTACCTAATTCTCTAATTATCCTAAATTACCTAATTATCATTCATCGAAAGTGTTTTCAGTTAATATTTATTTTGTTTCAGTTGCATATAAATAACGGAGTCCATACTGTAATCCATTGCCAAAAGAACACACAACTATGGAAATTTCTGCCAAAATGTAAACCTTGCCAAAAATCATTAAAAGTCATTAAAACCCGATTTCCATACAACTTAGTTTCGATTTTTCTTTTAATTTATTTTAAATTTAACCAATTGACGTATAATTTCATTATTTTTGTCAAATTGTATTTTTTGTTTTTTTATCTGTGATAATATTTTATATTCAAATAAAAAATAAAAATAAAAAAATAAATAAAAATAAAATAAAATTAGCTTTGATTTTAAAACCAGGCACCGTAAATAGGAGTTATGACCGCAAATCTTACATAAATAAATCAATGTGAAGGAAATATGTTACGGCAACATGGAAAACACCAATATTCATATTTTCACCATATTTACCTATGTATATCAGAAAGAAACTTCTGTTTCCCACCATTTATTTAAAAAATCTAAAATAAAAGTTAAATTGAATACCTTTTTTGACCCAAGTGGTGTATTACCATACATATCAAAATATTCTTGATATCTATGATTCAATACATTTCATATGATACATCGCATGTCCTTCAAAGTCGAATATTAATGGTCCTACACCACTTGGTTCAAAAAATTAGTGCAACCTCAAAAACCAGTTCCGGTTCAAGTCAGATACCGTACCGTATACAGGGCTATCTAATTACTACTAAAATAATAAATTATTTTTTTAATTCCTTATTCCGTATCTATTCCAAGTATTTATTAGAAGTTACTTCATGTTTTACTTAGCTGTTTCGTCAAAAGAACAGTATTTCAGGTTTGTGCAATTAAAGTAAACCAATACCAAAACATAAATGGCAAAACCTAGAAGAAGGAAAAAAAATGCGAATTAATCATGATTAGGGTATTTCTGATTACATACATATCTGAACGAAATGGAAAACCAAGTAGGGTTCCCAAATTTGAATACTCTCCAAAATGGTTATGAAAACCATCCCGATCTCGACAATTACGAACACCACAATCCAAAGGCACAACAGTAGTTTTATCTGAAAGCACCTAAAATATGAAAAGGAGTTGTACATTATTTTGCACATAAATCACCTACTTTAAATTGCACATAATTCAAGTAGAGTCCAGTTCCAGCGAGCAGGGTCGCCCAAAAATCTAATATATACACAAAATCCCCTTCAGAATTTAATTCCTGGCACAAATCTTCGTCAAAATAGTAAGCATATAGATGAAGAGTTATACAATAAAGCGAGATAAAACCGATCATCAAAAATGAAATATATGCGAAAATAGAACAAATGGGCTTGCACATTTCAGACGTTTGTGTTCTCGAAGGTGAAGTTCTACTAACTTCTTTCACCAAAGCCCATTGAATGGGTAATTGTATTGTCTAATATCATAATTGATAATAATTTTGAGGACATCAGCAGCGAAATGGGGGTAATTGAGGAGACGAATTGCAGAATCATTCGATTCAATATATGTAAATACATATGACTATACTTATTGTGCTATATCGTTGAGGTCTATTTAAAAAATCCTTTCCGTTTTAGTTGGCTATTTTTTCAATAGAGCAATACTTTAGGTTTTTGTAAGTCCTGCAAACGAGGACAAAAAGATATGCGGCCAAACCTAGAATAATGAAGGAAAGGCGAATCGATCAAAATCGAATTATGGAATTTCCTCTTTACCTACATACATACATATATGCATTAAATGTAGAGCTGAGTAGGGTACCCAATTCTGAATACTTTCCAAAATGATTATAAAAACCATCTCGATCTCGACAATAACAAACACGACAATCCAGAGGCAGAGCAGCAGTTTTATCTGAAATTACTTAAAATATAAGATGGTGCTTGAGACATCTCTCAGTTTACCAACTTTGAAGTTCGTATAATGCAAATACAGTCCACTGGCAGCCAGCAGGACTCCCAAAAATTCCAGGTAGTACACATCGTGGATATCACCACAACATTCCTTGAAGCCTTCTTGGACAAAATAGTAGGAGTATAAGTAAAAATTTGTTGAAATAAACACTACAGAGCCAGTCAGCAAAAAAGAGAGATATGCGAAAACGGAGCACATCGGCATCGGCTTGCACATTTTCGGAAAAGAACCCGCACACCTCTTATTGAGTAATGAAATTGTATTATCCATTAGTGTCGTAATTGACAATAGTCATGGGAGCACAACATTATGAAGGTAATTCGGCAGATGGGTTGAAATTATCAGAGAGCTTCGCATTCATCAAAAAAGGGAAGCGAAGGTAGATAGGGAAGATAATAACCATCAGGCAAAGACCAATGGCGACGGCCAAGCTAGACTTTATTCTTGTTAAATTTAATGTTTACATTTTATAGATATATATCATAAATATAATACAGTGTGCTTAGGAATATATTTTATTGCGATCATTTCGTACAGATCCAGAAGGAACTATAATGGCTCCCAAAATGGTCCTTATCCAACGATTTCTTACGATGTCCTTACATACTAAAACGTGTAAGAGGACTGTTATAAAGCTGCTCACCAAAGTTCCTGAGAAAATATAGATAATTATAATTTAAAAAGGATATCCATTTGAGAGTATGTAGATAACCACCAGCACATATAAGAGTTCCCTGCCATAGCGGATGATCCCTTAGGAGCCTTGCAAAGACAATATAACCAAACATCAGGACAATTATGTGGGCAGTGACAATGAGCCAATTATAGAAAACTTGAAATTCCTGGAATATAGCCAACATTGGGTTCCTTAAGTTTAAAGAATAATCCATTTAACCGACCTTATAATTGCCAGATACCAACAAGAATCCACTACTGCCGTAGAGCGCGAACAATATCATAGACTGTTCGAATGAATAGGTTTCACAGTACTCCTCCCAAGAGTCTAAAGGTGAGCAACATTATTTCAGTTCATAATGTGATGATATATCACTTACTCAACTGAATACAATCTACCAGGCAGGGCAAAAATTTGGAAAATAGTTCCCAAGTTAGGGTAAAGTAAAGGCTGAGACCCAGAAAAACGCAGAAGTTGCAGTTCATGATCGAAACCACTACGAATATCCACTGGAAATCAACTGCAGTGCAGGTCCTGAGCTGCACGGATCTGCATTAATCATCATTAATCATCATTAATCATTATAATTGATACTCATTAAGCAGAGCCATTACCAGTACCTTTAAGTATGAATATATGTACAAACCCTATCTATTCCTCTGGTCTGGCGGAAAAAGTGACTGTCAAGCAGCAAACAATCATGTAACCTTTACGACAATCGGATAAGCAGATAAATACCAAACATATGATGTAACCAAATGCTATTTGCTTACCAAGAGCAAAGTAATTTCGAACCATCTCATGAATGCCATAGAACTCATCGTGGAAGTCGTGCAGAAGCAAGTGAAGAGTAAGGCCAGCTACAATGTAGATCCATGTCATGAGCACCCACCACTGCAGATAGCAGACGTCCTATCCCATTGAATTACAGATATGTATACACATATGAAGTGTCGCATCTGATATCAAACCTTGAACTTAAGTATGGTCATCAGTGTCCCGCACATGCTATGAAGTGTCCACATATCAAAATAGTGTTTCATCCTAAAAATATCGGGATCGCCTCTATCTAAAGGAAATACTTTTAGTTACTTTAGTTGCTCGAAATGTCGGTAAAGCTTACTGGTGGTTCCATGACGAATACGCTTGTAGTCCTGCAGCATACAACAGATTATAATCATGTGTATTACGAGCGATGCAACGAAAAGGACATGTTTCAGACAGTTTTGGAGCACACAACACATGTCCGATGCGTAAAATGAACTGAGCCATACTTTCACCAGCAGAGCAGTCAAAAATAAGTGTGAACACTTGGGTTTATACGGATACAGATGACACTTCAATTATTACTTATAGGCCTGTGCCTATTTGGTAAGCAGATGTACAAATATATATATATATGTTGGTGTACACTGCAGGGCATAACGTTTAGTGAAGCGAATAAGGGCAATAGGTTGGTGCCATGGCAACTCAGGACCCAACAAAGCCCAGCGATTACAGGGGAGGGGGGCATGTTTACCAGTGAAATTATATAATAACATGGCTGTGGTATATAAATACATAGTAAATGCTTTATTCATAAATGTTCGGGTTCTCGCTGACCTGATGCATTTTTACAAAAATTCAAATCTTATCCAGAGATTCTACTATACAAATATGAATAGAATGAACAGTGTACATATATGTATGTATGTATTGTATATTTAATAACTTTATATAAAGGTATATTTCATTTGGAGCGGGGGTTTTTCAACAGTTAAAAAAACAATAAAATGGTTATGGTTACGTTTCAGCGTGGCTCTACCACCAGCTCCATTAGGGTTGTTCTCGCTCGGATTTCGGCTCAACAAGTTCGAGTGGATTGTACAAAGGCTTTGGGAATTGTATCGCTAGCTCATTCAGTACGCAAATATACGAATTATTTCAATAATACATAGGATATACAAAATGTAAGCGTTTCATATCGCCTTAGACTAAGCAATTTTCTTGTCTACTCCTTCATTTTTTGACAAATAATTTAATTATTTTTAACCAAATGGTTTACTCCAATGTGTTCTCTCTCCTCCTTGGCTTAATTTTTTCGAGTTCTGTGTGTGTGTAGGTGTGCGTTCAACGACGATAAAGAGTTAATGAGAATGTGTGTGAGTGTTTTTGTGTGTGTTTTGTGGATGTTGTGCGGATGCGGATGCGTCTGAGCTGCACATTGCCTTAGTATGCATTCCGACGCTTGTAGTTGCGCACGTTGTTGGCCAAGCAGCAGGCGAAGATGAAGCCAACCAGCTGTAATTGTAATTTGATTATTTAACTGGCTCCAAAGGTGTAATCTTATGGCAGCACTCACCTCAACTCCAATCAGGCCGATGGCCACATACTTGGCGTTGTCAGTGCTGACAGACATAAAGTCCACGAACTTGCCACGGCATCCTCCATAGATGTTAGCCGGGTTCAGGCAGCTTCCGTCGCAGCAGCTATCGGGCAGTGCTTGCAGATTGATCAAATAATCGGCCGACGAAGCACGACCGCAGCATTTCAACTAGGATGCGGGAAGGAATTCGTTAGCATTGCAATAAATAAACATCAAATTGTGCGAGGATTACTCACCGATTTCTGAATAGCATCAAAGACACCTCCCTCACGGGCCTCACGCGACTCCCAGGCCTGGTCGACTACCCTGCCCATGGCTTCCTCGAACTTGTCCTTGTTGGTGTACAGCAGCACCACAATGGTCAGCTGCACGATCAGCAGGATCAACAGGAAGACGGCATAGCTCATGGTCATGCACACCGACTCGCGTATCGCTCCACAGCAGCCCAGGAACGAGATGAACACGACAATCGACCCGATGCCGATCAAGATGATCGGCATGAGGGCCTGCGGGGGAAAGCCCACCTGTCCATTCACCTCAATGGTGCCAATGCTCTTAAGGATCAGCACGCCATACACAATACTCAGAATGCCGATGACCTGTGGACAGACAGACAGAAAGGATAGTCATGTGGTTAGAAGGAGTGCTGCAGTGCTGCAGTGCTGCAGTGTAACTATCGATCTAGACCGGTCGACAAACTTGGGCCATAAATGGCTCGCATTGCATAAGGCAGCTAGCTGGCCGCTGCCAACACTTGCAGCTAAATATAGTTCAAATTAATCAGCTGCCCGCTCGTTTAGTTTAATTGAAAATGGAGTGCAAGGGAGCTGCCAATTACCATGCTGAAAGACTTAATTACCGCCGAGACCCGGAGCTGACCTCAGGGATGCCGCCTCCCCCAGATATGTCCAGGCACGCCAGCGGCCAGCGGTGCTCATCCCCGGCGGCTAACTAATGATAATTAAAATAAGTAAACGCGTTACGTAATACCCAGTTAGCACTACAATTAATATTAGACTAAAAATGGTATTTGCAGGCAAACAAAACTTGTGCAGAGGACGCGGCGATTAGATAAGGTGAACAGAACAGAGTAACCTTCAAACAGAACCTTCACATCTCCCACATTTCACTTGGCATTCACATTCACACACGACAATGCTGCGGGATAAATCTTCACAAGGTCTAAAGTGCACTGCAATTTGGGTGCTTTTTTATGACGATCGAGGGTCCCAGCGAGAGCCAGACAATGCAAGAGCAACTTTGATCTCTCAACGCCAACGACAGCTCTACGAGTATTAATTGAATTTACTTGATTTCATGATGCATACCAGCTCGTTTGCTTAAACATCTGTATCCATATTGTAGACGAGTACTGTATCTGTATATGTATCTCAACACGATGTGTATGTGCGGTCAGTGAGTGGGCATACCTCAATTCCAATTTCCACTCGTTTAGAACTCGAGAACTCGAACAGAGATCGGAATATCTCTGTGGGCGGCCGCGGCGGCGGCTGGCTATGAATGATTTCATCTCAAAATTGACCCAAAAATCGCATTGTAATATTTAAACAAAGTGAGTGTTGGTCGCTCTGCTAATTGTCCCACTTTGCTACACTAATCAACAGAAATACTCGTATAGTGCAAACAAGTAGGTAATACTCGGGTACTACAAAAGAAATGAAAAGAGTTCGCCGACTTGGATCCCGTTTGGGAAGCCAGCTTTTCCTCTCCAACTTTTACTTAGCCCCGTTTTTCGCTAACGAGGACATTACACAATTCATATCAAAATGGCCGAGACAGAGACAATGTGTGCCACATTCCACAGAAAGCTGTCAGCAGCAGGCAGCTTCAATGACGTCAGACGGAAATGAAAATGGAATGCAAATTATTTTCGCCAAATACCGAGTACTCCAACAAGGGTCTGAGATCATTAGTGGAGAGTGGTGCGCCCCCGAAAAGAGCAGAAAACAACCCTCCAAAATAAAATACTTTTCTTTCTGCAATAAAGAGATGGATATACATATGTATATATACATATATTTTAATGGGGATTGGAGGGGGACCACACCCAGAACAAACTCTGAATTGCGTTGTTTGGCGCCAAATTGTATCTTCTGTGTCCATCGCAGCGAACAGCGAAGAGACGGATATGGGGGGATACACAGATAGAGATAGAGATAGAGAGTGTGAGACTGAGAGAAGAGTTACGCATTATGCAACAGGACACACATATGCGTGTCTAGAACGTGTAATTGAAAGATGACAATTAACAGCTAAATTACCCGAGACATGCAATTGGGATCTGATAAGCATATACATATGTATGTACATACATACTGTGAAAGCTCAACAAGCAGACACCCTTTTCCCTCACTGAAAGGGGGGTGGCTTACTCTTGGTTTTGCTCAGCAAATGTGTACATAAATTATTTATTTAGATGCTCAGGAAGTTGAGTTTTCCCAGCTGAAAAAATTACCGAGAACTCGGCGCTGTTGCACTTAATGGCCGCCAGACACAGTTCAGATTTGTCATTAGCCACGGCTGCAATTGTCGCTAGGTTCTAACTCGGACTCGATTCGATCCACAGACGTGCGGAGACTACGAAACTTGAATCCATGGGGGTAAATACACATAGCCACAGACACAGTCATAGCCATGTTTTGAACTTGGATTTTCCCCCTTATATGCGCAGAGGGTATTTGTAATTTTCGTCAGTTGTTTGTAACAGCAAGAAGATACTCGAAAAATATAACAATGGTATTTAAAGGCTCTATGGGCGAACAGAATATTGATGTAAACAAAAAACTAGCCCCCAAAGACTTGGATAAAATTTCAATGGATATTCCAGTCCCTCAACTACTAGGGTATGTTCACTTCGGGGTGCGTAAGTCATTTTTCATGCTTTTGTTGCAAAATGTATTAGCTTTTGTTGATATAGTGGTTGTTGCTATGGTTGTTGCTGTCCCCTCAAGCGTTGCGGGGTCATTGTTGGTGTGGGTTTTGTTGTCGCTACGGGGCCGGCTCTCCAACAGGCGGCTTGGCTTGGCTCGCTAATTATTTGGTATGGCTGTCTGTCAGGTGTGTTATGTACTCGGATAACGCAGTTAAATAAGTATGTATGTATCTGCACACAGCCATGCACTGCGAGTGCATCGTGTCCCCGGAGTTTCTTGCACGTGTAAATGTAGAGTATGGAAACAAAAAAACTGCTGCGCCGACAACAACCAGTTGATTGTTCTTGTCTTTTTCTTGTTGTTTTATCTCGTTTCTCTAGAGCAACAAGTTTTTTTGTGTTTGTCGTTTCTCGTTTCTCCTTTTTCGTTTTCCTTTTGTGATGAGTTTCTGTCTTATTTGCTCTCTTGTATACATATACATACATATACTTGTATATACTCGTATATATTTTTAAGTTTCGCTTCGGTTTTTCAGAGTACACTTTTTACTTTTTGTGATTCACGCGGCGTTAATTTGCGATCCCACAACGAATACTAAATATTCACAAATTTTGTTGGCTTTACGATGAGTTTAATAAGATTTGCTTGAATTATTATTTACAGCACATTTCGCTTAAGGCCGAAGATCCAGAAGGTCGACAATAACAGGGGGACGTACGAATGCGGGAGTGAATCGTTTTATTTGAATCATCCCTTTTCCATGACATCAGAGAGAGATCCGATCGGAGCAATGTGCTTTTTGTGACGCCAATCAAAAAATGAGCTTGAATTACAGGAATCTGCAGACTCTGAGATTATTATGCCAGAAAATAAGCAGAGCGTCCACGGGCAGGAAAACAAACAAATGAAAGGGGACTCCTATCACCGCTCCCGGAATCACAGTGCTCCCCCTCCACTAAGCATAGCATGAGTATAGAGGAGATAAATGCTGAATTCCAGTTTTTGTGGCGGCGTTGGAAGCTGAACGGAAGGCGATGGATGATGTCATCAAACTTCAATAGCAAGACAAACAACACAGTCACGAGGAGCTCAAAGCGTTCTCTCCGTTGAAATTTCCCAGAAGGGGTTCAGGGGCGCCGTCTGTCTGCCCTAAGGCGTAACGCTGGAAATACGCTTTTTTTAAATGCATATTTCATATGTATGCCATAATATTGAATAAATTTCACCAATTTTTTATTTGTTCGTATTTCAACAGACAGCGTTTAGGTAACAGTTTGTCTCCCACCTTATGGAATGGCTTTCGAGCTTGTTTGTACCGGTTTCGTTTTCGTTTCGGGGTTTCGGTTTTCGGTTTATGTTCGCTTTGGCAATAGTACTCACCGACACAATGGTATTGAATATGAAGAGTATGTATTTGGCCAGAGATGTTCCACAGTCCATTTTGATGGGAGTTTTTCTGAATCACCTGCAATTGGAATCAATTTCGTTTAAACAATGCTCATGTTATGTCAATTATCAAATTACTCTACGGATATATAAAATAATTCCTAATATTCGTTGTTTATTCAACTGTAAATGAATGCCAACAAATGTTCGCTTTAATGTACATATGTACATATGTATGTATGTACATACATTTTAATTGTGAAATTAAAAAACTTTTATTGTGGTTTAATTCCCCGGAACCAAGTATTTACTTTACTGCGGCTGGTGCTACATTCACGACTTTTCCGACCTTACTTTTTTTGTAACGAGGGCTTGAATCAGAATATACTACAAAGGTCGCATTTCCTCGCAGATAAGGAGCTCTCAGCTCTCGAAGCATCCATTGTCTGCAACGTCATTATCATTCTTTTCTTTTCCTACGTCCTTCCGAACGAGTTGCGAGGCCAACAAAAGAAAATAATACAGCGTGCAACTTTTTCAACAACAAGTATGAGGAGGAGAAGAAGAACGACAATGGCAGGCGTCAATGGTGCTAGAGAATTAAAAGAGGAAAACGAGAGGAAAAAAGTTCAGTGCACTCTGCATCATCAGAAAACAAGAGCCACAATGCCGCCGTATTGTTGTTTTAATTTCATACAATTTTCTTCCGCTTTTCACACACAAGTTTTCCCCTTGCCCCGCCACGCCTCGCCGCACTTTCCGCTGCGCATACTACGTCTCGGCACATCTTTCTTCTCCCTCCCCGCACACAAACACACACATACTCCATCAACAACCACTTTCAGCGGCGTCGGGGCCCAGCATCTATTTCTTGGCTGGAGTTTCGAGCAGCTGTCAAGACAACAGGGAAAACTCTGTGCAGTTCTGTTCTCCTAATTCTATAAACCATAAACACAAAACCACTTTTCTATTCAAAATAGCGCACGCCTTCTGTTACCTTTTGTTTTAAAAAATTTCGTTCGAACCAGCGCGTAACCGACACGTTCAACGGGAAATTCGACAATGCAGAAACAGTGGGACCGCGGATTTATCGATAAGACGAACTTAGCCCACATAAGCCCCCTCTACTTAAAAAGTTCAACTACTTGAGGTAAATAGCGGAATGTATTAACGATTGTTAATTGTTCTTTTAGATTCATGCCATCTTTCATCTGGACTTAAAAATAACCACCTTAACTTTCACCTCAACTACGTTAACATTATTAAATATTCATTATTTTCGGTGGAAAATTGAAATACCCCCTTGGCTTGCAATGGGTTAATCGTTCTCCGTCGAATATTGGAAAGCATATTGCTCAATTTTGATGTTCCGTAGAATATTACTAGCTAGACAAAACATTTAGTCATGCCCACCCAATTTGATCCGATTAATGAATCAATTTTCTACTTAGCTGGCTTATTTTAACCACTTGCTTTTATTGCATTTTGCGTAAAAATTGGTTTTAGCGAAAATGGTCAAACAAATGAAACGTAAGAGAAAAATCGTTCTAATTGCTCAATTTCTTTCTTCCGTTGAATAATGCTGCCTAACTAAAACCCTTAGTTCTGCCCACATAATTTTATCCGATTAATGAATAAATTTTCTACTTAACTAGCTTATTTTAACCACTTGCACGTTTATTATCTTCCGACGAATATTCCCAGCTATATAGATCTCTCATGTTTGCCCAGATAATTTTATATGATTGATGAATCAATTTTGAACAGGATTAACTACTTTTAAGTACGCAGACTCATTTGTTGTCGACCAGGGTATGGGCATTTCGGGCACCCTATTTCGTTACTATTATATTAAGATACTGTTTTCCAAGCTGCTTTCAAATGTAATTAATAAAGGCCTTGTGTTAGATTGTATTTTTTGGTCTATTCATGCATTTGATTAGGTGTTTGTAAATAAATTCTGATCCCAGTACCAGTTTTTGCTGTCTATAAGAAGAAGAATAATTGCAAAATATCGTTTAAAACAGAGACTGACTAGTTTCTGTATTAATTAGAGCCTGGGATGACAAATATTTTCTCAGTTCTATAACATCCATTTCCCCCTGGGTGAAATTTGTTGTGAACCGGGTATTGCCAAAATTATCTCCCGTTGAATATTTCAAGCTATATAGAGTTTTCAGCTTTGCCGACTTAGCTTTATCCCATCGATGAATACATTTTCTACATTTTTAACAACTTTAAATTGCTTGCAAGTATTGTATTTTGGCTAAAAAACGGTTTACAAGTTAATGTGGCCCGCAATTGTATGGATTGAGCAATGGTCTCGGTAAGAACACAATGAAATAGCCTTAAAACAGAGATTAAATTTGTTTGTTGTTTGTTGTTTTCCTTTCCATCATGTTTTGCATTAATTTTTTGACGATTTTCATTGGCCGGTTCGTAGTTTGGCGGTATATTTAAAAAAAAAATATGTTTATATCCATATTTAAACTAACTTATCAGTACCAATTTGAATAGTAGTTAAAGTGACCAACATGCTGAATAGCAGATTCCTCGACAGAATGTCCGGATGTGTCGTGTTAATATTCCCCAATAATTGGGCATATTCACCCTAAGTCAATATCCAAGTACAGTAATTTAAGTACATAATTTTAATGTATGGAACGAGTCTCATTGTTGTAAACCGGGTGAAAGAGGTCCTTATATGCTATTCACACTGACGACCATCCACCATCCATCAAGTTCGGGATGGTCGAAAAATCGGGTCAAAACAACACGGAATGGATCTGAAGAAGAAGATTTTGCAAACTCCGACGGGCAAAAAAGTATTATCCGAATATCAGTTGAATTTACTAACAAACGAGGGGGAACGTTGTGAGTTGCTTCGGAGACCGCAACTCTACGGTTATACCCGATACTAAGTCAGTATGGCTCTCCTCCAGCAGGCGGCGTCTAATATTAAACGACACGACAAAGAGTGCGTGCGAGAGAGACAGAAAATCAGTCTGAGCGTGACGTCGGGCGCTGCGTAGCCACTGCAAATTGATTTGTTCCTTTTGGCTATAAAAATGATCTGATCTGATCCAGATTCAGTAATCTGATAGATATGGTCATTATCTATGATTCTGCGTTTTTAGTTTTCTCAAATCTGCAATATTGTGGATGCAACAGATTTTCGTCCTTTGTGGGGGCGGAAGGGGGTGCGGCGAAATTTTGAGATATACGTTTTATAGTGAGATCTAACAGGAGTGCGGATACTAAATTTGGTTACTCTAGCTTTAATAGTCTCTGAGATTTGTGAATATCCCCAGATTTGCATCCTTTGCGGGGGCGGAAGGGGGTGTGGCGAAATTTTGAAACAAACTCGTCTCGGTCCGATATATTAGGAGTGTGGATACCAAATTTGGTTGCACTAGCTTTTATAGTCTCTGAGATCTAGGCGCTAATGTTTTACTCTAAGCAAAGCCGCCTATGCTACGTGTGTGTTAGAGAGAGACAGGGCGAGAAAAAATGAAATTGTTTTCTTGATGCTGGCTATAATAATAATACGATCCAATTCAGATTCCGCAGTCTAAAAGATATGGTCATTCTCTACGATTCTGCGTTTTTGGTTTTCTCGTATCTTTAAAATTGTGGATGCCACAGATTTTCGCCCTTTGTGGGGGCGGAAGTGGGCGGGGCAAAGTTTTGAAATATTTTTGTAGCAGTGACATATCACAGAAGTCTGGATCCAAAACATCGTTGCTCTAGCTCTTATAGTCTTTGAGCATTAGGCGCTGAAGGGGACGGACAGACGGACAGACGGACAGACGGACAGACGGACGGACGGACAGACAGACAGGGCTCAATCGACTCGGCTATTGATGCTGATCAAGAATATATATACTTTATGGGGTCGGAAACGATTCCTTCTGGACGTTACACACATCCACTTTTACCACAAATCTAATATACCCCAATACTCATTTTGAGTATCGGGTATAAAAAACAATATCGACTTTGCGAGACTTCCACGCTGCTGAGGACCAGAAACTGCACAAGGGGAACATTCAGGTGGTAGAGGTCCTTACATCAGACAAGCTCATTGAAGTACTTAAAGCCTTCGATCAGCAAATGACTGACGATGTCCAGGCTGCACTAAAAACAAAAGTCGTTGTGGTCGACTCCCTGGCCGCTTGCTTTGTGGACCACCGAGGCATGGAAAAGCGAAGAACGAGGGATTCCCTCCTGAAAGATTGCATGCAGGGTGAGGAAGTTAGCTGTGAGGGGCGTGGCTTTTGTCATCGGCAACACATCGTTCTCTCAGGATTCAGGTACATTTTGGTTTAGAGGACGATTTATTTACATAACTCTATATAATACGCTTGTTCTACTATAAGATAATTGTGACGATGACGGCTCATAATACGCTTGTTCTACTATAAGATAATTGTGACGATGACGGCTTAGAGGATGGCAACAATGATGGGTCTACGCGGCAGCCGAATAATGCTAGGCTCCTATTGGAGTTAAGTGTGTACGCTGAGATTGTCGCTGGAGCTACCGGAGAGTACAAACTGCGGCGACAGCTGCGAAGACGACGGCCGCCGAATGGTAAATATAATGACGAACACCTATGGTCCTGCGGGAGACAATTGCTTGCTACAGATCACAGATGCAGGACTGGTTTAACGGCGGCCAGACGGGTGTTGCTTCTGGTACGACTTCATTACCCGTTTGCCTTCCTCCAAGCCATCACCCAGGCCGGGATGTTTGCGCGTGTTGGTATTTCCAGTATCTTTCACCACCTGGACTGCTTGCAGTCCAAATCAAAGTCATGGGCGTATTGGCAGCTTGTGCCAAAACGACATCGTCCTTTCCTGAAGTTCCAGCATATCTTGCATCCATTCTTTAGCTGCAAATGTGTGTCGTTGTTGACCATTGCCGTGCTGCTCCAGGGATTGGAGAACACCTCGCCCGTCTTCTTGCCGCCAGCTTGGCCCAGCGCCTGGTTCGCGCTCTGCAACTTTGGCGGCAGCTTCTCGGTTGGCGGCGTGCTGTACGAGGTTTTTTTTATTTTTCTTCCTCTTCGGATTCAGTAGCTCAGTAAATAAAGTCAAATCAGAAAAAGGTAAGCGGGAAAGAAATGCAACGTATGTAGGTTTGTATAAAATGGTACGTTATTTGAACACTTACTGCTTATCAAACGGTGTTATGGACATTTGTGTACCCTATTTCGATATTGCTTTTAAAAAACTTGCGTATAGTTTTGTATACCTCATGTATACCTTTTAAAAGTAAATTGATTTTATATAACGAAATACAACTCAATTTCGACGTCAATATATACAGAAAAGTATATAATGTATACATAATAATAACCGTAAATGGTCATCCTGTGGTTTACGTTTTTTGTTGAATATATATCGGTATACACTATATATATATGTATATATGAATTCAACTTAACTTTAACCATGGTTTATAACTTACTAGGTATACAATAGAATACCTTTAAAAAGAGAAACGAGTACATATCAGAGTTTCTTTCATTCTCAGTGTGCAGGGCTTATTACCCGATTCAAGTTCTGTTATCGGTGTTATTGGTGCGCGCCAAATTGAAATTGTTTGAAAGTGTATGTATTCCATAAAAGTGTATTCAATAAATGATACACGTATGTAAGTACGATTTGTGAGCGAAAATAAAAAAAACGAGGGGGAACGTTGTGAGTTGCTGCGTACACCGCAACTCTACAGTTATACCCGATACTAAGTCAGTATGGCTCTCCTCCGGCAGACGCCGCTAATATTAAACGACGCGACAAAGAGTGCGTGCGAGAGAGACAGAAAATCAGTCTGAGCGTGACGTCGGGCGCTGCGAAGCCACTGCAAATTGATTTGTTCCTTTTGGCTATAAAAATGTTCTGATCTGATCGAGATTCAGCAATCTGATAGATATGGTCATTATCTATGATTCTGCGTTTTTAGTTTTCTCGAATGTGCAATATTGTGGATGCAACAGATTTTCGTCCTTTGTGGGGGCGGGGCGAAATTCTGAGATATACGTTTAATAGTGAGATCTAACAGAAGTGCGGATACCAAATTTGGTTACTCTAGCCTTAATAGTCTCTGAGATTTCTGGATGCCCCAGAGTTTTGAAATATTTTTGTAGCAGTGACATATCACAGAAGTCTGGATCCAAAACATCGTTGCTCTAGCTCTTATAGTCTTTGAGCACTAGGCGCTGAAGGGGACGGCCCGACGGACGGACGGACGGACAGACAGACAGACAGACGGACGGACGGACATGGCTCAATCGACTCGGCTATTGATGCTGATCAAGAATATATATACATTATGCGGTCGGAAACGATTCCTTCTGTACGTTACACACATCCACTTTTACCACAAATCTAAAATACCCCAATACTCATTTTGAGTATCGGGTATAAAAACCTGAATCGGTAAATCAAACAAGATGCCGCTCGCTCGTCATTTTGTAGATATGTTTTTCGATAGCTTTCATTAAAGCTGCGCGGTAAAGCCAAAGCTGAAGATTTTTTTTAAATAAAGGATGCCTTCTTATGAACTTGAAAACGTTCGTATTTCAAGTGTATTACGATTTATTTAACTCATGAATAGGAGATGTGTCTTAGCAGTTAATACTTTGGAGCTTAATAGTTCTGGCGTCTCGCGGAGTTGCGCGTTTGATTTGCCAAGCAGCAACCAAATATAAAGGCCACGAGCTGTAAAAAATAAATTTATTCTCATTAGTAAAGTAGTGTAGTGTAGGACAAGGGCAATTTACCTCAATGGCTGTGACACCCAGACCGGCGTATTTGATAATATTCACGTTGGTATCCCAGAACGAGTCAACCGCGTCCAAGCAGCCAGGGCGCAGCATGACCGCCGTCAGACCACAAGTACCATTGCTGGGTGAGTCACAGCAGGAAGCTGGGTATGAGACGCCGTAATCGGAGAATCTATGCAGACCGCAGCACTTGAACTGCAAACAAATAAACATGGATTATACAAGTAGTTCCATTTGCTTTCCACGGCTCCAACTTACGGTGCGCTGCATGGTGTCCAGGAGAATGCTGTCCGTCTTGCGCTGCTGCCAAATAGTCTCCACAATTTTCTCCAGGGATTGCTGGATCTGTACATGGTCCACCCAAACGTAGATGATCAAAACCAGCTGACTGATCAGCAGGACCATCATCACACTGGAGTACTGCGATGAGGAAGTAAAATGGGTTACATTTATTCGATGTTTTAATGTAATGTAATAAATTTCAACTTACCGTGGTCAGACAACAAGCATCCTCGCGAATGGCTCCACAGCAGCCCATGAACGCCACGAGGAAGATGAGGCAGCCCAGGACCAGGATTATGATGGCCACGCTGTTGGCTGTGAAAGTCTCATCCATGCTCGAAAAGTCTTTGATGGTGGAGACCATAATGGAACCGAATGTGATGAGTAAAATGCCACATATCTGCAATGAAAAAGGTGCAAATTGTTTTGCTTAGTCAAACTCGTTGATAAACAGTCACCGCAGCTATGAATCAAGCGAGGGCTAAAATTAGTTGTATAACAACAGTCATAATATTTTTACGACGGATGGAGCCAAAAATTAGAATGATATAGTTTCATTATTTTTTAAGTGTGAAAAAGAGTATGTTTTAGTCGAAATGCTCGTTTCTGAGCCGACTCACTCAAGTATGACCGATACTGTACTCTTGAAACAGGAAAAATATTTCATCACAATAGGGAATGCACTCGGGGTTTTGCATCTGTGTGGAGAATAGCTCTTGCGCTATCTACGATCACGAATTTACGAGTATTACTCATGCCCCCCCTTATCATTGTTGAGTACACTGTTTTTTTTCGTGACATCTGTTTCGGCCCATTAACCGTAATTGCGTTCATCATTGGCATGCGATGATTTATTTAAGGAATTCTACATTTTTAAACCAATTTTTACCCACTACCTACGATATAAAAGCAGATAAGATAACGCATGGAAATGGTATCCAGGGTGGGGCAAACGCAAACAGGCTCATGTTGGAGACTTAATTTGTCTTTGTACATATCACTTGTGCGATAAGATATTGTGGCAAGCCAACTGCAGGATTTTGCAAAAACCGCTCGTGGGGGCCAACGTTCATTATTTTTTCTTACCACAAACAGTATATTGAATATGAATAGCACATATTTCACAAAAACTCCGCCGCAATCCATTGCTGTAATAGATATTCCTGTAGTTTTTTTTATGAAATGTTAAACAATGTACACTTTGTTCGTTCGTTCGTTTTTCAGGTCCGCTCGTAACTGAAAAAGCTCATCGCATTACTATTCTTTATAACCGAGAATCAAATCGACGAAAGCTTTTCAAGCACATATTTCAAATAAGATAGCAACAAAGCTTTACCTTCCACCCAAAAGTATGTTGCATTTTATTGCATCGATCATACGTTAACTTAAGATCAGGCCGTTTTTAGTTCTTTCCACTCCCAGCGTAGGTGAGCACCCAAGCTAGGGTTTTAAGTAATTCTTGCGGTGAACTCAATATTTATCTTTGCAAGGCATGAGCGACGAGTCAGTTTTGCAGCCGCCTAGCCGCCTAACTAAATAACACTCTAGAGTGGAATAAGGACTATAAAGTTCAAGCGCTCAAGAAAATTAGTATAAAATTGGTTTACTTTTATTTATTTTATTTTCTTTTCTAACGGAAAGAGTTCGAAAATTTGTTTCCTAGAGGGGAAGCGAAGAGAACTCTCACAGAAGCATATATAAACGAGGGGGAACGTTGTGAGTTGCTGCGGCGACCGCAACTCTACATTTATACCCGATACTTACTCAGTATCGCTCTCCTCCGGCAGACGCCGCTAATATTAAACGACACAACAAAGAGTGCGTGCGAGAGAGACAGTAAATCAGTCTGAGCGTGTTCTATAATTGTTCCTTTTGGCTATAAAAATGATCCAGATTCAACAACCTGATAGATATTGGTCTTCTCTAACTTGCGCGTTTTTAGTTTTCTCGTATCTTCGATCGTGTGTGTTAGAAAAAGACAGAGCGAGAAAAAAAAATTGTTTTCTTCATTCTGGCTATAATAACGATACGATCTGGTTCACAATCTGCAGTCTAGAAGATATTGTCATTCTCTTTTATTCTGTGTTTTTGATTTTGATTACCTCATTTTGAGTATCGGGTATAAAAAGAATCGCCACATTATGCACCATTTTTATAATTTAATACAATTTACAACCTCCTAAAAGTTATAAATTATATCCCATGCTATTCCTTAGGTACTGAGTTCTTTCTGCGTTGCGACCGGAATCCGCTACATAACAGCCAATTGCAAATGTTAGAAACTGCGAAAGAAAATTGTCATCAGTATCTGACCAGCGTGGAATTTTAGGAACATTACCTCAAAAACGATTACCATAACACTCGTAAACTTGATAATGTTGGCACACATATTCCAAGAATAAAACATAGCCTCCCGGCAATGGTTTAGCTCCATATCACCCCCATGGATGGGTATATTGAAACAGGAGGCGGGATATTTGGGATATGAATCTGAAGACATGTGCATTTTAGGGCCCAGCTCAATCCATAAGTAGGAGACGAAATATATATGGATTAACAAAAGCATTAGGTTCAGAACGGAGTACTAAAAGAAAGAAAAACTCAATTTTTTAAGTTGTTATTCTATTTTCTACAGCTATTTTTATCTTACAAAGGTTATAACGCTCGACTTTTCTCGATATAGTCCATAGCAGCTCTGCAAAGATAGAAGAACCATGGCGGATCCAAGGACCACAACCGTAATGGGGACAATCTGAGTATCATCTATAATCGAATAATCCCTGATCACGCTGATCATAAACGACCCTACTGTGATGTACAAAAAACCAAAGCACTGTAAGTGAAAGAAAGCGAATCCATAATTACTTCTTTGAGTGATTTAATTTGGATGATTTAATTTGGATCTTTAATGAACATTTGACGATTCCCACCGAGAATAATATGTTCAATATAACCATCACACTTCTAACACTTTGTGCATCTCGGTCCATTGCTGCAGAATTTTGAGGAGAGATTCTTTTGACCCGCTATGCTTCGTATTCCCGTTGCAACTGAATTTGCCTGGGGATAAAGAACGTTACTTGAGAGAAGCGAGCGGATTCTTATCGCTTGTGGAATACTCAGTGGCCAGTAGAAATCTTTATTATTACATGGACATTAATATACGTATGCTATGGAAATGGATGCTCTCGCTGTCTAGGCGGACACTTGTCTGCCAGCATTCTCGCGGCGCATGCAGTTGGTCAGGGCGCCGGCGAAGATGAAGACCAGCAATTCGAATAAGACAATGCCCAGACCGGACCAGCGGATTATGTCCATGTTGTCGTACCAGAACTCCTCGAACTTGTCATTGCAGCCAGGCTTCGTCTCATAAATTTGGGACGAGCAGGAGGTCTGACGGTTCGCGAAGCCGCAGCAGGTGCCGGGCACCGTCTGGTTACCGTAATTGGCATAGCCAGTGTTACCACAACAGTTGAAGGTCACCTCCAGCACGCCGAACGCTTCGGAGTCATTTGTGTTCCATAGCGATGTGACCAGGCTTCTCATGTCGTTCAGGAAGGCCGTTCGGTTGACGAACACCCAGCAGGTGAGCACCAGTTGGAGGATGAAGAGCACGAAGATCATGCTGGTGTACTGCGAAATAGATTTGGTTTAACTAAAGCTTCCATTCCACAAGGAGTACTTACCGCTCCCGTCATACAAGCGCTCTGCCTGAAAAGGCCGTAGCAGCCGAAGAAGGAGACGACAAAGATCAGGCATCCAATCACGGTAATGCAAATGGGGATGGTGTTCGTGTGCTCTACCTCACTCATTCCGGCGAAGCGATTGATGTCGGCCAACATGATCGATCCCAGGACGATCAGAAGGATGCCAACGATCTGAAAGGAGCAGAGAGTGCGGGGGTTTCATAATCTCCATTGGCAGTTCTATTCGGGAGCTCCTAACTTTATTTATTACAAAAAAAAAGATAATGTCAACCAGCTGATTAGGTCCTCATTTGTCAAAAGACATTACAAGCTGCCTGATAAGATTTTAGCTACACACTCATGCACATTTCCATGGGTGATAAACCACAGCAAAAACCTTATGATGATATCATATGAAACCAATGCCCATTCCATTGGCTTTCCAGTGCGCCATATCGTGGACTCTTTTTATAGAACTGATGTAAGATTTTATGCTGAAAAGATCGGTTTATTAAGGGACTAATACATCCGCAGAAATATGGCATATTAAAGAGGGACACGTCCACATTTAAAATAAATATTAAACATAAATGTATGCAAAATACTTTGTAATATTTTATCTTAATTTAAATCCTTTTGAAACACATAAATATGTATATAAAATTTGTTGCTGAATATGTTTCATAATAATATAAAATATTATTACGATTAGTATTGGTTTTAAAAAGTTTATATTTTTATTTAATGTCTCTAGAATGACCAACTATCTCTAGCTGCAGCCGCCTTGGATACCAATTACAGGGACAATTGAAATATGAATAAAATTAAAATTAATAAATACAAAATATTCAAATCAACTTTTTTCCTACTAATGTTAAAAATGCCAGTCTGCGATCTATTGCATTCGTATACGTTTTTAAAAAGTGTAAATATTACAATTTGAGGCCTTATTTCACTGGGTATATATATTTGTTTTTGGCACCATTTTCTTGTCTTGTATTTTTAGTTCATTATCAAAATTAAAAAAATCCTTTGTTTGCAGTCCACAAAATCCAAAAGAAATTATATACATATACATATCTAAAGCTGCCATTAGCTGAGCTTTGTTTTATTTATTTATTCCAGCAGGTTCGTGGCGTAAACTTATTCTTGGTGTAGTTTTCACTGAGTTTCTTTAGTTTATGGACTCACCAAGAACACAACATTAACTACATATAATATGAAATTGACTATGCCCGAAAGACAACCCATGTTGACTTTTGTCTTTTCGTATCCTTTCGAGTTCAACAAATCAAATACAAATTAAATCAAATTTATCCAGGTGTATATTTGAGCGCTTTAATTTTATGATATTTATCGCGTTCACGCGTCGTTTGCTATTGTTCGATTGGACTGGTCTTTCTGTTGGGCTACTGTTTTTAAATTGTCCCTCAGACATGAACGATATCGGAAAGATACGCGCATGTATCTTATCACTTTTTGGGGACCAAAAGAAGCCCACCGATAAAAAAAGGGACACAGAAAAGCAAACGTTGGGTGGGCCAAGCGATAACAATTGGCATTTATAAATGATTCATTGCAAAAGTTTGAGGGCAAACGATCTAAATATGGATGGAGTTGGTGGGGGCTTATCAACCGGTACACGGATATAGTTTTGGGGAAAACAACGACCCGTTCCGATTAGATAAGATTTGGTGGCCAAAGCTAGACATAGACATACAAAAAATATACTTGATTGAGCTTAACCTATTTGATTTATTTATGGCGACTGATGTATGCATGTACTTTCAACTGCATGGATGCTAGGAACTGAGCTACAGCTAATGGGATGATTCAGGCGTGGATGCTCCATATCAGCGCTTCCTCATGGCACTGGCCAGGCAGCAGGACACAATGAAGATGCCCAGCTCGAAGAGCGCGATGATCAGACTGCTCCATCGAATGAGGTCCGTGTTGGAGGCCCAGAAGTCGACGAACTCGCCATTGCAGCCAAGACGCTGGGTGTAAATGGCAGCCTCGCACACCTGATTGCGATCCTTGTAGCCGCAGCAGGAAGCGGGGACTGAAGATTCGTATTGCTGGTAGCCAGTGTTTCCGCAGCACTTGAACTGGATAAGAAATATGTTAGTATTCCCATAAAATATCCAGGAACTTCAATTTCCAAACTTACGGCCAATTGGAGGGCATCCATGGGATAGCCCTGGGCGGCGTTGTTCTCATTCCAGGCCGTGTTCACCACTGTGCTCATCTTGTCCAGGAACTTGTCGTTCGCCGCAAAGATCCAAATCGACAGAGCCAATTGCAGGGCAAACAAGACCAGCATACAGATGGCATACTACAGAGAAAATAGTAACATCAGAATGGAATTCCGGATCACAAGAGGTGCTCTCCAACTTACGATTGTAGTACAACAGGCATTCTCCCGGATCGTGCCGCAGCAGCCGAAGAAGGCCACCAAAAACGTCACACAGCCGATTGTAATAATGATGATTGGGATGGTCTGCGTATTGATAGCTCCCTCGAAGGCCGTGAAGTTACCCATCGTGGACAGCATGATGGAACCGACAACGATCAGCAGTATGCCGCCGATCACGAAGATCAGGTTGAGGAAGTACAGCAGGTACTTGAACATGGCTGATAGGCAATTCATGGTTCTGGATTTCTAGGTTGCACGGTTTCTCGCTGAATATAATAGTATTTCGGCTGATTCCGAATGTCTCGTTCTATAATCCGTACGCTCGTTCGTTCGTTGGGACTGTTTTCGTTAAACTGAGTGGCTTCCATCTAGACCTGGGGCATTATATTAAACCATTCGAGGTCCTCATCTTATCAGAGTTGGAACTTATCTCCTCTTGCAAATAAAATACCTTTATGTATAGGTGGTCCACTCTCTCGTTTCCTATCTCGCAGCTCATATATGTACTCATATGTACCCATAAAAGTCATTCATGGATCTTATCGTCTTGCACTGGCGTAGATAGTACAATAAAGTGGTTGGAACTACTTGCAACCGAACCCGAACCCAACGAATGTACTCAAAACAGGTGTGAATCATTTGTTGGTCTAAACAGTTCGTATAGATACTTATCTACGAGTATGGGCGGAATATTACTTCATACTTATGAAATTCTCACATGGGGGCAGCCCGTTCTCTTCTAAGATGAATCATTTACATTCCGAGCACTTTCTTTGCACTTGGCAATACGTTGTCGGTGGGGGCTACAAGTTGGCCAATAAGATGACTCATATGACACTTTGGCTGGCCGGAGTTGCGACGTGAGTCCCCCGTCTTATCGCGTTGATTTATTATTTATCAATCCAATAAATATGGTATACGTTCTGGGTGAGGGCACTCCAAGACGAAATATTAAACATTTCGATTAAGAATCTGACAGTTGGTGGGGTTTTTTCGCCTTTGGCATCAGATCCCTGTCCGTAGATAAGAAATCCCTATGTACACAGATTACACAATGTGGATAGACCAACCGACTAAATATAAACCTCTGTAGGTTAGTTTTTCTCATAAAGTGGGTCAAACGAAACAGAAACCATTTGAAATTTCTCAGTTTATTGCAATCTTTCGGTCAGGTGTATAAATTATTTTGTACAGTAAAAAAAATATTAGCACTCCAATACATCTATCTCTCAACTTACAATCTTCGAAAAGCGATTATAGCGAGATATTCATGGGATTTCATTTTCTTCGTATAACTTGAGATTATGTAAATTTCAATGGCCGTCTGTGTCAGGTGATTTATATCGATATACTCGTATGTATGTATGTAAATAAAATTGGGCAACATAATTCGTACTTTCGGTTTCAATTAAAATTAGTAAGGCTTTTCAAGGTCCAGCACTTAATAGTCCGCGCGGCGACGGTAATTCCGGATGCTGTTCGCCAGACAGCAGGCAAACACAAAGCCCACAAACTGAAATATCAAAAGAATTTTTCAATTAATATGTATAACCATCAGCGTTCTGCGTTGTGGGGGAATCTACCTCAATGGCGGCAATAACCAAGCCGGCATATTTGATGATGTCGCTGTTTCTGTCCCAGAACTCCACAAAGGCCGCCTTGCAGCCGCGTCGGTAGACAGTGTCCGGGCGGCAGTTGTTGGTATCCTTGCAGCACGAGGGGGGGAAGTAGCCTTGGAAGGAATAGTCCGAGAAGTTAGTGCGGCCACAGCACTCCATCTGGAGAGATACCAAAAACGAGTGTCAGATGTTTTGATATTTCAATTCTGGGGACGGGACTGAAAACTAACGCTAATCTGTATGGCATCCATGTAGTCGGCACGACGGGTGCGTCGCTCCCAGGCCTTCTCCACCACATCGCCCATTATGACCAGATACTTGTCCTTCTGCAGCCACATGTAGATCACCAACGCCAGCTGGCCAATCATCAAAACGAACAGCAGAATCGAGTACTGCAAATAAAGGTCGTGCAAGGGTAAAGAGAGACCGATTCTAGGAGGATCAAATGTGCGTATTTCGTACCGTCATGGACATGCAGTAGGACTCGCGAATGGCACCGCAGCAGCCGAACCAGGAGATTAGCAGGATAACAGTGCCAAGCACAATCATTGTGATGGGCACCTGCTGGGTGCGCAGCGCCTCTGCGAAGTCATCGATGTTGTGGATGTTGCTGAACAGAAGGCCTCCAAACACGATCAACAAAATGCCGCATATCTGGGAAAGATCATATAAATATGTATTGTTTTAATACAATTAAATTAATCAACTTTGCCTATGTTATTTGTAAAGCTTTGAGCTTTTCACCATCAAAACTAAGCTCTGTCAAAAGCTTTAACAGCTTTTCCCTAACAGTTGCTACAACACTCTACACTGCAAGAAAACTATTAAAAATATAGGGTACCATAGTAATTTGAATAATTTCTAACGGATGGTGGTGATGAAGCTCTGGCCTCTCCTTCCGAGGCCTATCAATGGTGTTGTTCTGTATTAGCTCTTATCAATGTGGGCTCGCTGCGGTTAATTTAGATTAATTTCTCTGATAAATATGAAGAATATATTTACTATGGCTTTGATTTTGTATCGCAATGCGTCAACAACTATTTTATTAGATTAGATCGGAGTAATTATCTGTCGGAGATCATAGTTTCGATGCATGACCTAAGCCATTTGGTTGAGGGCATTATTGGATGAGATCTGACGAAAATTGCGACACCAACAATGTCTGAAACACCCACCCATCTTTTCCACTTCGATGTATATCTGTTTGCACATCCATCCTCCCCGACAAAAAAAATAAAACACGAAGAATATTTAGTTCAAGTGTGCTCTAAAAGCCGACGCGTCGCCCACCCCCCCACCCCCGCCCCCCCCCCCCCCCCCCCCCCCCACCCCCACCGTTCCGTGCGTGTGGGGATGCAGTGTTTGGCCAAGTTTTGTCTCGACTGAAATGGGGAGCAAGTTCACATTTAATTAAGTCAACTATTTTCGGGCGTGGGGGGTCAGACAGCACCCACCCGTCGCTCGAATGTAATTACGTAACTTTACATTGAACAAATCCGTCAAAAGAGTAGAAGGGAGGGGTCATACTGCCGATGTTGATGTTTGCGTGACTGGAATGAATTCCGCGCTGCAGCAAGTACCAGTCGGAGTCGGATTCGGATTCGGATCACACCTGCACACATCGTATCGCAGTCCCACGAAAACCAGTTACAGTGCAGTACAGTCCTCCGCTGTGACTTTTGTGGAACTAAGAAGTTGCTAAACAAATGAACAACGTAACTTTTTTGTTTTTGTTTATGTTTGAAACCAGTTAGCCTCGAGCGGATGCCCGGCTATGGTACGGATATTTCTTGGAGCCAAATGTTATGAGCTCTCAAACGAATGTTCAACCTCAAACAAAACTCGTTTTCAGTCAACCCAAGTAAACAGAATACCTTTTTGTGTATACAGAATTTACATATAAAAGAGCCCCCTGCTACCACTACGTCACGGGTTCCAATACTCTAAGATCTTATAGATGGATAAATGCAGAAAGTGATCTATAATAAACTTCGTATCATTATGCGTCAGATTTCATTTCGTTAACATCTGGACTCTATTCAGACTATTCGTAACAAACTTGAAACCCAAATTATTGTTCTGAAACGCACTGTTTTTGGTTAACCGGTTTTTAGGCCTCAACTTTCTCACAAAAACTAAAACAAACAAAATATTTTCGGAAAAACCAGTTTTTACGGTAAAACAAAACTTATGATATCATATCCCAGACTAAACTTGGAGACGTACTGGGCTTGGCCAATGGCAGGGGGAAAATGATATAATCTATAATGAATGTCGATGCTATGCTTGTTTTTTACTCACCGAACAGAGCAAATTGAATATAAACAGTATATATTTAACCATGGAGATTCCGCAGCTCATTTTGCCTGAGATTCGTTGGGAGGACGGTACGGTGTAGAATGGCTATCGAAATTGTGGAGAAGCTGCAACTGTTCGTTCGTGGATACAGAATAGAATAGAATTCAGAATTGAGAAATACAAATGGATCGTGCAGACGTAGCATTAAGTATTTTATCGTTTTATTTGGGAAGCAGCGGCACACAAATGCAGGGTCGCACACACACAGCCACGCACTGATGTCATCCAAAACAAATTCAATATTTTGTTTATTTAAAAAAATGCCAGCATTTTGATTCGATTTGAGTGGGAAAATTAGCACGCAATCACGTACACGTACTCGTACGGTCTGGAGTGCGGTTGGGAATCGGATCGGATTTTCAGTTTCATTTCGTTTCAACGGCCTTGGAACTTAGAACTACATATGTTAACAATACGCTCGGTCAGTATTGAGATCCCGACACCGTGCGGGATTAGCGAACCAGCTCGGGCAGCAGCTTCTCCTTGGGCAGGAGCCAGGCCTTCAGCTCGTTGTAGCGCCGCCAGATATAGGGATAGCGTGCCGCCCAGGACAGCCAGGCTTCCTTCTCGGCGGTGGTCTCCTCGACCCGCTTTAGGTGCTTGTAGTATTTGCCGTTGCGCTTCACCCCGGAGGCCAAATCCTGAGCGAACTTTGCAAAGCGCAGCTTGAGCAGCGTCTCGGAGACATCCAGCAATCGGTTGCCCTTGGGCGGATGGACCAGACAGAGCTGGCACACAATGTAGTCCTTCTTTCCGCCCTTGTTCAATGGGATGAAGGTGGCCTCCCGTCCCACGAGGCACTGCTGCAGCCAGGAAAAGCCATTGGCGTTGACGCTGACGCCTGGAAGCTTCACCGGGAGCAGGCGCGTGCTGCTAGTAAAGATGGGTATAAGCGGGCGGTGCTTGATCATCAGCAGTGTGTCCTGATCCCGCTGCTGCACGCCGCTGATCTTGCCCGTGTGCATAATGCGCTCGTTGATGATGCGCTCGGGGATGTGCGACGGCTGCTTGAACTGGCGCACCAGATAGGCAGGTTTCCGCTTGGCGTAGGCCACCGCCAGCATCAGAGCCGAGGTTCCGTAAATGACCAACTCACTGCCCAACGTATCGCGTTCCAAGTAATTACATAAGCCCTGGTACTTCTCCCGCAAATAGGCTTTATTGGACTCCATATCTGTGGCCGTATTCTATTAAGTAACTACCGCCTGCAATTGTTTTTATGTTGAGAGTAGTTTTTTTTATGCAATTTCTTATGACGTCATTTTACCAACCGAATACGTCAACAAGGTAATATCTTCCACAGAGTCTCGCGCGTCTGTCGTTTCTATATATTACTTATATCTATATGTATTATCGCGACATAAGGCTAATTTTGTCAGATTTATTTTGCCTTTTAGCGCTGCTTCTGTTTTGCTACTAAACAGACTTTGACATGTATTGTAGGCCGGCGACGCCTTGAGTGCGAGCGGGATGGCGTGTGTGTGCGCGATCGTGCGCAATCTTGCGTACGTTGTATTTCATCGGTATATTTACGATATATTTTGAAAATAAGACCGTATATTTCGGTACAGAGAGTACAAAAACTCACTCAACAACACACCTTTGGCGTTACTTTTCTTCCGTTATTTTTTTTTTTTTTTTTTTTTGTACGTGCTATTCGCGCGCGCTCACGATATGAACTGGTGCCGACGTCAATAGAGACTGAGACGAGAGATCGGTTCAAAGCCGCCACTGCTAGAAGCTGACGCTGCCCCAACCGCAACGCAACCGCCTGTTGCTCTTGCCTCACACACACGAACACACGTACGAACTTTGGCGCTCGGCCCCCCAATTTGTGTTGTGATGTTGGCGCGTAGCATTTTGTTCGTTACGGTTCCCCGAACCAAGTCCCCACCTCCAACTTTAGGTGACGATGACATCGTTCAGGGGGGCAGCAGCCGTTTTTTCAGTACGATTTAATTGCACTAACTTGTTTTGTTTTTTGTTTTGCTTTTGTTTTTGTTACCAAATGGTGAACCTTTTGTTTATTTATGCAAATTACCAGCGGCGTTTCGGTGGTTGTGGTGAAGGCTGATAAGCTCCCTTTCTGCCCTCTGTCTCTGCCTCTGCCTCTCTGCCTGTACGTAATGATTGTGAATCTGCCCCGCGGCCCAAGAGATTGGGAGATTGTGAACAGCAAGATTTGAGGCCAGTTTTCTCAATTTCGATTCCACAAAAATTGATTAAAAGAGGAATTCACAAAAAGCACCTATAGAACATTAGTATGGAATTATAAGGGCTTTACCAATCAATCGTGGCTAAGAATCATCAGTAATCAAATCTATAGGCTGTCGCTTTTAAGCAATTATGGCGATAAGGGATTCGAGAACGGGCCTATTTCCCTGCGACTTTCACGATATTGCGGTTTTGTGCACTGTCGTAGGCGTTGCTTAAAGAGGGAACAGGTTTGCGCCTGAAAGTATTTACGTGCAACCAGTTGGGGCTCCAACGGCAGTTTTCCCCACCCCAGCCACAAGGCCTGGTTGGCCCTACTATGGCTTCGGGCATGGCTTCCGCTTTTAATTACATGCAGCGGGGGTGTGGGAGAGAGGAGGCGAGAGGTATCCGTTGTAATTGTCTGTAACTTTTCCTTGACACACAACAACTGGTTTCCAAATTAATTTCGTAATCCAATTGTAGAGAACGTGGATTCGAAATTTTATTTTTTGGATCCGAAAACATCGAGCCCTAACTGTATCCGTCATATTTGTCTTTCCCGCTGCTGACATTGCTAATTAACAAGTGGTGCTCCGTACAATTAACCTTATGGCGTTCCGTATGTAAATGTATTTCCCCCAGACGATCAGATAGATTCTAGAAGAACAACAACTACCGAACAACCGAACCCAATTATTGACAATACAGAAACGATTATGAATCACTTGTTGACTATGAATTTCCAGTTTCCTCTCCAGCGTGGCGTACATCTGGCAAATGGCAAATTACACATTAAGTAACAAATGGAATTGTCCCTCAAGGGGAATGAAATGCCATTATGATGAAGGAAAAGCTCTCGGTAGCGCGGATTTGGAAAGCAGCATGCGTCACACTTGAGTTAATTCGCAAATTATCATCCCACTTATCCACCACCCCACAGGGAAAAATCTAATGAAAGCCCCCTCCTCGTTCGCGAACGGATCAGCATGGAAGTTGTTTCCACAGCTGGCCAAGCAACTGGGCTGTGAGATCTTTGGTTCTGCGAGAGTATCAGGCGGATAAATATTACACATTCTATATGTATATACATACATATGTATGTACATAGATAACTAAAAATTAAAAATCTGTATATTCGATTGGAAAATAGGGACGCCATTATTGTGTTCTTTATTTCGTGTGTGGCTAACCGCAAACAGGCAGCGTAGTCAATATAATCTCCATTAAAAATCGTATCTTGATTACTGAGTGAGTTCCATAGAAGGGGCTCTAGATCTAGATCTGGATCTGGATCTAGATGTGAATCTGAAGGTAGAGCTAGTACAAGCGTCGTGCATATTGCAGTTGCTGTCCGGCTGCCGGCGGTACAGGTCCAGAGCTCGAAACGGGTGGAGTAGCCGTCTGGCCAGGCAGCAGCGACAGCTGTTGTCGGTTCAATTGCCCCTCATGGCCTGAGCTTCCCCGTCCCGGGGGAAAGCCTTGTGTAATGCTGCCAGTAGTCTTGGAATTCTGTCATAGAAAGAGAGAATATTTCTGTTAGGCCCAACTGTTGCACAGCATCGTCTGTTCTGTTCTGTCCCACTCACCTGGCTGGTGCTTATTTGCAGCACATTGGGATGCATTGAGAGCTCGCTCATCATCGGCTTAAAGATCACGCCTTCCGACAGCAAATGCGGCGGCGGTGGTACATGGTTCTGTGGCGCACCGTCATGCTTCACCTCAATGTGATATCGTTCCGGCAGCTTCTCCATTGTCACCTGCGGCTTGGACGTCTGAATGGACAAGCTGTTGGCGACACTGGTGGCCTGCACCACCAGGTCGGACTGGGAGATGGGCGGTTGATCCAGATTGATGTGCAGCACCTGCATCGGCTGAGCCTTCGGCGACTGAGTGTCGGAGGCCTTGCTCACCGTAGCACTCGGCAGCTCCACATGGTAAGCCTGTCTCAGGGGCAGGGCGTAATTGTAGATGGCCGGCAGTCGGGCGTCCGCCTGCTGCTGTGTGGTTGGCGGCGCTGCGGTGGTCTGGTAGAACAGGGTGCCCGTACTGGGATACTGCGCCGTGGTCTCTGCAACATAGAGGAAGCGAAAGTGCTTATTAGACGTGGGGCGGCGGGCTGTGATGGATGCGTTGGTGCTAGTTATGTTGCAGGTGTTCTATGGATTGGTGTTGTATCGATTGTGGTTCTTACTGTTCCATGATAATCTAGCATAGTCCGCGGCACGACGGTAGTCATCGTGTTCTGCGAATCAATCGTAAACAAATAACGAAATGAAAATAAGTTGTGTGCCTGTGTGGGTTAGCGATTAGTGTGCGGAATCAAATGAGTATATCATGATTGGGAGGGACTGGAGGCTAGGGACTGGGGTTTTGGTCATGCAAATAGTACAACGCTAATCAAGTACAGTGAAGGCTCCCTGAGCAACGATTGTGTGTCAAGTGTGTTGTGGTTAAACGTAAATTCAAATCTGTCTTCGTCTGTCTTTGGCAGCGTTCACTGTAAGTGTCAGCCCTTGACCGCAGTCTGGCTTACTTTGTTGGGCAAAGCTGGCGGTGCTCTTGTAATACGCATGATTGGGGGGCGAAGGACTTCGCCCTCGCTTCCCCGACTGGTTGCCGGGCGGTGGCTGAAACGTTAACAAACTCTGATAAATTGCGGCTGATTTTAGCTGCCAATCGTATGCATACTTTCGCTAGTTGCTGGTGATGCTGTAGTCGCAGGGTCGGTAGAAATACCGAGGTGGCCACGGTGGCCGCGGCCTGTTGCATGGCAAACAGTTCGTTCTCCTTGGCCTGCTTTTTGCGTGTTTCATCTTCGTTGAGCACCTTCTTAAGCTGGACCAACAGCTGGTGCTTCTGACTGTGCAGATCCGCCAGCTGCTCGTCCAGCTTGGTGATCTCGTCACGTGTTTCCTCCAGAGCCTGCTGGTTCTCGCGCTCCCGCTCCTCCTCCTCCCGCCGCACACGCATCTGCTCGCAATAGGCATCGTACTCCCCCTGCCGGCGCTGGCGATCCGCCACAATGAATTTTCTGAGCGCCCCTCGCAACTTCTCTGCACGCTCTGCCTTGGCTGCCTGTGCAGCCGCATTGTTACTGTTCACCGCGGACGCTGGCGGCATTTTTGCGTTCTGCTTAGTTATTTTTCCAATTTTACCAGCCTTTACGAACAGTCCTCGCAGCAAATCACTCCACAAATGGTGTTGTGATTAAACGGCCAGAGGGAAAACGCAGCGCAAAGTTTATAAATGTAAATTATTTTATGCCTTGATAGCGCAGTGTTGTCGCGGCCACGCAGTACTTGTTTGACTATGCTGATGTGCTCTATTTCATACAATTCCGGCCAAATCAGTCTCTAAACTATTTTATGGTATCTTTTTATTTGACTAAATGTGTATTTTGTTAAAGTAAGCACAATTTTAAGAGATAAACAATCAGATTCTGCGTGTGCGGGGGCAACTCTACCGCGCTACCTTTAACATAGAATTAACATGGACATTTAACAGTGCCACATCCCTGGCAGCCCTAGCATGTTGAGAAAAAGGGTGAGTTTTAACCTTGCATGCCGACAAAATTCGAAGTTTTTTGCCTGTTGTCCGTACCTTTTTTTCTCCAGTTCTATTGGAAATGACACAGGGTGATTACGGTATATTAAATACTTTCCGTATATTCTGACGTCCAAATTGAGTTGAAGCGACAACCATAAAATACTAGTTCATACAACGATTTCATCAATCTATTAATTTAATTTTCAATGTTATATAGAAATCCAATAAATGCAAGTGTTTCGAATAGGCCAATCATGTATAGAATTGATTCATCAATCGTACAAAATTGAGTGGGCATGGCTAAATGTTCTATATAGACAGTATTATTCAACGGAACAAAGAATTGGTCGTTTTTTGAATCGAATTTGATTTCGCCGCAGTTCGCTTTAGCAACAATGAGTCTCATTCCATACACAAACATGTTGCTAATGCCATGCACACATACCCTGGAGGAAATGGATATTATAGAATTGAGAAAATGTTTGTCATTCAAGACTTCGTAGGTATCCAAGATACTAATAATGTACTTGAATATGTCTAAAGAATATCAATTTGAGAAAAGGTCTTAATAAATTACGTTTGATCTTCATATAAAATTAACGAAATAGGGTGTACAAAGGGCTGTACACGCATCAAGTCTTCAAATACCAGCAACATTGCGACTCTTCTTTTTGTTGAACTTTTTCGTTTAACCCTTTTTTTTACAATATATACAATAAAAGCAAGGATTAAAAACTATCCAATCTTGTAGAAAATTGATTTATTAATCGTATAAAATTATGTGGACATGGCTAAATGTGCTATATATATAGTAATATTCCACGGAAGATCAAAATCGAGGAATATGTAAAAAGAACTTGAATTTGTCAGTATATTAACGGTATATTTTGAAAATGAGGCAGTGTGTTTTGGTTTATTTCTGCGTGTATTTTATCGGTATATTTGATCGATAAATGTGCTCACAAGAACAACATAGTGTCGAGTTTTTAAAATAAATAAAAAAACAGAAAAATCACAAATATACAAAAATATAAAAAAAATATATATATAAAAGTATTCGATATATATTTAACATCCCTAGTCGCAGTTTTTGTTGTTAGTGCGGGTGCGGGTGTACGTGTTTTGGAATTGGAATAAATGCAGCAGCAGCAAAATCAGTGAAATGTGTTCAGTTTTTTCGATGTGTTAACAATAAGATTAGCTATATAGCATTGTCAAGCCCACAAGCCACAAAAAAGTGATAAACGTGCCTATCCACTAAACCATCTGCGGCAGGCAGTTCAGGGAGAAGAAGCGCGACGGAATAATCAACAAAAGCGGTCAGCGGCGGCAAACATGGCGAGTGAGTAACAATAATGAATAAGGAATAAGTGAGAAGGAAATGAGTTTCTTCATTTTTATGTATGCTGTGTGCTGTATGCTGCTCTTTTAATGCGGGAACACAACACACAGATTCCGTTCTTTACGTTTTGTTTGTTGCTTGCGGCGCAGCCCCCCAATATAAACAAATGCAACTCATGCGTGTCATTGTATAAGTAAAATCCATCTCTCTCTCTCTGTGTGTGTGTGTGTGTGTGCAACATGTACTGCCCGTGCCCACACCAAACATATTTATACATTTATGAGCTGCGAAGACACCCAATCGAGACCAGGTGCAGTGCCGTGCCGAGCCGGGTGCTCTCGAGTGTGTCTCCTACTTCTATTTGTCTGCCCTACGTTTCGGCGGTGTGGCAGCCAGTGGGAGGAGTTGGTGGGCGGGCGCGCTAGATGGGATGTGTGTGTGTGCTCTTTGCTAGTCCCAGTCTTTGCCCTTAGATGCCAGAGTTATGTGAGAAAAATCAATATTTACGCGTTTTTCTGCTCGGCTGCTTTGCACAGTGGGGGCTCCAGATTAGATGATCTCCCCAGCTCTCCCGAGTTGACCGTGTGCTAAGTGCACCGGCTACCGGTGGACTCAATCCAATCAGATTTCTCTCCTTTATCCTCTAATGGCACAAGCGCTCGCAATTCTGCAATTCTGGCGGGAATTGAGTGTGTGTGTGTGTCTGTGACTTTCTCCCTCTAACTGGGACTGTGCCACTAGCTGTGGCTGTGGTGAAAGAAACCATCCACCTAAGCCCCGCCACTGAACCACCGCTGGGAGCAGCTGCAGTGACGACGCATTAATAAATGAATATGCCTCCTGTGAGGTGCAAGGTTTACCGGCATGTTTCAACACTCGCCTCCCCCATTGAAGCCACCCCCAGGGGTGGCATAACAAATAACAATGGATAAATGAAATGAAACGTCCAATAGCTTGCGATACCCTGGAATATCTGTCTAAAAAATAATAGCTTTATACACGCCAACAGTTTTCGGTTCCAGTATGCCCCGCATCCACCGACAGCTCTGTTAATATACCCTTTCTGTGGCGGAGGAACGCAGCAACATCCCACAGCACTTAAACGTGCCTTGGCAGAGCAGCAGTCCACTTCCCCCACATCTCCAGCCGTCGGCAGCTGGGACCCAACGTTGCGAGACCCACTGCCAGTTCCAAGACCCACGGATGGGGTCCTTCTCCTGCCCGCTTTGGCTCACTCGCTTTAGAATTTAATTGGTCCTTTGTGTCTGCATTTTGTCGACGCGTTCGCTTGGAGTTTGCTTCGACACAATTTGACTGTCGCTTGGCTTGTGGCATCAACCCAGCAATCCAGCACCCCAGCAACCAACCCCAAAGCGCTGATAAGACCGATATCAGAGCACCCCAGTGCTGCTGCCTCTTCTTTATGGTTATTATTATTATTTTGGGCTGCTTTTTTCGTTGTTGTTCATTCGTTCCACGCAGCTTTCCCGGATTAGCTGGCTGTTACGAGTATTTTAGTTTGCCCGGCAACGAATTTATTGCGAGGAAACCCGTCCCAGGCCCCCGGCATGTGGCGGCTGCCCTTTCTGCGTATTCCTCTGGCGGTGCGCCTCATCTGGCTGTTTGACTTGTGATTTCCTTTTTCTTGTTCGCCCTCTCTTGATTCTTTTTACTGCTAATAAGAATTCGGCCCCGTCTAATGGCCTTGAGAATGAATGAATAAATGAATGGGAGGGGGAGAAATGGGGGATGGACTGTCGTTCTGTTCGTTCTGTTTTAATTGAGTTCGTGCCCCCATTCAAATTGGCATAGAAATTAATTTCAATTAACTTGCGAGTGAGTCCTGTCCTGTGTCCTGTCCTCCCTTTTGGCACACAGTAGGTTGTCCCTTTCGAAGCTTTTGAAGCATACTTCTTGGGGTCTGAAGTGCTGTCAATTCCCGTCCCCCACACTTCGATTGCCAACACAGAGTTATTTCAAGTGGTCCATAAACTGAAGATGAACTTTGTCAACGTTTGAGCCCTGCCCTTTGAGGCCAGTGTGTGCATACCCGTATGTACACGCATTCATCTGTATTCCACTTAAAGGGAGTGTGTACACACTGTAAATACTTTGCCAGGGAGGGGAAGGGAAGGCATACAACATATAAACATTGCAAGAGATCAAAGCAGGTGGAGTGCCTGAATAACTTCAAATTAAACTGCTGTTTCAAGAAAATGTCATCATATCTTTCTGCTATTAAACGACTCAAAAGCTGATTGCCATTAAAGCTGGTCGGTATGAAACTGTTAACTCTGGATTCTATGCCCCTATGAAAGCTGAATGCTATGAAAATACTATTCAGTCTGGGTGGACAATACTGATTGCTCTGAAACTTATCAAGCTAACTGCTATGACTCATTCATGGCTATTCGTTGTGATCGTTTTCCCACAGTCTTCGTCCAATCTCGACTGCCAGACATAACCATAAATTAGTGCCAAAAACGATATTCAAAAAGCCAAACAAATACATACCGTCCTCTCGCTCACACAAGGTTTTTGTTCAATCAAATGCTTAATTATAATTGCTTATCCGAAAATGGGTTTTACATCTCCAAATTGCAAAAAACCGTCAAAATTTGAAAAGATTCCCAAATCCCCTCTGCTGTCTTGACACGCACACAGCTTTCTCAAAATCAAAAGTTCGTCAAACAAACAAAACAAAACAAACACACACTTTTTGCCTTTGCACGCTGCTGGGCAGGACGGAGAGATAATGGAGAAGCCACCAGGACAGCGCAGGAAGAGGAGGAAGCCACCTGGACAGAGCAGGAAGAGGAGGAAGCCACCGTGATGCCTGGTCAAGCGAGATGCCAACTCCACGACCGGCTGGTCAGCGACCTGTGCCTGGGCAACTACGACCACGCCTTGGAACGGATCCGCGAGGCCCTGTTAATGACCATAGATCGCAAACAGATCGAGGCCCTCTTGGAGATTAAGACCATAGTGATTCGATTGTGCGGCGACTCGAATGTCGGCGGCGATCAGATTTTCGGCCCCACCTTACAGTCGGACGCACTGCCGCACGCCTTCACCGCCGAGATGCTGGACGTTGTTCAGAAGGTACTGCGATGCCGCAACCACTACGAGGTGCTGGGCCTCTCGCAGAACGACCCCTTCTCGGAGGTGAAGCGCTCCTACAAGAGGCTGGCCCTGCGCCTCCATCCCGACAAGAACCGGGCTCCTGGCGCCGAGATGGCCTTCCGCCGCATCAGCGAGGCCGCCGACTGCCTAACGGACCACGAGAGGCGGATAAAGTACACTTTGGACATGGGCATGGGCGACTCCGAGTACTCTGATGGGGAGAATGTGGAGCAGGAGGAGGGAGAGGAGGACTACGATGGGGGTACGCCGCGACGCCCCTATATGGCGGCCAATCAGCGCGTGCCCCAGAGTCAGGCGCTGTTCCAGACCGAACATCTGGCCATCGGAATGGTGTGTGCGCTGCTCTTCATGTTCCTCACCATGCATTTCCTAAGCACCGTGCCCGACTACAGCTTCAAGCGCACCAGGTGAGTAGTCGTTCAGGGAACAGCCCAGACTTGCGGCGGGGATACACATCTCCTATCCAATCCACTCCGCAGCACCCACAGCTTGGTCCGCTTCAGCCATTCCAGGAATATAGCCTACTACATGAGCCCGAAGACCGCCGCCAAGTATACGGAGGAGGAGCGCCAGGAGCTGGAGCAGGAGATCGAGAGCGTGTACATCCAAGACCTGAAGGTGAACTGCCAGCAGGAGACGAGACTGCGTGAGTTGTTCGATCCGCCCAGGAGGGTTCATGTGTTGTCATGTGTTGTCATGTTCCTTCCATTCCTTCGTAGGCGACACTCTGCGCCTGCGGGCGAGGCAGGGCGATCTGGAAAATATGCGCCACCATGCGGAGGACCTGCCGTTAGCAGCCTGCAAGGCGCTCTTCGAGATCGGGAAGTCCAGCCCTAGGCCGTTTCTGTCAAGTAATCCAAAGAAGCAGCAGCCCACAGAGGTCTAGTCTTGCCCCAAGACTCAACTACTCCTCCTCCTGCTCCACATTCTCCCCATCAGAGCACTCAAAGTCGCCCCTGCCCCTGCCCTTGTCCAAATTGTACTATATCGGGGATATCTGTTCAAAGCTAAAATTTGTGAATAAATTAAGTAACCAAACCAAACCACTCTGCTTTTTCTACTGTGACTGTGACTGTGACTCCCTTTTGAGTGCGGGACTTCCAGCCCACCCCTAGCTGGCGATAGTTGCCGATAGTACCATCACTAAGAATTAAGAAACAAAACAGATAGATACCGTGAAAGAAGAAGTGGGGAAGAAATAGTTTTCCAACGGAAATCTTCAGAATATCTTCTTATTTTCGTTCATTTATGGTCGAAGAATAATAAATTCGTATATATCATACTAATTTTCTAGGTATATTTATCAAGTAAATACATTTCAGTTAGCACTAAATTCAAATCATGCATCTTAAAAATTATTCCGTTTTTACATTTGTTCCTAGATTTGTTCCTTAAAAACCGGGTAAAAAAAGACATTGATGTACATATTCTCCTTGTGATCTTTCTTGTTTTCGTTTGGTTCATAGCTGTTTGTGAGCTGTGTGTGTTTTTATATACATATACATATATATGTGATGTTATTTTAAACCGTATTAAGTGGAAAAAAACCGTGTACAAAATTAACAATTTTTGATTTTCAAACCGTGTTATTTCAAAACTGTGTAAAAAAAGACCGTGTAAAAACAGAATTATGTGTATTTGTATATAAAATAGCTATATTAGGGGGAAATTCTCGTTCTAAGGCACGAGCAGAAATTTGTTTTAGATACAAAATAAAGTATTACGAAAGTACTTTTTGGTATGGTTTGCTTGTAGCTAAAAAAAAGGAATTTATTAAATTAGTTCATCTAAAAATATTTAAAAATGGGTCTAAAACATCGAGGAATCAACCGATTATAATGTTTCAACGCTCGGTGCCGGAGCTGGCATTTCGTGATATTTTTTGAATGCAAAAATTTAATAAATTACTTCCTTTAGTTTAAAGTAACGTTTTTTTCAGAACACTAAATTCTGTAACGAAAGAATGCCTAAATTTGTAGACCTTAGAACGGGAACTCCCCTTAAGTCTACGTTTCTACATTTCCCGATCTATAACGATACTTTATAAACGTTCGTTAATGAAGATCGAGGATATCCAATTCTCACATAACTAAATACAATTTTCTGGGATAATTTTCGATCAAAAGGCTACCAAATATATTCCTGGGATATTCTTCTGAAGTTCCTGATTAGAACTGAACACCCAGTGGAAGAGGACTAACAAATATTGATTGCCATATTTACGATACAATAATTACGACTGCTCCCATAGCAAAAATTTCTGCACCAGAAACTACCATGGTTTCCATTTCGGGGCCACGCGAACTTCCTGGGGCATAGCCCACATTCTGCAGAGACCCAAAACAAAAGGGGCAGAAATTGCACACGAATCAAACATGCAACAACAGCAGCAACTACGTACATACATATGTATGTATATAATACACATACATATATTTTTGCACTAGTTTTCGGGAAATTTTCATGTTGTTTTTCCACTTTTGATGTGCATCGTTTGATGGAGAATCGAAATACAGCAAAAAATATACATAAAAACGAGGGGGAACGTTGTGAGTTGCTGCGGACACCGCAACTCTAGAGTTATACCCGATACTAAGTCAGTATGGCTCTCCTCCGGCAGAGGCCGCTAATATTAAACGACACGACAAAGAGTGCGTGCGAGAGAGACAGAAAATCAGTCTGAGCGTGACGTCACGCGCTGCGTAGCCACTGCAAATTGATTTGTTTCCTTTGGCTATAAAAATGATCTAATCTGATCCAGATTCAGCAATCTGATAGATATGGTCGGTATCTATGATTCTGCGTTTTTAGTTTTCTCAAATCTGCAATATTGTGAATGCAACAGATTTTCGTCCTTTGTGGGGGCGGAAGGGGGTGGGGCGAAATTTTGAGATAAAGGTTTTATAGTGAGATCTAACAGAAGTGCGGATACCAAATTTGGTTACTCTAGCTTTAATAGTCTCTGAGATTTGTGAATATCCCCAGATTTGCATCCTTTGCGGGGGCGGAAGGGGGTGTGGCGAAATTTTGAAACAAACTCGTCTCGGTCCGATATATTAGGAGTGTGGATACCAAATTTGGTTGCTCTAGCTTTTATAGTCTCTGAGATCTAGGCGCTAATGTTTTACTCTAAGCAAAGCCGCCTATGCTACCTGTGTGTTAGAGAGAGACAGGGCGAGAAAAAATGAAATTGTTTTCTTGATGGTGGCTATAATAGTAATACGATCCAATTCAGATTCTGCAGTCTAAAAGATATGGTCATTCTCTACGATTGCGTTTTTTGTTTTCTTGTATCTTTAAAATTGTGGATGCCACAGATTTTCGCCCTTTGTGGGGGCGGAAGTGGGCGGGGCAAAGTTTTGAAATATTTTTGTAGCAGTGACATATCACAGAAGTCTGGATCCAAAACATCGTTGCTCTAGCTCTTATAGTCTTTGAGCATTAGGCGCTGAAGGGGACGGACAGACGGACAGACGGACGGACGGACAGACGGACAGACGGACAGACGGACATGGCTCAATCGACTCGGCTATTGATGCTGATCAAGAATATATATACTTTATGGGGTCGGAAACGATTCCTTCTGGACGTTACACACATCCACTTTTACCACAAATCTAATATACCCCAATACTCATTTTGAGTATCGGGTATAAAAATTAATAAAACCAGGCAAAGTCCCGAAATGCAAAATAGACTGAAAAAAAATGAAGCAATTGCCCCAGAAACTGGAGTGAATAAATGCCTCAAATGGGCGCCGGCTCCTCGGCTTCCTCAAAGCAAAAGCTAACGAACTTGCCACGGAACTCGAACGGAATGGATGGATGGCTGTAATGGAGGGACGGAGGGATGGAGCGGCATGTGGCACACTCTGAATACCAACGAGTACCAGTTACCAAAGCAAACATTTTGAGGCACGCAAAACAAAAAACACAACAGCGAAAAAAGGCTGTGGCAGGCAGACTCTTTGCCTCTGTCTCCGTCTCTGTCTGGCGGAAGTAGCGCTGCACGACCTGCGCCACCTGCACCTGTCTGCCGCGTCCATCGGGGGTTGCCACCTGTCCTTCCAATTGCATTCACTGCGTTTCAGAGAGGACAGAAGAAGAGGAGAGGAGAGGGCACAAACAAGTGCCACAATTTGCCTATTGAGGGGATTGCATTGAATGTGAATCTGCATATGCATTTGTATTTGTATTTGTATTTATACATACATATGTATACTGTATACTGTATACTCGTGTTCAGAAGTTGAGGATAGAGTTACCTTTCTAAGTGCAACATGTCTGGCAGTTAGTTCTCTCCGCCGTTCCCTTGTTCGAATGATGCTGCGAAGAGGAGGGGTGGCAGCAGCGGCACCCATCGGTAGGGTTCTCCTTTGCCCTTTGTTTAACCTATTCATTATTTATGCTCCACAAAGTTTGTTGAATTGCCCCTACCCTGGCTGCCCCACTCCACTCAATGTTGCTGCCACCAACTGTCGCCAGTTGTCGACTGACGACGGGGGTCGGTCGGGGCCCTTGTCCTTCGCTTCGCTTCGCATCGTTTCTCCTACTATTCATTCCCCGGTCCGAATGTGTTTCAAAAAAAGGGAATGACTGAAATAATATTGTGATAATGCTGGCCATAAAAGACCCCACCCCCACCCCCAGATGCGCCTGTTTGGGGCCCAGGCACCTGCTCAAAAAGGGAAAATCAAATTGAAACTTAAGCCACATTTTACGCAATTTTTGCAAGGTTTTTTTCTCCGAGCTAGTGGCTTTCCAGGAACGGAACAACGGATGGGAGCAACGCTTTAGAATTTGCTGATGGGACGCAATAGCTCTGATCATTCCGTTATGAAAAAGAGGCAGGGATCATTATGTTCCAGATGCTAGAACGAGACAACCACTGTACATCGAGGTGTGCATGTATGTGTGCATGATCTGCCGGCATGGCATTCTGCTGTCTCTCTCTCTCTCTCTCCCTGTCTCTGTGCTCTCAATCGTTCTCTCTCTAATGTACTAGAAAAGAATAAGATCATTATTTGAAGTCAAAAGGTGTCTATGAAAACCAATTCAAGTTTAATGCAAGTGGAAAGCATTTGGAACCTTCCTAAGGGAATAAACTCTTTAATGGTAATCGCAATATCATAACTATAAAGCATTCTCAGCGAATTCCCTTTACTCTTCGACAAACCCAAAGTCTTAAAAGTCTTTAAAGGGTGTTCATTTCCTCTGTTTATAGCTCCATTCCACATCCACTCCTTGAACCCGTGATTGCTCTCGCACATTGCTTTTGTTTCGCCCGCGGCAAGGACTTATGCAAATCACTTCTCCGTCTGTGGTCTCCCCCGCTTCTTAGCCCCAGAGCATCTGGTGGCTATGGGCAGGGAAATGGTCCTTTAATGCGACCCACGCTCGAGAAGTTTTCCTGAGCACACAGCTCTGTCCTAACTAGATTCTAATGGCCCAGCTTTTTTTTTTATACTCAAAACCCACACAGGAATATGCTTTGGTTCAGGCTGGAGATGTCCCACGTATTCTACATATATTCATGCACGTCATTTCCCTTTGAAAACACTGTCCTTTGCCTGTCCTGGCTTCGGGCACAGATGATAATCGAAATTGGCAATCAATTTTGCTGTGCAAAAAAGGGACAGAATAAGAGAGTTTTACCAGTCTTCATATAGACTATAGGATACTCGTTACCCTGTAGAACGTCCCTCGTCACGCGTGAAAGGGAATGAGCATCATAGATGTCGTGTGCATGATTGGGCACAGTGATACTTGACTTGCTGCTGTAGAGCCTGCTGTAGCATAGCATCCCCTGTTCTGCCTTAAATAGGTATTTCTCAAAAGACAAACTACTTCTTCAGATAATATATAGTTTTTGTGGTCGGAAGACCTTTCTTCTACCTGTACTGTATGTATTTCGGACAATAATTAATTAATGATATATTGTCGTCTCTTTGTTCCCCGCTTTCTCCTGAAGCTGAAATCGACGAGCTCATCGAGCAGCTGAAGACGACCAGCGTGAGTGCGGGCAACAGCAAGACGACGAACCTGCTGTGCGAGATCTCGGCCACTAAGGACCCCAAGCTGTTCGATAAGCATGAGCTGGCCGACTGCTTCCTGGAGTTGACCCAATGCGAGGACACGAACGTGCGCAAAGAGGCGGCCAAGTGCATAGCGGAGATCACCAAGTCGGAGGTACAGCGCAAGAAGTTCACCAAACGCGACATTATCGCAGCCTTTTTGGAGTGCCTGCGGCAGGTGCCGACCCCGGACGGCAGCATGGAGCTCCCCATACAGATCTGCAGGGCCTTGGGGAACATATGCTACCTGAATGACGAGGCCCGGGACCTCATACTGGAGCTGGAGGGGGATGCGGTGCTGCTGCAGCTGCTCGACATTGCCAGCATCGATGATGTGGCCAATGCGGCGCAGTTCATCAAGGTGCGCGGAGGATTGCTCTCGAACTATCTGCTGGGTGGCGAGGGGCTGGCCAAGAGGGCCATGGAACTGGGCGTGATGAAGAAGCTGCAGGCGATCATCGCCACGGGCGCCTCGAATGTGGAGGTACACGAGGATCTGCTGCTGAATACGCTGCCCCTGCTCAGCATTCTCACGGAGAATGTGGCGGACCTGAACTTCGAGGCGTCGCTCAACATTCAATTGTCGCGCATTCTGGCCGCCTCGACCAACCCGGACCTGGCCGAGATGTGCCTGGAACTGCTCCACTACCAGGCAGAGAGCGACGAGGTGAAGCTGCTGCTGGCCAAGGACGGGCTCTGCGAGACCATCTACAATCTGCTTGAGAAGTACAAGACTCTGGCCAGCACAAGCGAGGCCCGGGCCCTGATGAAGCTCGCCTGCGAGCTGATCGTTCTCATTCTCACCGGCGGTAAGTAGAGCCCTCCCAATCTTGCCGCAGTTAACCTCACTGCTTGCATTTTCCAGATGAATCGATGCACTATCTGTACACGACAACGCTGCTCAAGAACATGGTCGACTGGTTGGACTCGTCGGACATTGACCTGCTGACCACTGGGGTGCTGGCCCTGGGCAACTTTGCCCGCACCGACAGCCACTGCATCTACTTTGTGGAGCAGCAGACCATGAACAAGCTGCTCGAGGTGCTGGCCAAGAACAATGGCGTCAAGGACGATGTCCGTCTGCAGCACGCACTGCTGAGTGCGTTGCGAAATTTGGTCATACCAAAGCCGAACAAAAATGCGGTGATCCAGGCGGGCCTGGTGCAGACCATTCTGCCCATGCTGGAGATCCATCAGCCACCTGTTGTGTTCAAGCTGCTAGGCACTCTCCGAATGACTGTCGACGGGCAGGGTTAGTCCATTATACGTTCCCCTTTTCATGTTCGCCTTCCTGTAGCCCCGCATGTCTCTTTTTTGTAGAGAAACTCGCCCTGGAGCTGCTGAAGAACAAGACGCTGATCGAGCAGCTGGTGCACTGGAGCAAATCGTCGGACTACGCGGGCGTCACCGGGGAGTCGCTGCGCCTGATGGCCTGGCTCATTAAGCATGCGTATCTCAGCAAGATTGCCTATGCGCTGCCTCGCAAGGGCGACGCCCCGGCCGAGCAGATAGCGGACAGGATTCCGCTCACCCAGGACTATGATCGCACCAGCCTGAGCGAGTTCCTGGCCAACGAGGGCACTGTGGAGGCCATGGTCAGCATGCTGACCGCTCAGCACCTGGTGATGCAGAACGAAGCGCTGATTGCGCTGTGCATACTTTCCGTGGTCTATCTGTCGCAGGCCCATCAGGCGGGGCAGGACCAGGCGCAACGCCTGCAGGATGAGCTGGTGAAGTACGAGGTGGGCAAGAAGCTGGCCGAGCTCATCAGCAAGTCGTCGGACAGCATGACCAAGGAGATTGTCGAGAATCTCCAGAACTGTGTCAATCTGCTCAAGTCTTCCGAGAAGCTGGTGGCCCATCTGGATCAGCATAACATCAACGAGCTGCTGAAATCCATACCCATTCTCACCGAATACTGCACCTTGTAATACGAGACTGCTGACGGAGAAGGAGGGGCCGTGGCATTGCATTTACCCAAGCACCGCAGTATGCCTAATTTCATAAGCACACACACCCACGAGTGTAGCAGAGAGGAATGGAAAGGAAGGGGGAGACCGGAGGAAGCAGTGGTGTGTAGCAGTAGAGCAACGATTCAGATTTAGACTTGATTGTAGATTGGTAAGGAGCATGGAGGGATGGAAGGATGGAAGGGCCCACAACAGCACACACCGCACAGATTGAAAGGGGAATGTATTTTTTAGACGCAAGCGTATTTTGACTGCATTTACGACAGCAACCAACGAGGAGGAGTGGAGCCGCCAGTGGGGACGATACAAATCGTATGAATATTTATAATATACGAGTATATAACATTTACATATAACGAAAAGAAGGAAACAGTAAAAGATAACAATTAATTCATAATTTAGCATATAAATCTTTTCTGTTACATGATTTTTAAGAGCACAATAACAACAAATCGTGGTGATATCGCTAAATATATTTAATAAAAGTATTTTATGTATTGTACTTATAATTTTAATTGAACATTTTAAACCGTCGTTTTGCTGGCACACACACCAAAAAAAAACACACACAACAAACAAACGATTTGCGAGCACAATGTAGTTTTAGATATTTTAATTGCAAATCTCAAAGTATTTCAACTGTACAACTCAGCGAAGTTCTTAAATAACATTTTAAAGGCAACTTTTAAACATTAACAAAACAAAGTAACGGCAACTCAGTAACAATCAGCAATTCAGAAAAAAATAGTTGAAACCCCAAAATAGAAATAGAAATAGAAATATGCAAATTTTACAGAGTGTAGTCGTAGAAGATATATTTCAAATTTTTACCAATTATTATATATAATGTAATGTACTTTGAAAAATTGTTTGGTCACCAAAAATATAATCGAAATTAAGGCAAAGTTTAAAGAGCACCATTTATGAGGGAAAAACCATACAAGTATGGTGTTTATTAAGAGCGTTGAAGCCACACACACACTCCCAAAAGCATATTTATAAATTCTAAACACAATAATGTACATTTAATAATTCAAATAAAATTTGAAGTTCATGAGAAATAGGAGAAAGAAACGCGAAAGCTGATGATTTTCATTCATTCATTCAAATTTACGGGGCGCAACTGTTGAGCGCGCCAAATATGAGGGAAATCTTTCAATGCATCGAAAGAGCATTAGAGATGGCATCACAGTGAATAGTGAACTGTCTTACCTGCAAGAAAGACACAACATGAAAGAAAAAGTCTGCAGTCAAAGAGTTATGCTAACAAAATTCCTTATATTAGCATATAGCAATCTGCCACCAATCTGAAAATCGGAACCAACGGATCTCCGACAGTGTAGTGTCATACGCTCATAATTGGTACACTCGACTGCCATCCCTAGCAATGAAAGGTGCGTTGCATTCCAACCTTTTGACGTTGAAATTGAAGTAATATTTAGGTAATTTTTTGGTAATTTTAGTATAAATCCTACATATAGTAATGCAACAGAGTGGAAGAAAATGTGGAATGGGATCATGGAAGAAATATTATTACTATTATTGTTTTCCGCGGCTTAAATCAAGTTTTTATACTGTTTTGAATAAAGGGGGCTTAAGAGGGCTAAGTTCGTTTTTATCGGTATATTTACGGTATATTTTGAAATTTCTGCTGTATATTTCGGTATATTTCTGAGAGCTGTCACACTGTTCGAACGATTTCACTGCTGAGATTTCACTTTTGCATATGTATAGGTTTGTATATATATGTATATGTGTGTATGTATGTATTTAAATTAAAAAAAACTGCAGCGACTCCATAAGGTAATAAGGTAAACAACAGGTAATTGTGGCAAAAACAATCCCAGCAGGCGTGGATATATCAATACATCTGCTCCAGAACGATCAAGTTCGCACGATATAAACACTAACAGCCCGAATATCAGTCGAAGGCAGAGCAATGGACGTTAATAATGACCAGGCACCTGTCGGATTGAGCATCTCTCCGAAGACTTACGAATACGCGCTGCACGAAAACCCTCACCTGGCCCTGGCCCCACCATCGGAGAATGGCGAAACATTTCTTACGCGCGGTCGTTTCAGCTATTTTCATTACGGCTGCGACGGGCACCAGGATGCGGGCTGGGGCTGCGGCTATCGCACCTTGCAGACGGCCATCTCGTGGATTATAAATAAACGCAGCGATGCGGATCAGCATGTGCCCTCGATACGGGAGATTCAGAATATATTGATTAGTCTGGCAGACAAGCCCGCCAGCTTCGAGGGCTCACGCGGCTGGATTGGCACCCTGGAGGAGTTCTACGTGATCGATGTGCTCTTTAAGTTGCCCTGCAAGATCCTACACACGAAGGAACTGTGCTCCCAGGAAGTGCTCGGCCAGATCCGCAGCTACTTTGTGGAATACCAGGGCTTCATACCGATGGGCGGCATAAGTGATACGGCCTCCAAGGGCATAGCCGGGTGGCACCGGACCCAGACGGGGGAGGTCTATCTGCTGATTGTGGTGAGTCAATTAACCCACTTGCGGCGACCACATTTCTGCCACTGACTGATGCGCAATTCCCTCTAATTTAGGATCCCCATTGCTCGGACGTGCCCAGCTACAAGCAGCTACTAATTGAACAGGGTTTTGTCCGTTGGATACACATCAGCGAGTTCCAGACGAGCACGTACAATCTGTGCCTCATTCTGCAGCAGTAGGCTCAGAAAAGTTGGCCAATAAAACAAGCAAAGCCAAATTGATTACGATACACTATCGCCTGCCGGTTTATAGCCTCGTTTTTCTTCTATTTTAGCGCTCGTTGCCCCGCTCGGTTCCCCCTCAATGGACATTATCGCTTTTTTGGCCAACCGACTGATAACTGCTATTCCATGACGATGGCACTGATAAGCCGGTGCCGGCACTAACTACTGAAACAGCAAACCCGACGAACAGGCACGGCCACTGCCAGACAGAAAAAAAAACATTACACATTAGTAAGCAAAACGGGAAAAGACAACTACCGGTCTGCCAAGAGAAGCATGGATCTGCTGCACCGTGCCTTGCTCACCGCCGTCGGTGCACTCTCCCTCTTCTATGCCCTGGTGAAGATCAGCCTGGGCTACTGGAAGCGACGCGGCATTCTGCACGAGAAGCCAAAGTTTTTTTGGGGCAACATCAAGGGCGTTGTGGGCGGCAAAAGACATCTGCAGGACGCCCTGCAAGTCATCTACGCAAAGTACAAAGGAAGAGCGCCATTCGTTGGCTTCTTTGCATGCCTCAAGCCGTTCGTTTTGGTGCTGGACCTTGAGCTGGTGCGCCACATTCTCGTCACACACGCGGGAAACTTCACCACGCGAGGTCTATACAGCAATGACGGCTCTGAGCCGCTATCGGGAAATCTTCTACAGCTGGACGGGCACAAGTGGCGGGCGCTCCACGCTCAATCCACGGGCGTGTTCACCCCAGCGAACATCAACAAGCTGCTGCCCAGGATCGTGCTGATCTCCAGGGGTGTCCAGAGAAGCCTGGGAAAGGAACGTCTGCAGACCCTGAACATCAACGAGCTGGTGGACAGCTATAACTTGGACGTGGTGGCCTCGATGGCTTTTGGACTGTCAGCCGATCACACGGAGTTCCGCCTGTGGACCCAAAGCTACTGGGGCAAGTTCAGTCTGTGGCGTGCCTATCTGGCATTGGAGTTCCCCCTACTCGCGCAGCTGCTCAATCACAAGAGCTACGCCGTATCGGCCATGGCCTACTTTCAAAAGGTGGTGCTCGGACAGCTGCAGGAACAGCGTAGGAGGGATCGCCAGCCACTGCAGACCTTCCTGCAGCTATATTCAAACATGGACCAGCCACTGGACGATGTCCAGATTGCAGCACAGGCCTTTGGCTTCGTCCTGGCCGGACTGGTTCCCCTAAATGCCACCCTCAGCTTTTGTCTCCACGAATTGGCGCGGCAGCCGGAGCTGCAGGATCGAGTCAGAGCAGAGATTCGAAAGACTCTGGAACAACACAGCGGACAACTGACAACGGAAGGGCTGAAGGAGCTGCTTTACACGAAGCAAGTTCTGAATGGTAAGTGGGTGAAATTCCATACCACACACACATCCTGATCTTGACTTGCTCCTCCAGAAACGCTGCGCCTGCACACACCTTATCCTTTCTTGTTGCGCCGAGCCACCAAAGAGTTTGAGCTGCCCGGATCGGTATTTGTCATAGCACGGGGTAACAATGTTCTCATACCCACGGCAGCGATTCACCGGGATCCTGCCATCTATGAGGAACCCTTGCGATTTGATCCGGATCGCTTTGAGACCGAAGCCAAACGAACCCGGCCGGCCATGTCCTTTCTGCCCTTTGGCGACGGCTTGCGCGGTTGCATAGCCGCCCAGTTTGTGGAGCAGGAGCTGCTGGTGGGTCTGGTGACCCTACTCCAATACCACAGATACACGCCCTGTTCCAAGACGGCAATTCCCCTGGAGTATGACAATGGCAGGCTGCTGTTAATGCCAAAAACGGGCATTCATCTGAATGTGGAGCGGGTGGACAACTAAGGGCAGTGCTAGCCAGCCCCTGGACTTACTATTTTGTATTGTTTTCTTCTGTATTTTTTATTGTACAAAGTTTTTATTTGTTTTTATATCCTTATTTGCACTAAGTTTGTTAATTTCTTTAAGCTCCGGTCTTGTGTGATAATGCAGACGATGATTTTATTTATACTTACTGCACCAAGATCAACAACCTGAACAAATAAATATACATATAAATTTGAAAAATTGCGAATTTGGGCCACTGATGATCAGAATAGCCGTACATTGTTGATAATTTTTCCATGCCAGCAGCTGGATGTGACAAAAGATGGGTATTACGACAACTAGGTGGCGCTGGGAAACATGCACATGTTGCTGGACAATACTCTGCATAATGGAATGAGAATAATTTGAAATACCCTTGCGAATTATAATACTGTCTCGATCATGAATAGAATACATATATAAACCAATTTAAGGCTTTAATCTATCTCAACGAAAGTTTGTACTTTTTTGTCAAAGACAAGTAGTTCTGATAAACACCTCTTGAGTTTCAATGCCTTTATTAAGAAGCAGCTTAATTAAAAGGTCCATTTTCAGATCGGAAAAATGTTATTTTCAACCATAGCTAGAATTGAATTGCCATTTCGATAAAAAGTATATATGGTATAAATAAATAGTATAGTGATTTTTAACATAATGATATTTAACCGCCAAATGCGTTTCGATTATCGCACCAAAATACAGTTATTTTTAAATAAAAGGGGTTGGCTAAGTTATTTTTTTCATCGGTATATTTACGCTATATTTGTGAGGGTCAGATGGTCACAGGGGTGCTCTTTCTTGTTGATACATGCAACGAAAAACTGAGCCGGGAGAGCGTAATTTTGAATGAGCTATAACAAGCTTAATTTTGATTGAGCTAAAAGGGCAACAGGAAAAAAGCACGCACTTCTCGTATTCGTTTGTTGGGATTTTTCTCCCTTTCATTGTGGGATATCCTCTTTTCGCGAAGTGATTTTTCGACGCAACAATTTCCCTGCAACATTCCAGACACATTACCGTTGGCAAATTCAATTTTTATGGGCCAGACTCATGTGCCGAGAAATCGAGCAGCATGTCCCGCAACATTGGCATTCTGTATACCCTAGGAAAAAGGATATTGTAGAATTATAATATGTTTGTCATCCCAGGCAAAAACAATTTATTTTCAATATATTAGGGACCAAGAATAGGTATCAGGATCGAGATATATATACAAAACACTCATCATATACATAAATATGTTTAAAAAATGTCAATTTGAGAAAAGGTCTTTATTCGTTACGTTTTATCTACATATCAATATTTATACTTTCATATAAAATTATCAAAATAGGGTATACAAAGGCCTATACTACGGCCTATACTATAAGGTTTTCGTTTAATCCTTTTTTACAGTAAATAGAATAGAAGCAAGGATTAAAAACTATCCAATCTTGTAGAAAATGTATTCATCAATGGGATAAAACTATGAGAGATTTAGTTAGTCAGCATTATTCAATGGAATATCAAAAACGAGGAAAATGTAAAATAGAATTTGAATTTGTCAGTATTTAAGGTATATTTTTAAAATGAGGCGGTATATTTCGGTGCTATCACTAACCATACAGTATATAGATGTGCCAGTTCATACAACGAAAGTGTCACACACCGGCTTGCGCTATCCGTACCCCAGAGTGACGTCATCATGAGAGAGAGAGCGCAGAGAGAACATCTTTGCATGTGTTAGTACACACGCAATATGTTTCGACAAAAATATGTGATTGTATGTTTTTTCAGATTTTTTGAACTCTCTCAGGTCTGATCTGTTTTGCCACCAGCATGTTTTAGTGTATGGGTGCCCATGCATTCTCACGTACTTTGCGTGTGTGTGTTTACTATTGCTGGCCGCTAGAACTGAAATTTGAGTTTGGTTCTTGTTTCGGGTCTTTTGATGGACTGACCTACCGCCACAAAATAAATGAAGAATGGGCAGGGGGTGGGGGTATGGTACACTAGGGCGCGGGAAACAAAATAAAAGCTGTTATTTGTTTGATTTATACCACAAAATATAAAATATTACAATAATATAATTACACATTTATTTCCTTATTTTAAACAGGTTGATTATAAATTATACAAATTATGCAAACGCCGTCGGTTCTCGGCGTTTTTGTTTATTATAACTAAAACAATGATGTATCTAAATATACAATATAAGAAAATACTTAAATAAATATGCATAAATATACATAAATGGAATTGGTTTTACATATATTTCAAATCAATTGTCAATCGCGCGCTTTCCGACGGGAATCTGCAAAGTACAAATTTAGATGCCGGTCGCACCTTGAATACTCTCATGGACAATACCCATAAATTTTCTAATTCAATTATAAAATATCTTATGTACATACATATGCACATAAATATTAAAGTTTATTACATTCGTATATTGCATGAGGGTTTTCAAAATTACTGCTGCCCGGTCAGCGTCGAGTCGGTGTGTCTCGAGAGAAAGAATACAAAAACAAAATATGAATCGTCTGCGTGCTGAAACCGTAGGGCAGCGTGGTCGCTGATGTCTTTGGCGCGGCACAGTGGGACTTAGCCGAAATAGTAAAAAAATTGTATGAGTGCTTTAGATAAATTCTAATAGAGAATTTTCCAATCGAATTTTCCCACTGTGCCGCTCCAAAGACATCGGCGATCCGCGACCACCGCTTCGACGGTGCTGAGGCTCGAGAGTCCAGAATTGCCGAACAGACGAAACCGATGGGCAGCGGGGTCGCGGTAGAGACGAAGTACAGGCGAAAAGGGAATTGGAAAACTAAATTTGTACTTTGCAGATTCCCGTCGGAAAGCGCGCGATTGACAATTGATTTGAAATATATGTAAAACCAATTCCATTTATGTATATTTATGCATATTTATTTAAGTATATATATATATTTTCTTATATTGTATATTTAGATACATCATTGTTTTAGTTATAATAAACAAAAACGCCGAGAACCGACGGCGTTTGCATAATTTGTATAATTTATAATCAACCTGTTTAAAATAAGGAAATAAATGTGTAATTATATTATTGTAATATTTTATATTTTGTGGTATAAATCAAACAAATAACAGCTTTTATTTTGTTTCCCGCGCCCTAGTGTACCATACCCCCACCCCCTGCCCATTCTTCATTTATTTTGTGGCGGTAGGTCAGTCCATCAAAAGACCCGAAACAAGAACCAAACTCAAATTTCAGTTCTAGCGGCCAGCAATAGTAAACACACACACGCAAAGTACGTGAGAATGCATGGGCACCCATACACTAAAACATGCTGGTGGCAAAACAGATCAGGCCTGAGAGAGTTCAAAAAATCTGAAAAAACATACAATCACATATTTTTGTCGAAACATATTGCGTGTGTACTAACACATGCAAAGATGTTCTCTCTGCGCTCTCTCTCTCATGATGACGTCACTCTGGGGTACGGATAGCGCAAGCCGGTGTGTGACACTTTCGTTGTATGAACTGGCACATCTATATACTGTATGGTTAGTGGTGCTATTCTGAGGGTTATACTGTAGAAATACTGGTTTTCGCCGGTATTCCATGGTATTTTTGTCAATTTCATCAATCTATTAATTTAATTTTCAATGCTATATAGAAATCCAATAAATGCAAGTATTTCGAATAGGCCAATCATGTATAGAATTGATTCATCAATCGTACAAAATTGAGTGGGCATGGCTAAATGTTCTATATAGATAGTATTATTCAACGGAACAAAGAATTGGTCGTTTTTTGAATCGAATTTGAGTTCGCCGCAGTTCGCTTTAGCAACAATGAGTCCCATTCCATACACAATGTTGCACATTCCATACAGACTGTTGCGGCAACATTTATTTGAAAACCGTATTTTAGTCAAAATAAAATACGTTAAGATAATTAAAAAGCAATCTTGTAAAAAATGTATTTATCTATGGGATAAATCTAAGTGGGCATCTATATAGCTTGAAATAGGCAATACCCGATTCGCCGCAGTTTCCCTTTAGCAACAATGAGTCCCATTCGATACACAAACATGTTGCTAATGCCATGCACACATACCCTGGCGGAAATGGATGCTATAGAATTGTGAATACGTTTGCCTTCCAAGGCTCAGTAGCTATCAGGATCGACATAAATATATACAAGATACTATAAATGTACTTGAATATGTCTAAAGAATATCAATTTGAGAAAAGGTCTTAATAAATTACGTTTGATCTTCATATAAAATTAGCGAAATAGGGTGTACAAAGGGCTATACACGCATCACGTCTTCAAATACCAGCAACATTGCGACTCTTTTTTTTGTTGAACTTTTTCGTTTAATCCTTTTTTACAATAAATACAATAAAAGCAAGGATTAAAAACTATTCTATCTTGTAGAAAATTGATTCATTAATCGTATAAAACTATGTGGGCATGGCTAAATGTTCTATATAGCTAGTAATATTCGACGGAAGATCAAAATCGAGGAATATGTAAAAAGAACTTGAATTTGTCAGTATATTTACGGTATATTTTGAAAATAAGGCGGTATGTTGCGGTATATTTCTGAGGGTAGGACGGTATATTTTATCGATAAGTCCGCGGTCACACTGTTTCTGCATTGTCGAATTTTTCCCGTTGGCCGTCGGTTACGCGGTGGCTGTTGCTATTTTTTAAAACAAATGTAAACTGAAGGCGCCTGGAAATTTGAATTAAAATGTGTTCTAGTGCCAGTCGGCATTATTCATAGAGTTTCTGTACCCTGACGCCGCTGAAAGTGGCTTAGAGCTGTGTTTGCGGGTTGTCTGTTTTTGTTTGTCTATAAGAAAATACGAACCTGAGTCGTCGCGTCGATGATACCGAAACGCAAAACGAAAGAAAACGAGAATGCAGTCGAAAAATTATAAGTAATCGAAAATAAGGCATAAAATAACAGTTAAAGAGACATCTAACTGTTGTCTGGCCGATGAAAAAAGGAGTGCGAAAAGTGCGCGAGAAAAATCACCGAAACCGAATTGCAAGGAGGAGGGAAAAGTGTGTATGGTTCGGATTTCGAGTTGAAAAGCGAATAATTTATGCAATTTTCAAAGGCAAACAGAAATTAAGCGTCTGTCTGCCATGCCAGTGAATGTGTGTGTGCGTGTCCCGTGTCTGTGAGTGTATAACAAAAGCAACAACAACTACAGGAGAGGCAAAGGACAGGATCAACGTGCCGCGCCGCTCGGGGTAGTTTGTTTGAACAACACAGACCATCCAAACCAGGAGGCGGACGGAGAGTGGGAGGAAAAGCAGGAGCAGGAGTTGAGGGCTGGCTGGGAGAGCGTGGAGCACTCACACGGGCACACACTCCTTTGTGCGCTTTTGCCGCCTGGAATGCAATGCTACAACAACAACCACAGGATGGTCTGAAGGGGAGGAAACGCTTAATTGTTTGCAGCAGCAGCGGCAGCATCCCGAAATCGCAAACAAACGACTGCATTTACGGCTCCGTGGGATACTTTTTTGTGTGCTGAAAGCAGATGCACGCCGACTGCTTGGAGAGAGGAGAGTGCATTGTAAGTATCCTTCAAGTGTTGCTTTGCTCTCCTTCTCCCCTTTCCTTGTGTGTGTTGAGCAGATAAATCAAGAACAAAAAAGCAAAATCAAGAAAGCACTTGGCCTCATTTGGAGTGGGCTAATTATAAAAGAGATTGTGTGGGACGGGGTGGAGGCAGCTGCAGTTCCGTTCCCTGACCAACAAGTATGACCAGCTTCCAGTGAGATGAGGATAGATAGCAGCAGTAGCAGCACCAAGGACTTCCAGTGTCTATTCCAGTCAGCCATGAAAACTCCTTTCATTGCCAGACCAGACCGAAACAGCACTCGTACAAACTCCCCTTTTGAAGTTTCCGTCTGTTGCTGCTCTATTTGCGCAAGTGCAGGCTATGCTCTCCTTCTCCCTGTTCATCTTTGTTCAAGATTTTACCTGAATTGTTTCGTTATCTTCAATGAAATAAACCCGACTTAGGCTGGGGTCAGCTTTATTTTTTTGGGGTTGGTTCTGTTCTGGCTTGCAGCTGGAAGGGTTCCCCTAATCGGAACAGGAACCGGAGCAGCACGTTGACACTCGTCCAAACTCATCAGAATAATAACTGTTTATGTGAGGAATGTCTCTGCCTCTCCTTCTCCTTCTCCACAGTCATGCTCTCTTATCGCACGTTTTTGTTTGTAATGTCACGACGCCCTTTCGGCTAATGTGTATATGTGTGTGTGTGTGTGTTTGCGTACCTTTCAAACGACTTTGCTCTCTTTTTCTAATGGAAGAGATAAGCGGTAATTATTTTTAATATTATTCCACATTTCAGTTGTTTCTGGGATGGGCTTGGGCTGCTCGTGATTCCAGATTTTTCGCACATTTGTTTACACACTTTTTTACCCAATATTAGACACAAAAGGTTTCGTTCTTAGCGGATTCGTCTTCTCTCGTAAACGATACGCCTAGAATGTCTGGCGATGCACTCACACAAAGAGCGGGCCGAAGCTAGCGATACCCTTTCAGATCCCTTGTTAGTGTGGCAGCTGTAGATCGCCTTTCTACGCAAAGCTTAAATTCTTTCTGGTAACAATAATAACGCTCTCTGTAAGTGTACAAAATTCAACAAATTTGAAAGTCTATCCTGGCTGACGATAATGATAAATGATACCTTGACCAAAAGAACAGAAAATGTTGGCCCGGGTCTATCTGATTCTCGGCCAACCCGCTCCTAGAGTAACTCAATCCGGATGCTGGCACACCTGCTGGCGCAATTGCCAAAAATAAAAGGAGAGAACACGAGAAAATGCTAACAAGACAGAAGGAAAATGAAAAAAATTAACCGCAAACAGCTGTCGGGCATGAGGGTATTCCATTGCCTGCGCCTGCTCCTGCGCTGAATCAACAGCAAACTTGCGTCTTAATAAAATGCAAACAAGACTGCACAAAAGGAACACACACTCAAATAAATATAAATAATCGTATCTTTATGGAGAAAGGCCTCCCGGCTCCCGGTGCATAGGCGAACACAGTAGGCTGGCGACTCGGTTCTTCTCCAGAGCCCAACACAATTGCTAAACAAATAACGTAGGGAAGCTCTATACTACCATTGGATACCCCCTAATCGAAGGTAGTTTTTTGCACAATAATTTATGTACATATTGTACGCCCCAGGTATATACCCCTATATGTGTGTACATAATTGATAGGGCGACGTGGAGGCTTGGCAAAAATTGAAATCAAAACGTCAGATGCGTGGGGATCAAATTTGGTTGTTCCACCTCTAATCGTGTTTTGGGTGTCTATCTAGATATTCGGGTGTTACTAGCGTCTGCAGTAAACTCATACCCTGGGCAACGACGAACAAGGGAAACCGAGGAGTAGCGAAACGACGCGAAGCGAAGCAAAGACAACGAAAAAGCATTTACGTAAACTCTGTTTGCTCTCCGATGCTTTTACCGTTACCTTTCAGCCGTGTAATTTTTAATTATGCAGCATACGTTATTTTTTGGATTTTATTTTCGGATAATACTGCAAGCAAGAAGGCTGTTCGGGCACTATTTTGAGCCGGCTTGTCAATTGGTGAGCAAAACAAAAAAAAATGGCTGGGAACATTTCCAGGCTCAATTTTTCTTACTGACTGAATGACTGCATTTGTTTGTATGACGCCGCCACTGCTGCCGTCGCCGCTGCCGCTGCTGCGGCTGCAGTTTGTAACGGTTGCTTGTGTCGTTTGTCTGGGCGCCCACTCGCCAAACGAATTTCGTTTTCGTTTGATTAGTGGACTGCATGGGTGTGCATTTGGCTGGTTGGGATGGTTGGATGAATGGATTCATGGAGAGGCGTGAATCCATTTATACATACACACTTCATTGTATGTATATGTACATATAAATATATGTATGTATGTATGTATTTGAGGCACGCCCACTCTCGGTGCTGACCTATTCGGCCTATTTCGTAACTACTTTCGATTTTGCTGGCTTTTCCGCCACGTAAAGCCGCCTCGATTCCTCTCCGGGACTTCTTGGTGCTGTGTCGCGTGTGTCGTGGCAAGAACGAACGAGAATGTCAAGAGTTCAGCTATAAAACCGACACTCTAATGGATTTCCTTCTTGCGCCCTCATATGGGCATTAATTATGGCCAGGCCGAAATGGTTGAGGAAGTCTCTTGTCCATTCCAAATGCGGGCAAAACAAAAGCTCTGCAAAGACCAAAGAGAACAAGGAGATAGCAAAACAAACAAAAAACGCGGAGAGCTACAAAGTACTCAACGAATCATGAGAAGTGGTGGAAGCAGAATGAGAGGCAGGAGATGGAAAGACAGCAAAAGAAGAAGAGTCCAAACAAGAGACCAGGAGTGGAAAAGGCAACAGAAGAACAAAAGACAAAGAAGAGAACGTGATTATGAAACCGGCAAACAACACACAAGCAGACGTGAAAAAGTGCGAGAGTACCATACGCCGGTTAACTAACGGCACTTTTGTTTAACACTAACAAGAAAATGGCGCGGCAAAAGCGGACAAAGAAGAATAGGAAGAGCAACTGTGTGCGCGGGCACAAGGAGAAGAATTAGAAAGAGATAAAAGGAGCCGAAAGGAAATATGTACATACATATGTATGTATGCGATTTGAATACTAACAGAATATTTAAGTCTTTTTCCCTGAGTCTATTTTACAATTATTATAAATTTCACTGCTTTTCAGAAAGTATCAATTTTCGAGGTTCATGCGTATGTTTTTGTAGTATGTAAATGTGTGACTTTACAAGTTCGTTTTTCATTTGCCTGCGAAATATTTTCACATTCTAATAAGTTTTCCCACAGGCTGATGCTAATTTCATCGATTTATCATGATCATGCGAGTGGAAAATCTCTTAATATAGCCCGAAACATGCTGTAAGGCAATGCCATATCTCTATATCGCCTGTCTCTCTCTCCCTCTCCCCATGGGTTGTGGGGCCAAAGTAGATCTGTTCTGTGCCCCGCCATGTGTAAACATACGTACATACATATGTACATAAATGTATGCACAAATCGATTAAACGCGGCTAAATGCCGAAAGTTTATTTCCAGAGGGAACCCACACACATGCAAACATATACACACACACAGACTGGTTGTGTGGTGTCTGCAGATTTGTGGGCGTTTGTTGTTGCGAAATATTTATGTTTTCTGTTCTACTTTTTGGTTGGTTCTACCTCTCACTCCCACTCTCTCACTGTCTTGCGATCGATAGTACATAGCTTGCAACACGTGTGGCAAAAGCAAATCGATTGTGCTTCCCGAGTCCCTGCTGATTAGATAACACAACCGAAGCATAACCAGAAACCTTATCAATCAGGTTATCAGGCTAACAGCCTATTATCCAATAGATTGGACGCATTTCAGCAGCCCTCGAAACGAGCTGCGAATTATTCAATTAATTGAGAACAAAACTCGAAAACAGAAAGCAACGAAAAAAAAACAAGAAATCCGCTCAATATTGCTCCACCATAAACATTGAGTATTTTCCTTTTTGCGCTATATTTTATTCATAGAAAATTTGGGTTAATGACGCGCCATACGAGACTGTGTGTGTTTGTGGGGGCAGAGGAAAAGCAGATGCCCTCACCGAATCCCAGAAAGAAGCAGAGAAATCAGAAAAAAATAAACATCAAATGGAATGAAAATGCAAGGCAAAGCACAGATGACGCTAAAGATAGAAAATCACACATACTCGCAGATAAACACACATAAATGCTGGTGTATGTGTGCGTGGTGACGTTGTCGATTTTGTTCGAGTAATATAAAAAACTTGATCTTTAGATTATCATCATCGTTTTATGCGTTCTTTTCGAACGGCCCAGCATCTCGCTTTCCCAGCTGGCTCGACTGGAGCCAGGCCCCTGATCCACCCCAGACCCACGGAGAGACCAAGGGCCGAGACATCTCGACACTTGGCGGCTGGCCACAGATGCTCACTGTTGTCGTTGTTGTTTGTTGCCGGTGAAAGTGTAAAGTCATGGGGGCTCTCGGCGCTCTCGGCGCTCTCGGATGCACAACAATTGCCATCTACAAAGTATCGTTTACCTTGCGGTATTAGATAGAGACGACACCTCGTACCGTATAAATCTGGCAGAAGCCCAAGTCCCATAGCAGACCTCTCTCTGTCCCACACACTTATATGCAGCTGTAATATTATTTGTTTAACCGGAATCCCCTTAGAACTTATGGGGCCGGGGAGAACGAAAGACAAACATTCGTACATACATAAATAGATGGAGTGGATAAGAAAGTTTCCAGCAGTGGATTATCTGATTGTTGCTTTACGAAGGAGAAGCAGTGCCGAAACGAAAGTGCTTCCTCCAAAGGAAATGTGTCACATTTTAAGAGTGGAAACCCTCAGACTTGCAAACCATTTCCCACCGATAAGAACACTATCCAAGTTCCAAGCTTTGTTGATTTTCCTGAAACAATGCCTATTTTAAGAGTGTGAACCACAATGTGGCATACAACACAGCCCTGATATCGGTCAACATATGGCTCATACTATAGTTTTTCTTGATTGTTTATCAGCTGGTTTTTACTTTTAAACGGAATTAGCTGTAGCCCAAGAATAACTGTTTACTCAGGACCTTCTCAGTCGTTAAAGCGCTCGCCTCCAAGAAATGCCGTTAAAGCTTTCTTGGTTCCTTGCCTCTGCCGCTCTGCCGAGCCCTAGTCTTTCGAGCGGTTGCTCGGACACGGACGCGTTGCCGGTCTGCCCTAAACGTACTCACTCATCTGCATTTACGCATAATTGCGCTGCTCTCAAGGAGAGGGGGGGAGAGAGGGACTGGAAAGAGAGGTGCGTGTGCGTCCATCATTTGGTGAGCAATTAACAGCAACAACAGCTCTGTCGCCCTTGACAGAAGTGGTGTCTGGCAGCATTTGCCGCCGCTTCTCTGGGACTGTCAGTCAAGTCGCTTCCTGTAATAGAAATCCATGCAACATGCAACAAGACATGCGAGTTGTGTATACAAATCTCCCTTTTACCCCACAACGCAGCTTCCGCTTCTGTTTCAACAGAAATCTCAGTGAAACCGCAGGCTACAGGGAGAGAGAGAGAGAGAGAGAGAGAGAGAGTAAATATGGCGGAAAATTATGCGTAGTTGGAATTAAAACGTATCCCAGCCTAGACACCACACAACTCCAACAAAAGCATCGTCATCATAATCAACTTGACATTTGTGTGTGTGTGCTGTATGTGTGTGTGTGTGTGTCTTGATGCGGGCTTATTCCACAGATCCCTGATTCCAGAGTTTCCAGTTCCCTTTTGATTCCCATTGTTGTACCCTTGAAAAAAGAGGCGTAGAACCCAACAGATCAAACAAGTTCTTGATTCTTTCTGGATGTTTGTATTTTCTAAAGGTAAGGGTAAGGGTATCTAAAGTTTGGCCTGCTCAATCCAGCATTCCCCTTTTTATTCCCATTGTTTTTTTTTTGCTCTTCTTCTTTGGGGTATTTTGCGAAATTGTTGTTTTCCTGTTGGGAAGCGACTTTTTGTGGTGCTCTGTTGTTTTTGTTAATGCACGATTTGGTAATTTGGCTACTGCCCAAAAGAACGGCCTCCCCCGTTCCGAGGGGTCAGAGCACGATCTGCAACAGGCCTGACCCCCAGCTCGGTTCGGTGGCCTCTGCTCTGGATTTCCCAAGCATCCAGAGCGTTTATCTTCACGTTGGGAAAACGCCGCCTGCTTCCGCCGAGCCGTGGATAAGAAATATGCAGATACATTTTAGCTATACATATGTATGTATGTACATATGTATGTACATACTCGCTCGACCAGTTGTAGGCTTATGATTTAAGTGCAACCGCACGATAACTGGGTCAATGTTTTGTATATCCAATGCAGGCATATATACATATGTAAATATGAAAACCAGATTTAAGTCTGTCAATTGCCAAAAAAAGAAGAAAACAAAAACTTATTTCCGCACTGCAAAGGAAATTGCAACTCTGCGAGCACTGCAGCAGAGCAGTAGCAGAGCAGCAGCAGAGCAGCAGCAGCGATGCCTGTCATCGTTTGCTTTGTGGCCACAATTTTATCTCGAGAGGTCATTTACACTACTATTCCACTAAGGCGGAGACAGAGAGAGAGAGAGAGAGAAAGAGGGAGGGAGAGATAGAGAGAAAAGATGCAGGTCTACTTGTTTAGTACTTCCATTCGCTCTGCCTTGCTCCGTCTGCCTTTGTGTGCGATTGTGTGAGTGCGTCTGCCTTTTCGCCGCGACTTTGTTGTGCGCGCTTGCTGCATACCCTTTGGCGGAGGGTATGATGGGCACAGTCTGTGATTTGCAACCCAGATATTCTGAGGGGCTCATATAACATATAACAGTTTATCGATCGGTCTTCAGGGGTGTGCAAAGCCTCGACTCCGCGTGCTGGTTTTCTTTCCTTCTTTCTTTTTCCACAACTTGTTCTTTGACGGCGCTGATGCTTTTCTCTGCGAGTATCCACAGTCGCAAACCGCAGTCCTAGACCCATAGACAAAAGATACGCAGTCTGGGCAATCAGCACTCGTTGTTGTTGTTGTTGTTGTTGCTGCTGTTGCTTTTTATCATTTGTGTGCCTTGGCTTCCTTCACGCTTGAGTATCTATTGTGGACGCTTTCTGAATGCATTGATGATGTACACAAAAAAAAACACATGTATAAGAACTTCACTCGGAGTTGCCGTCAATGTCATAATCAGCCCAAAAAGAGTAAGATATGGCCTCAAGTGCAGGTCTCACTTGAGTTATGGCCATTAAGACTTGAGACTCGAGCCGCGCCTGGGCCTCTTTCAGGGCTGGCTGGCCCGCGGTCGAAGGTTAATGCAACAACTTGACTCTGAAAATCTGTACGTTTGACGCCTCTCAAGCACTAATTGCTCTCAAGGCTCGCACTTTCGAAAACCGTACAACTGGCGGAGAACCCCAGCAGACACGTACCCAACGACTTACAAATGGGTCACAACTATTGCACTTCCCTAATGAAAGTCGTTTGTATGGGCCTCAGGCCTCAGGTCTAGTGCTTCGACGATAATTCGTATTTATGCTGTGGACGCGCAACTTGCAACTTCCTGTGGGCGGACGGGCGCTGCCCACCCCCTCCTATCAATTATCGATTAATAATTAACAATTAGGCCCACTGCATGAACAATAAATCATGACACTGATAGCTCTCTCCCAATGTGGGTCAACGATCCCCAAATGCAGTCCCCATGTTGCGCCTACGCCAGAGGGAAACTCCCTCTCTCCATCTGTCATAATTAAGCATAATTTCTTGTTTGGGAAGACATCGTTTTACATCTCTGATTATTTACGAGAGCTCGTCCGGACCCGCCTTAGTAGCCGACAAAACTCCGGTAATTTATGATCCAGATGAGACACAGATTTCCACTCGGAAGTGCTTGTAGATTAGTTTGTTAAGTAATTCTATTTATACGTCTGTACTAAATTACTATGTTTACATCTTTTACAGATCCCCCGCTCATCACTTGGCTTTTCCAATCAAAATGAAACAAAAGTAATCAAATGAATAACATACATACATCTAGAAGGAAACCAGTCAATCCGAGCGAATAACTGAACGAATAACGAAATCCGAAATTCGAAATTCGAAATTCGATCGACCCTAACCATATCGAGAGCAAGTCACATAAAACTAAGGAAAAATGGATCTAAGTCTGGAACGCGATAGCTCTGCTCTGGGGAGTCTTTTCCAACAGATTATCAATGACATGAAGGTGAGTTCTTTTTGATGTTTCAGCGGAAATTCGAAATCGCTTTCGAACACGAGCATTTCGACAGAAACTTCTGTTCCGTCTGTGGGTTCTGTTCTGGGAATTCCATATCAATTTTGGGGGAAATCTCCGTCCACACTTTCTCCCTCTCTCTCTCTCTCTCTGTCTCTCAGACTCTCAGTCTCTTTGAACCACCTCAAATAACATTCGGAAAATAAACAAAATGGAATTATGCTTTTGCTTTTTGCTGTAACTTGCTCTCATTGTCTCCAATTGTGTCTCAGAGTGTGTCAAGAACTCTCGGCATTTGGCCGGAATTCTCTCGTGTGTAAACAAAAACCTCGAGCGCAGAAAAAAGAGAAGAAACAAAATAATTAAAGGCAAGGTCAGAGACAAAAACCATTTAGTTCTGATATAGAGTCATAAATGAATGCAAAAGGGTTTTGAAATTCGTTTTTTAATACCGAAAATTATCGTATTTTTTTAAAATTGTTTTAATGTCAAAAATAGCAATTAAATTACAGAATAGCAAGAGGAAAAACAAGACAAATTCCGCACATTCCGCATTTCGCATTTATCTAAAGCCCCTTGAGGAGAGACAACGAAACGAACCGAAACGTTGCCAGGCGCATTTTGGTTGTTTCGGTTTTTTTTTTATCATTAATTGATTTTATTGCCAAGTGTCTATTGCGTGGTATCAATAATTTATGGCTCTCATGACGCCATTTGGGGCAACTGACTTTCGTACATAGTAAATGTTTATTGCGCCTGTATACAATTCCATTTAACAAGACTAAATTAATGCCGAGCGGAGCCGAGCCTTTGGGGGAGGGGGAGGGACCGATGGGCTGGGCTTGGATGAACTACCGACAGCTGCCAATGATTAGGAACCTAATGGCATGAATTTAAAGCAGGTAATACATTAGAATGCCGCTCGGAAGCACTTTGCCTCCCTTTTTCTCCCTCATTATCATTCCCCAGCGTGTAGGCTCATCCTCTCTTTAAGTAGAACAGAATAAAGGCCACACGAATATGTTTATACCCTTCTTTTAAAGGGATTATGTATTATATAGTAGTTGCAGAATGTCAGAATGATCTTTCCATGCACTGAAATGGCTGATCCCATCTCGTTTCACCCCATCATCAGCTGCCTATTCCCAAGCCAAGACTTCCCATGGGAAGGGCATTTCCAGTTGAGCTCTCTGAGAAAGTTCTCCCCTCTATCCTCTTTGCTCTTTCCTCTTGCTTCATTTGCCATGCAGTGTGAGTGGGAGCGCATTTGGAAACGAAAATTACATTTTCAGCACATTCAACACTCTCGTACGTCCCGCTCTCGCTGCCGACAGCTGCTCTGTCTGTTCGTCATTGCTCTCTGGACAGGTGTCGGAATTCGTTTCGTCTGCCCGAAAATAAACTAACGGCTGGTCGGAGGAGGAGGAGGATGAAGGAGTAGGAGTTGCAGTTGAAAGAAAGAAGATAAGAAGTGCCGCCTTGTGGCCGCCTGCTGCTGCTGCTGCTGCTATTAATAGCAAAGTCCCTCTAAGCATCACTCTTAGGCAAGGTGAGGCATCCTCCCCAGAGTCCTCTCTCTCAATGGCATAATTAGCTTGAGTGAATGTCGTCACAACGCAGAGGATGAGTGAAGAGAAAGTAAGCGAAAATATCATACCTTATATCGAAATACACCCTGCCCGCGGAGAGTAGGACTTAGCTTTTTGGCTGGAGAGCAAAGTGCGAAGAGCGTGGAGAGCATCGTACATACACTGTTGCTGCGGTTGTCTGATGCGGGCGAGTGCATTTGGTATTTATGAAATTTGGAAATTGTTCAACACGCAATTGTGCAGAGGTTGTTGTTGTTCGTTTCAACCTGAGTGTGAACTAGAGCAGAAACACATACTATGCTGAGAGAACGTGTGCAATATGCCCGAGTGTGTGCCCGTGTGCTTGTGTGTGGATCATCTTACCGAGTAATTCTTGGCTTTTGCTTTGCTCGGCCTCATTCATGGCTAAAGATTGTTGGCTGCGGTTCTTTGTTGTTCTCTCGCAAAGTTGCCAAATGCCAATGTAAATGTCACAAATGTGGAAGAGATGCAACCCAAGACAGAGAGAGAGAGAGAGAGAGAGGGAGGCGGCGGTGTTCCCAAAGGTTAAACAGCCCCAAACAGAGAGATCTATCCATCCATCCACTCCACACACTAAAATTAGTTCCATTTTAATTGCTTGGCTGGCTCTCCGTCTGGCTTTTGGTCTTAATTTATTTTTTGGCAACAGACCAGAACAAATTTATGCCAGAAACAGAGAACTTCTTGGATCTAGCCATTATAATTTCCATAATAAGCGTAAAGGAACGAAAACAGCGTTCCTTTTTTTGTTGTTGTCTGCTGTTTACATTATTTGCTAATTCTTATTTATGAATTGGTTTCCTAACGGCTTCTTCCAGCCGGCAATTGAAAAGCTTCTAATTTTCCGATCCAGGTTCAATCCGCGCCAAGGAACACGCAACGCCAAAGAAACTAAAATTAAGCAAAACTTTAAAGGTTGTTAGCTTTACCAACAATTATGTTTCGCTTCGCTGACTGCACTCGGCTTTTGGCCAAGTGTGGACGAATGTGTGTAAATTGAAGACACCACAAACTCCCCCAAGACTCCCCTCGGAGCCGAGCCAAATTGTCACATTTGAGAAATGGAAATCTCCGCTTTAAAGTGATTTTCCACTGCAGTTGTTGCTTCACTGTCTTCCGCAAAAAGTGAAAATTTCCCTGCTCTCTGAACTGAACCGAACTCCCCCCCCCCCTCCCCCTGGCGAACGTGTGTGGCATGGCGGCTTTCTTCTCTGCAACGCCAAGTAGCCACTTTTGTGGCTTCCCCTTAAGGGCCTCACTTTACGATGCTCTTGGCCATCCAGCCACTTTGATGTCATTAAGCTGACAACAATTCCATTTCTTTATGTCTCTGCTAATGTACGTGTCATAAGGAAATCTTTCTAGTTCTGTTTTTCTGTTTTATTTTAAGTTGAAGACTAGTTGTAAGCTTAAAAATAATTTGTAGAGTTAAAAAAGCCAAAACTGTTTATTTAAAGCTAAGGATAATTAAAGATCAAGTTAATTTACTCAAAAATCATGGCTTCCTATAGGTGAACCACTTTCTTTTCCCATCCGGAGCACGGTCTTGGGGGATCCTGGGCCGGCATTTGCATTGGACCACTAGAAAGTGCAAGAACAGATGTATCAGACCATAGAAGGTCATGAAGCTAGCGCCTAGAAAAAGTCCGATGGCTCCGCCAAAGGACATAATCAGCTGATCCGTGCTGAAGACCACGCGACGCTTCATCCCCATCTTAGGCAGTTCCAGCTTAATGATGATCGTCCGCTCGAACTGCTCGCCCACGTAGCTCTGATCGCCCTGAGAACGAGAAGATATATAAATCGCAGTTTGTTGGATGCATTCGAGGGGATACTCACTCCGCTCTGTTCGTACTCCTCGATGATACTGTACGTTGTCTCTCGACACAGGGAGAAGCAGTGGCAGGGCCTTTCCAGCCAATTGGATTCGGCCAGGCAGAGCATTCCGGTCACATTGCAGATGGGGGCCTGTGGGGCAGCCGCATAAAAGAAGGGCTTGCAATGGCACATGCTCAGGGCCCAGTTGATGCGGCACTCAAGACGACACAGGCTCGGATGGTAGGGCTGTACACAGAGAGAGATCAGGGCTTGGGAATCCCGTTCAAGAACGAGCCGACCTTGATGGAAACTCACGCTGTAGTACCGGAGATTGTTCTCGTCGTGATAGCGACACTTCCGATAGGCCACCGGCAGGTTGCGCACTTCCCTGTCCGCCGAAATGGAGCTAATCAGCAGCTTGAGGACGTAGGAGCTCTTGGTCTTAGCGTCGAAGGTGATGGTGCGTCGGTCGTGGGGCAGCATCAGTTCATTGACATCGTGCATATACTGCAAAAGAGCATGAAAATGGAGTCGATTTTTTCCCCAGAGATGCTGGTGCTCACCAGAAACACATGGGTTTGGATGCTGTTGAAGGGCTTGTGCATGAACTGGCATTCGTTGAAGAAGCCGCACTGCCGCACGGGCGTTACGTTCAGGGTTTCTCTGGAAGAGACCGAGAGGCTAGCGACGGAAGAAATCCGAGTGCAAGGAGAACTCACAGCCTGCCATAGGGATTGCCGTAGCGCGTCAATTGGCTCGTGGACTGGCAGAGACCCACCTCCGTGATGATGGGCGCCATGAGGACAGGCCTGGGACTGGGCAGGACTTTCTCCTGCAGCGCCAGCAGCATGTCCACATAGGCGAGATTGCTCAGAGTGGTGTCGTTCTCGAAGGGCTTCAGGGTCTCCAAATTGTTGTACCTCAAGCGATTCAGCACATAAAGGAACTCTTTGTAGTAGGCAGCCTTGGCGGGGTCCTGAGTGGGATCCACTGCCCAAGTGCTAGATCGATGGCGACTTGTTAAACTGAATAGTCTCTGGAAAAGACACTCACTCTCTGATGAGCTTCGCCACCTGCTCCTCCGTCTCGTAAGTCGTGCAGAATGTGAGCCCGATAAAGGTGAAGTTGCGCAGCGCGAAGAGATACTCGTACTCGTAGACAATCGGATTGTTGCGGAACCGCTCCCACTGCGAGTAGCAGCTGCTGATGGCGTAGTAGGCCGAGGCCAGGATCATGGCCAGCCAGAAGAGGCGCTCCACCCAGTGCAGGTCCCGCCTAGCCAAATACGGCATGCCGTGGACGGCCGAGTCCTGACAGAACTCGGCCCACCAGTCGTGCGCCCGGCACTTTTCCTTGCTATCCTCCTGGTGTTCCATTATGGACTGAACAAAGAGGCAATGCAGGGGCGCTCTGCAATGCCCTGATGCCCTGATGTGCGCCACCTGATGGCAATCTTAACTTTAAGTGTATTTTGTTGCATGTTGTATGCCACATGCATATATAATTAGACTTTTAAAGAACAGCGGATCCATTTTAATGGTATTTCACCGTACATATCCGATTCAACATGCATTTATAATGACTTTTAGACCTTTAGACTTAGACTCTTCGGATTATACCGCGGAACTCGCTGCAAATCGACACCGGACGTTTCACGTTGCGCTTGTCGAAGGCCTCGAACAGGACCACCAGCTTGTAGCGACCTCCCAGATTGGGCACGTTCACACTGGCCTTCAGAACCAGGTCGAAGGACTCGTGCTTCACCAGGGACTGCAATGGAGGAACATAGGCGGAAATGAGCGAAAACAGGGACTTGTGGATGGAGACTGCTCACGCCGCGGGTATTGATGCAAGTTTTCCTGACGTCCTTGGAGTTGATGATATTTTGCGTCCAGAACTTGTACCAGTATTGATTCTTCTCGAACATGTTCTTGCAAAAGTCCTTGCTGCTAGCCGAGAACATCGTCTTCTGCCAGTTGCCTTGCTCGAATTGGTAGATTTGTCCGAACAGCTGGATACAAATAGGAGATTTATAAATGGGAAAGGCTGAAAAGACCGTTTAGCACTCACCGTTATGGTATCGCTCGGCTCGACATCCTGCCACACGATCACGGTATCTCCGGTCAATTGTAGAGTGGACTCTGTCTTCTGCGTTATGTTCAATATGGACATGTCGAAGAGGGCATCCAAGCCTGAAGGGTTGCCCGGATGATTCTCGCACGGCGCCATCAGACCATCCTTTTCCAGGAGGAACTCGTACTCGACCGCCCGAGATAGGCAGACGAAACTCAGCTGGAGCACTACGAAGAGGCACTTTGGATGGGTCAACATTTTTCGCGATGGAGCCACAAGTTCCGCCGTGAACCGTTTATATACGGATTGGGTGCATTATAATTGTAACTGAAATTACCTATCCGATCACAATCAGTTCAATGGAAATTGCCAAAAGGCGTTGTCGAAACCATTTCGAACGATGCCCTATATTTATATTATGGCGCAGTGGAACGAGGTGGAATCACGACTGAGATCGACATCAGCCCTGGCAGGTGTTGGCCGGATACGGATCGCATTCGATTGGCCCACATGCCCGGCTAGCTCAGTCGGTAGAGCATGAGACTCTTAATCTCAGGGTCGTGGGTTCGAGCCCCACGTTGGGCGACATTTATTTTTGGTCTATCTTTTGAAGCAATAGGTGAATAATAAACAGATATATATACATACATAGATGCCCATTCTTTTCCGACAAACCCTAAGATACTTGTTGTTTCATAGTGATCGATCAAGGAGTAAAAATTAATCGAATTCGAAGAAAACTTCAAATAAAGTGCAATCAATAATCGATAATCTATCGATAGTCATACAAATAATGTCCATACCATCCTAGGAAAATTCTGCTCGGAAAATTTTGTTTCGAAAGACTATTTATAGAAATGGATATACTATATACTATATCGAATATTCCTTGTGGATATATGTTTTGGCCTAAATTACATGCCCGGCTAGCTCAGTCGGTAGAGCATGAGACTCTTAATCTCAGGGTCGTGGGTTCGAGCCCCACGTTGGGCGACGTTTTTTTCTTTTGTCATTTTTCTGTTGCGTAAAACTATATTTTACTTAAAATGGAAATAAAATTCCAATTGACCTAATGTCGGGCTCAATCAATTTCGAATGAATAACCTGTTGTATAAAAAGCACTTAATCGACACATATTTTATGTATGCAAGGCCATGGACCAGTTTTCGGTGCATATACTCTGTTTTCAACCGTAATATTATGTCGGTACATCGAAGTTAAGTTAAGTTCTTAAAGTTCCTTGGGGAACTGCTATAACATAGCATAATTTAATGCGTAGAAGAGTTTTCCTGTCTTCTATCGAGAATCAAATGTTGATGCATATAATTATGTATAGTACATATGGTAGTACATAAGGTTCTTATCTCCTTGCTAGCCATTGGATTTCACCGTTCTCAGGTGCCCGGCTAGCTCAGTCGCTAGAGCATGAGACTCTTAATCTCAGGGTCGTGGGTTCGAGCCCCACGTTGGGCCCAGCTTTTTGTTTTTGTTTCCCTCTTATTTTCACGTTTTTCCTTTCGAATGTTTCCTAATTATAGTCTGTGACCTTTGCCCTAAAGCTTAAACGCTCCAGGTTTTCGCATTTTGTGGTATCTCGATTTTGTGTGGCTTGTAAGACGTAAGAATAGATACAGACATCCCCACGAGTGCACACACACCCAAGCGTAAACGTCTATTGGTATAGGCCAGAGCTAATGAGTTTTTATTTATGGCAGCATTCGCAGCTGACGCAATGTTTTGCCAGTTCTATGACAATATACAGCAGTTTTTTCTCCCCCCCTCCCCCTACGCCTCCCCCTCTCTCCTGGCCGTTCGCATTGTTTGCTCGTTTGAAAATGTCTAAAAGCCACATTCAAGGTTATGCCTCTCGACTGCAAATCGAACAGACAGCTCACAATGCACTCTGTGTGTGGCGTTGCGTTATGGCTAACAGGATGTGAGCAGGATGAAGCCGCCAGGCCGTGGGTAACTAGTGCAAGGTCCTTCAGAGCGGAAAGAACAAAAGGAGCCCACATACGAGTGCTGGGAAATGGATTTCTTTGAGCTGACATGTGCTATTGGAGGGGAGGGGGCTATATTGCAGGCACGTGCTCTCTTTGCTGCTGCTCAAGAGAGAGATGCTCTTGTTCTGCGCTCTCTCTGTGTGTGTACTTATCGAACGAGGCTGCAAGCACGAATCAAAGTGTTTTTCGGAGCTAAAGCTTGATGGAAAGCAGAGAGCGTCTCGTTTAGCCTGCACCGAAGTCATCGCTTATTCCCCTGCCCATCTGACACCTTGGGTAGCTTTAATTACAGTTAAGTGAATGCTGAAGTCTCTCGCAAAACTGTTGATGAATGCCAAGCCTCTCTTTGTCCTGCTCCCACACACGCAGACGAGGTAATCTGAGAAGAGAAAAGAAGCAGTTTCCCCTTGAAGAGAAGATGATAGCTGTATTAATTACTCTGCATTATTCGTTAAATTATATTGCGGGTATGCGGCTGTTGCTCTTTCCACTGCTGCTGCTCCACGGCGACTGCGTCCGTCCCGCGCTGTTCTCCGTCTCTTCGTCTCTCCATATGTCCGCCTGTCTCCCTGTCGCTGTCTCACATTTGACATGCTGTGCTGGGCAATCTGTACAGATTCGAACTGTGGATTGCACGGGCATGTGTGTGTGTGTGCGTATGTGTGCATGTAAATTGTACATCTGTTTGAGTGTTCTGCATGTTAAATTTCTGCTCCATCTACAACGAATGGGGCAATCAAGGAGCAATTAATTTTAATGAATATGAAATTGCATTTGCGATACACAAGCCGAGATATTGTTAGGGATTGTTTTTTTTTTTGCCGCTATTATTATTATGGTGGGTGTGACACAGTCGTCTCGTCTACCACACACACGCCCAATTATGCAAAATAGTTTTGGGCTACATTTTTGTATTATTCTCTTGTTTTTGAATGCAAAAAAAAAAAGAGGAAAGAATTGAATTCAATCAGCCTCTCAATGTCAAATGAAAGTTGAGCACAGCTTGAGATTGCCAGAGCGAAAAACGGAAGAGTTTGAGGGGGGATTGGAATAAATAAACAAATATTACGAATATTGATCAGTGAGAGCTCTCCAGGCAAATCGGTCCGATCTTGGGCTATATTTCCTGTATATTTCAGCTGTTCTGTGGAAATTTCATTGTTGTTTCGCGTGCGGATTACAGTAGATTAGATTATGTTTGGTTAATCCGGTAATTGGCAGAGACAATTACCGACATTCTGACATTCCGGCATTAGAGGCTATATAAAGACGTAGCAAATACCCCTTGCCATGCAAAAATGTGGCGAATTTTGTTTCTGATCCACGTGGGACTGGCCGGAATCTGGGCCACCGACTATGAACTGCTGCTCGAGGATCCGGACATATTCGCGCCATGCACCGAAGCCCGCCCCGGGACAATGTTCATCCGCGAAGCCATCAATTTCGATAAATTGACTGTCGAACAGGATCCCGACACCATACACATATCGGGAAATGCCACCACCAACTGGGACCTGCAGCCCAACGATCGCATAGCCGTAATTCCCATCGCCCCGGCATCCGAATCACTAAGTTGAATCCAACCCCGTCCCCTTCCCCCCATTCCAGGCCAAGTTCGCCTTGTTCCACTACCAGCGGGGAAACTGGGAGCCGACTGTCTTTACCATGGCCACGCAGGACTTTTGCGCCATCATGTACGACAAGGACCAGTATTGGTTCAAGTACTGGACGACGTTTATCACAAATCGCCAGGAAGTGCAACAGGACTGCATCAAAAAAGCTGGTGTAAGTTTTCCCACAAATCGATTGGGACTTTGCTCTCTCAACCTGCCCGATCTTAGACCACGCTCATCCATGAGCCCTTCCATCTGAGGCTGATGCTCACGAACATTCGGGGCGCCACTCTGCACGGACGTTACAAAACGGTCATCAGCTTCGAGGCTTTCGACGAGAAGAATGTCCCGCGACCCAATAGTGTCTGCTTTGAGATCAGGGGCGAAGCTGAAAAGGTGAAGTAGTGACCTGCAGATAGCCTCAAATAAAATCAGATTATATTGTGCATATGTATGTTTATTATCAAATGGATTCCCTTTATGAATCGGTGAACTTGGGGGGCCCGAAATGACGGATCCCAACAGATAGATCCATCATCATTTCTAGGGGTTTTCAGAGGGCAACCTTTCGTGGCAGCTCTTTGTTGTAGAGCTCTTTTCCCTTCTCGTTCCGTTTTGTTTCTGCGGTTTGTGGCACGCGTTGACTGCAACCGGCGTTCAAGTTGCGGTTGCCATATCGCTTGGATGCATGTTGCAAGCCCCTTCTTTGGTTACGCCGTCCAAAACAGAAACTACTACCCATGCTCCTCCCCCACCCACCATCCAGCAGTCCAGCAGTCAGCGGGAGCCAGAGTCAGTTTTGGGGTCACAAATGGGGCATTGTTAGAAGCGCGATATGCAAATGCAGCAAGCTGTCTGTCAGTTATCGAATTACCCGGTGATTGGCGGCATAACTGCGGAGTATCGATTGATGGATTCGCATCGGGTCCAATACAATCGATTTGCCAAGCAGCGCGCTATTGTCTTCCATTCGTTTGCCAGCTCAAAGAAAAATTTTGCTGTTATGATGGGGGTTTCTGTAAACTTTCGAGCCCCTTCCTCCCCGAAGGAGGAGCAACGGGACGGGACGGGAGGGGATGGGAAGCACTTTCATTTCATATTCCTGCCGCATAATTTTCTACTTTCTAAAGCCGAAGTTGTTTTTGCTATTTTTGTTGGTTGTAGGTGCAAATTAGCAGCGCACGACTTTGCCTCCTTCCCCCCACCCTCCTCCCTACCACCAAACGCTAGCGAAATTATGGCCCGAGGCATCGGCATATAGTACATACAGCAGTACGTTCGATCTTATAGAAAATCAATCAGTGCAAAACTTCTTCACGGACTCTGTTGGATTTTGCATAAGGAACCGCTTCTCTTTCTTTTTTTTTGTTAACCCAAAATGTGCTATGTAGGACGTGGCTCTGAACCCGTTTTTGGCCAACCCCAGCTCCGCCTCTTTCTAGCTGCTGCCACTGCTGCCACGACTCGGGGAATCTTTGGGGCATTATCAAACGGTGACAGCAACAGCCGCAGCCGCAGCAGCAGCCACAGCCACGGCGGCAGTAACCAGCAACTAGCAACCAGAAACAGCAACAAAATTGTTGCATGAATGAGGCTGTGAACCAGCTGAGAGAGGAGTCAGTTTCGTGTAGGTTGCTTTTGTAGGCTATTGGAAAGATCAAGAGTTTATAACGTTCCTGTGTGTGTTTCTGTGTGAACTTTTCCAGTTTTCCGAGAGTCTGAGCCTGAGTCTGTGACTGGCATAAATTGTGGGTTTTTAGGTGTCTTGCGCTCGCCGAGCGTCAGTTTTGCCAAGATAAATGGATGCACCAGGGGAGGGGGATGGGGATGGGGTGGGATGGGGAAGGAGAGGCATAGATACATTGCACTCGTTGCTGGCTTCTTCGTCCCACAGATTCGTCTGCTGAAAACTGGAAAGTGTTTTGAAGGCAGCCACAGATTTGCGGGAACGATTCGCATATTCTTTCATACCTGGCTTTTAGGATAATTGAGCCAATACATTGGATTCGAGAGTATCGCGAGCGGATTCCTCTTTCTTTGCTCCTATTAAGGGGGCGACCAACCTGCCATGCCTCCTTCCAGCGCGGCACACTCATTCATAAGCCCAGACCCAAGAGTCTCCGTCTGAGACTCTGAGCCAACGCCAACGCGTGCTGGGGGTCTGGTCAATGTAATGACAGCTTTGCGTGTTTCGGGCCGCCAGTCGCCGTTGCCGTTGCCATCGCCATCGCCGGGCCTGGCCTGGCCTGGCCTGGCCTGGCCTGGTGGCACCCTCCTCTTCGTATGACAACGAAATGTTCATTCATAAAAAGTTTGCTGCAGGCCCACGCAGACGGGGCAAAAGACGCTTATCAAGTTGCGGTTCGTTGTTGGTTGCGCCACGCCACGCCACTCACACACACACACACACACACATACAAACATTTTGCAAAAATAACATAAAATACATCAAAAATCATGTGGGCAGCGATTTGAAGTCGAACTTTGTTTAAAAATTGGAAAATCCAGCTTAAAAGTTTATGGAAATTATTGATTCTTTCTGCCTTGAGCAGAAATATTGAATATTTTGTTGATTTAGTTTCGAATTCCTTCTGGCTAAGGCGGCCCACACAACAGGCACTTTTAATGAATCCAAACTTTGGTCTTGGAGAAATTTGATCTTGAATGAATTCATAATGAGCCAAATCCACGTTTTCCTGCCTAATGATCTGAAATATCGCTTCGGAATGGTGTTTCTGCCGTTCTCTGTGGCTGAAACCCACTTTTGGGGCGGGTTAATTGCATGTTGAGACAGCACCCTATGCGGTCTGACATTTGAAAGGGAATCGCACACGAACGTATGCCAAATATGGTTCATCTGTGGAGAGACAGAGCGACACACTCGTACAAATTAATGTATTCACATATAGGAAGTACGGGGAACCAGCAGAAGAATGGAAAACAATAAAGGCGGCATCGACCGTCAGTTTTTGTTTATGAATCTACAACAACATTTCCTAGATACACTTTCCAAGGATCGATTAGTTAATGTATAGAAGCGGGTATACCCGATAAAGGGTATAAAAGTTGTTTTCGTTCCTTTATGTTCTCGACATACATAAATATCGAGTTTGGCTTTGCATAAACTGACTACGAGATTGTTCTCAGTGTAGGATCTTCTGCTGGCTATGCACTCTCTTGCCTTGTGCCGTGTTAGTCCGTTAGTCGGCTCTCTCTGTTATTCCTGCTATGCTCCTATTCACATTGCTGCTCTCTTGTTGTCGAGAGAGTGGCCTCGCTCAGAGAGGATCGTGAGAGCGAGACGAGGAGAGTGCGTTGAGAGTATATGTAACTGCAACACGGTCCTTGGTGTTGGGGAGTGGGAGTGAGAGGGAAATGTCTGGACCTGAATTGCGTCGTAGATAATATTTGGCATAGGAAGAAGGCTTCGCAAAAGAGAAGCCAAGAACCATGGAAATCGCAGTGAAAAGTGATTATGAAAGTGAATTCATATGTACATACATACATATGTATTGTAAGAGTATGTATGTAAATATGTAAGTACATTATGTAGAGTACATTTTATTGATTGTTGAAGTGCTCCATTTGCAGTTCTCTTTCCTCTTTTATTTATTTCTTGAGGGTGGTACTTTTTTGGGCATACGATAACTATTATTGACCATTTATATTTTGATGGGGGTCAAACGAAAAACTTGCAGAAAATAGCCAAAAATCGATATCCATTCCTTTTGAATTTTTTCCCGGTTGTTCCACCTTTGTTATGGCCCGTTTCGGCTTTTGGCCAGGTCCAATGCACTCGCCGCCCGGGTTTTGTTTATGCAATTGCCCTGGCCTGCCCTGGCATGGCCCGACCCGGCCCAGAGCCGGCTACGTTTCGGGCCTTTTTGCATTCAAATCGATTTTACAATTGACATTTTGCTGGCTTTTATTTAAGTTTCTGTTCGTTTTGCCTCATTTCGTGGCTGATTGCGCAAAAGCTGAAAGTGAAATGGAATTGCATTTGGCATTTACCATTTACCATTTGGCCGACGTTGATGTTGATGGCTGGGTCTCGGGCTGGTGGGGATCCATCCCCGTCTTCTGCGCTTTGATAGCGGGTGACTTGGTCAGTAAATTGTCGCTTCCTTCTTTGGACACTCTCTTCCAATGTCGCTTGTTGTGTAATTGAAACATTAAATGGCCCAAAGCAGAGCCAAAGAAAACCGAAAACCCGTTTTCACTTTTATTGACCATTTTGTGCTACTTTACTTCATATTATTTCTGTTTTCTGTTGATTCTGTCGTCTTTTTTATAAGCATACTCGCACACACATAAAATCTTTAGTTGCCTTTTATGGCTCTTGGCTCTTAACAATTTGCTGCCGTTTCGCCAGCCTGACACTGAGACTTGGCCAGCAGCTGTTGTGGTTTTGACCAAATACGAAGCCGAGCTGTTGTGGGGGGCCCAGTGTGCATCATCCGTGGAGCGTTCTGTTGGCTAAGCTCTCTCTTAAAGCAGCACAAAAGAGAGCGAAGGGAAAGGGTAAGGTAAGGAGTACACTCACAGTAATTATGGTTCTCTTCGCTGAAAGCTGCTTATATCCTTTGCTGTTAATATACTTTAGCAAGAGAGGCTGTAATCCTCAAAGCAGGCATCATCCTACCCATTAAGCACGTATGTATATCTTCTGGGCATTTCAACTTTACGCAAAAGTTGTATCCATAAACTGAGCAGGAACTGTGCAAATCAGTGGGTAGAATGTTAACCCATGTTAAAGGGCGAATTTGCGGCATCGAAATCACATAGTTCTCATTCGTTTATGTTCTTACTCAAACAGAGTATAGAAGGCAGCAAAATTTAATTAGCAAACTCTGCTGGCAGGAAGCGAATTCCATTAAAACTTCCCCCAAGTGTGGCCGGCCCGATGTCCTGTGGTGTCGAACCATATGCTGCCTGTCTCCCCAATTTGATTATATTATCTCTATATATATCTCTCTCTCTCTGCCTCACTTACTGACTGCACTTGACCCTTGGTGTGGGGTCATCTATTCGTTATTCCGTTTTTGCTTTATTCAGATTTAATGAAATGCTCAGACAACAAAAGTCAAACTCAATTAGATTTAATCCGAGCGAAAATCATGATGATGGAAAGTTGTCAGCAGTTTGAACTTCGAACTTTTGTGCGAGAGATAATGGGATTTGAAATGTGCCAAAGGCAAACCGAACCGAGATGATCTGGGAATCTGGGCTCCTCCCTCTCATCCATCTGTGGCACTGAGATGTCCCAAATGGATTGGAGGACGACCTTTTTTATGCAACACGTACGCCCAATTTGTCGGACAGGAAAATTCCTCATAGATGAGAAGTTTATAGCATTCCCCGGCCCGGACTTTGCCTTCTCCTCCGCCTCCACATAACATAGGATGGGGATGGATTTCTTTGATTGTCCGACTGCTAACTAAACATCTCTCTCTCTCTCTCTCTTGCAGAACACCTCTCCACTATGGGATGACTTCGTGGCAAAGGCCAGCAAATTGCACACATGCTTGAGGTGAGTAAAACTGATTTCCCCACGCGGTTGCGAAACTCTAAGAACGGAATGGGAACATTCCCGAACATGCAAATGAATAAATAAACAAATTGCTCATTTACCTCGATTTGCTTTTACGCCTCTCCCGACTTCCCAACAAACAAACAAAACGCCTCCGTAATAGTGGTCTTCCTGAAAGATATTCGAATTTGTGTGGACCAATCTAAAGCATATCCCAAGCCGATTCATATCTGTTTCAGGAGTACCCAAAATCTATGATTATTTCTGTGCTGTTTGTCGGAGAGTGGCTGGGGGCTGGTGGGGTCTGGTGGGGTCTGGGGTTGGACCACCAACGCCGTCGTCTTGGCATATTTTGTTTATTTCGTTTTCCCTCTGTTGCTTTTTTCCGTTTTTATGCTCAGACTTGGCCCAAATACGCTTTGGGGACGGGGGGCACTGTCTGGGCACCGGTACGTGGCGGGCAAATGGTTATGCTCGCACACACACATGTGGCTTGCATTAATCATTGCCTCAAATCATGTTGTCCGAGGCGGGGATCGTCAGAGTTTGCCAAAACTAGCTCCTAGTGCTTGCCCATTGCGCTTGACACACATACGCAGGCGCGGGTGCGGATGCCAGCCACTTTAGCGAATCCAAACAGAGAGAAGCATGATTTGATACCCTCGGAGAGGCTACTACGACTTGGCATAGACCATAAATGATAACTACTAGTAGTTCGTAATATGTTCCAGGGTATTTCCAGCTCAAACTCTCGAAGCCAGACATTCATTCTTCTCTTCTCATCTCTTTTTGCATGAGCAGAGTCGAGGCGGTGCAGCTGTCTCTCTTCATTTCTCTTTATGAGCATGTGTCTCAATTGATAGGTCGCCCACGAGTAGTTGTTTATTGGATCCTAGCCTCCTCTGTAATGGATAATACGAGTAATAATGCTGTTATGTTTATCTGCTTACAGGGCTGCCATACAGGCAATCGCCGCCTATTTGGATGCCTTCCAGAAGATAGCCGATGCGGCCACCAATTCCAGAGGTAAGTGCGACCAGTGTGGGGTATTTGTCTGGGTTGGCTGCCCCCTGTAATTCCCTCTCTCTCTCTCTCCCCCACGCACCTATTTGCTCATTATTCATGCCTCCGTCCGTCCATCCGCTCTCAGTCAGCGGCGGTCATCGATCTGATTTTTACACATTTCACGCTTCCCCATTCTCCATTCCCCCCTTCCACTTCCACATCTTGTTTGTTGTTCTGTGTTCTGCGTTCTGTCTGTGCTCACGCATTTCTTCTGGTTTTGCTATTTATATTTATTTATTGGCTACTCTTCGCGTCGTACTCATCGAGTAGGCCGTCATTCCGCCCGATTATGCAATGACTGCCCGAACGCCCGAATGGCATCGGGCCTCACCTCTCACTTCGCCCAGGAGACGGGACAAAAGCTACCCACACATACACATACACGAGAGCGAGAGAGCTTTCGTGAGCGTCTCGGGAGAGGTAGATCGACCGGAGCAGTCGGCATCTGCTTAGTACCCTGCATTGATACCCTTCCAGAGTGGGCTTCTGCACAGATTCAAATACAATACAGGGGTCTCGGGCACAGAGAAGTATGTTCTATCAAGCGGACAGGGTAGCAGAGCCTCGACTCCCTTCCCTGGCGGTTCTTGTTGACATTTCTCATTTGCTCTGCTTGATTTGCACAGTTATACAGTTTACGAGCAAATGCATTGGTCAGAGTGAAGAAACGACAATGACTTCTGGTCTGGGATATACAGAGAGGGAGGGAGCGTATCAGAGAGTACGCTGGAGAGGAAGCGTGCAAATGTTAGACACAACAACAACATTACGGGCAAGCACAGTAGCGGCTCAGAAATTAGCACCCTTTCTGTACCACAGTGGAGTGTGTCTAATTTCCCAATAAATCAGCGTGTACTCCGAGAAAAACCACACTGAAAAGAATGATATTTCTAAGCAATAAACAGTAGCCCATAGGAGAGTTTAGGGAGACTTAAAATGCATAAGAAATAATGATCCGCAGGGCAGATTTATCGGAAATTCCATTCAGAAGTGTAACTTATCGACCACTGATTACCTCTATCAACGGAGACTCGAGTAAACAAGAGTCCATCAGTCCATTAAATGTCTCAATTTATCTGCCAGCGAGCGCTAATGATCACCGATGGCTGAATCGATGATTATACAAGAGCTAAAACCGGCTTGGAATTCCTGCATTCTGCAGTTGGGGGTTGCATTAGCATATATTGATCCACTCCTGCCTGCCATGTGGCGTGTGGCAAGTGGCAAGTGTCCGCGGCCAGGAGTGTACGTACGCCCTTTGCCCTGCCCGTCGTGCTGAGTGCATATCCCCGTGGCTCTCGCCATTAGCCACCACCTTTCTGCCTTGGCAAAAGCCAGCTTGGCCCGCCCCCGGTGTCCGTCACCATTTGCACTTGCTAAATGGTTTCATTAGTTTTAGTGGTTACTGCTGGCTTAGTCGAAGGCAGGCTGGCAGAGGTCGGTCAGGCATCGGCCCAAGTGTCAATTGTCCTGCTTCCAGGAGGGTGTAACTCGATGCTCGGCTCTCGATTCGCACATGGCACACCCACACCCCCCTGCGTGTCCACTGAGAAAAAATTAGACCGATGTGGGCCAAAGTCCTTAATATATCACAGAGAGGGCTTCCGACGATTTTCCGAGTGCAGAGACCAGAGTCTGGTCTTTCTTATTCAATTAAGTGGGATTTGGAGCAAGTGCTTCACGGAATACAAGCACATGCGAGAAGGCTGCGTTGAAGGCAAGTCCAAGCAGAATCAATAAGCTGTCGAAAGATAATTACCTTTTACCAGGCGGCTAATACGATGAATGAGGCTGGGGCTGGGGCTGCGACTGTGACTGTGACTGAGGATAGTCGTGGGAATGGGGGGGAAAGCCAGAGGAGCAGTCCCAGTCAATGTCGGAGATAATCGGGCATGGGTGTCATTCGTTTGTGATATGCCATGGCAGGAGCAGGAGCAGGCGCAGAACCAGAAGCAGGAGCATGAGCCGTTGGCCTGACCAGTTTTCCTGTCTCTAACCATGGCATAATGGGCACACACACACACACACACACACACACACACACAGACAGGAGGCTACTGGTCCCGAATCGTGCCGCATGCGATGTCGGTTGCGCCTCCCAATTGAAGCGACAGCCCATGGCGTGCGACTCTTGTTGCATGGCTTCAAACATTTCCGCTGCCAGAGCATCGTTCCCCCCATCGCTCCATTGCTCCATTTCTGTTCCCCTTCAGTAATTTAATTTTCTGCACAAATAAATAAAAATAGAGCATTAAATAATTCTTTGTTTCTTTATTTTTGGCTCTGCAGGCGCCTCCAAGGAAATTGGCACCGCCCTGACCCGGGTCTGTCTGCGCCACAAGGCAGTGGAGACCCGCTTGAAGACCTTCACCAGCGCCATTATGGACTGTCTGGTGCAGCCGCTTCAGGACAAGATCGAGGACTGGAAACGCACCGTGGCCACCATCGACAAGGACCATGCCAAAGAATACAAGCGCTGCCGGAGTGAGCTGAAGAAGCGGTCCAGCGACACGCTGCGGCTCCAGAAGAAGGCCCGCAAGGGCCAGACCGACGGCCTCCAGTCGCTGATGGACTCGCACATGCAGGACGTGACCCTGCGCCGGGCCGAGCTGGAGGAGGTGGAGAAGCGTTCGCTGCGAGCGGCCATGGTGGAGGAGCGGCTGCGCTACTGCAGCTTCGTCCACATGCTGCAGCCGGTGGTGCACGAGGAGTGCGAGGTGATGTCCGAGCTGGGACATCTGCAGGTGGGTTTTCTTTCGATTGAGTCGTGGCATAGGACGCGAGGAAGATCTAACTAATCTCTGGCGCTTGCAGGAGGCCATGCAGTCCATTGCTCTGGTCACCAAGGAGCCCAGTGTCCTGCCGCAGGCCTCCGAGGAGCTCATCCACGATGCCAAGGCCAGCATCAATCTCTATCCGGAGTCGCCGGGCGGCGGATCCGGCTCCCAGGGCGGCGGCTGCTCCAACTCTCTGGGATCCAGGAAGAGCTCTGTCTGCTCCATCAGCAGCATGAACAGCAGCGGCTCCAGCAACTCTCCGGGCCATCATCACTATCCGCGCTCCCTGTCGCAGGTGAAGTCCTCAGTCTCAGCCTCAGCCTCCACCTCCGCCCACCTCCACCCACATCCGAAATTGTTGCGTCCTTCATTTCCTTGGTTTTCATCAACGTTCTTTTGTGTTTCGTTTTCGTTTCCGTTTCCTTTAGTTTGTAACGCCCGCAATTCGCTTGAAACCTGGTGAATCCAGTGATAGTGGCTTTTGCTCATCGCCAGCTCTAACAACACAGGTTTTCATTTCTTTATTCTTATTTTGTTGTTTCTCTTCCGTTCGACTTGACCAAATTCGAAGTCCGATGTGTTTTCGTCTGTCCCCCAAGATATCCCACCCGGCTTTGCTAACCGATTTCCACTCGACTTTCAACCCCCGCTTAGGTCTCGAACGCAACGAACCAGACGGCAAATGTGTCGACATGGCCGCCACATTCCCAGGACGTGGTGGACACCCTCCCGCCCACGGCCGACCGACCGCACACCATTTCCACGGCATACGAGAAGGGTCACCAGCGCCCGCCACTGACTGTGTACACGTTCCAGAACCCAGAGACCATCCACGAGTCCGGGAGCGGCAACGGGATCAACAATGGGTCGGTGGCCCCCTCCAACGGACAGCCATCGTCGGGCCAGACCACACCGGCCACCCAGAAGTCTCCGGCCGCATCGCTCAGTCGTCCGCCTCTGCCAGTCGTAAGTATGGAGGGGTCCAGGGACTGCGAGTCGAGATCCCGTCCAGTTTTTGTCCGCCATAGAAACAGAGGGTTAGGGGAAAATCCGCCTTGATTGGAGGCACGGCACAAACGGTGTCCGCCCGTAGAGTCCACCTCCGCCTGGTGGAGTGACAACCCAGTAGCGGGATGCAGCGTCTCCGCCAGGTACAGCAGGTAGTCGGTGGCATCGACTAGAGCCTTCTTTACATGCTATTAAGTGTTTTTCTCATTCTGTTGGGGGACCACCGCCCGTAGAAGCCGGCCCATGTGGTGAGTACACGGAGAGCTCGAAGGAGAACCCATCGTAGAACCCAAATGCGCGCTCATTTGCATGCGCCTCCCCGCACCCCCTAGCCAGAATACTCAGAACCCAGACTCCCGTGTCGCTTCATTTTGGAATAAACCATCGAATGTCCTAAGCGACAGCTATGGCTCTGGGCGAAAACTAACCGTTTCCCCGTCCTCCCCCTTGCAGCGCTGCTCGTCGCTGGAGCGTCCGCTGTCGGCGCAGAGCAACCACCGTCAGGGCAGTGGAAGCGGCGGCCTGCTGCAGCGTCAGTGCCCCTCACCGATACCGGCTCATATCACGAAAGGTAAGGGATCCTGTTACCAGTACCAGTCCCAGTCCTAGTCTCTCTCTCTCCCTGTCGCTGTTTGTGTGTGTGTTAGTTGCACGCTTGCCAATGGCCATAATCCCAAGATTCTTACTAATAAAACCGTGTTGTGACACTCTCTCCCCACTCCCACCACGCATGTCCTTGCTAACTTCATCTGCAACATCCACCGCCAACGTAACCGTAAACACAACCACCACCACCACCAACAGAGCTGTCCGCAGCACATCATGCACAGCAGCAGCAGCAGCTCCAGCAGCAGCAGAGTCCGCCCACATACGTTAACATGTCCGAACTGGCCAACATGGCGGCCTTGAAGCTCACTAACCACCACCAGCAGCAGCAACAGCAGCAGCAGCAGCAGCAGCAGCAGAAGCCCACGCCACCGCCTCTGCAGCAGCAGAGCTCCATTGATTCGATCTGCTCGCAGCATTCCAACGACTCCTCGGGCTCCCATCAGCTTCTACAGCAGCAGCAGCAGCAGCAAGCGCCTCACGCTGCCCAGCACCATGCCACACGCTCCCATTCCATATCCTCGACGGCCTCGTCGCTGCACTCGCATCCATCGATCGACTCGACGGTCGCTTGCGGCTCCCTCGTGGGCCAGCACACCCACAGCACCAGCACCAACACGAACACCACCTCGCCGTCCAGTGGCAGCTCCACGCCCCAGAACCATTACTCGCCCCTGTTAACCAACTCACCCACGTCCACTGCCGCAGGTACGCCCAGTGGAAGCAGCATCAGCACGGGCACGGGTACCGGCGCCGGACTGGGATTCGTCTACCAGGTCAGCTCGCCCACGCCGCCGACGAGCGAGGTGCAGGTGCAGGTGCTCAAGATCACCGAGCAGGCGGGATCGCAGCCGCCGGCCAGTGCCGAGGACACGGACGAACGGTCGCGTGCCTCTGTCCTGCAGAAGGCCTCCATGTTCGAGAAGCAGGCGGCAGCCGTAGCAGCAGCGGCCGGTAGTGTGTCGCCTCCTGTTCCGGCCACGGGTCCATCCCCTGCAGCAGCCGCCCCCAGTGCAGGGGGACCGAAGCGGTCCGAGGCCGAGCAGCAGGAAATGGGTAAGTTGAATCACTGGTCATCTCCACCCAGCACTTCAGAGCACTCCGGTGTACCCCGTATCCTCACTCGATCCTGACCCCCTCCTCCTCCTATCCGATATGTAGTCCTGGCAATTTGTTCTTTTTGTTGATCTCCCCGTTAAGAATATTACTATAGAAGCCACATCGAACCGTGAATATTTTTTTTAACCCAACCTTTTTTTCTTTATTTCTATGTTTTTCCCTCCCGTCCACACCCTCTCTCTCTCTCTCTCCCTCTCTCTCTCTTCTCTTCATATTATCCACCATATCCGAAACGAAAACAAAAAATCATCATCTGTAAATGAACCACATAATGCACCACAAACAATATTCAACCAACAAATGAAACCACCAACGAACACCACCACCAAAAACCAACAACAACCAACCAACAAATGAATACAAAATAATATAATATATAGACAAATCTTTCGAAGACTCAATCAAAGCATTAAATAATTTAATTGGCGAACTAGACTCGTTTCAACGTGAGATTGATGAGGGCAAGGGCAAGCAGAACAGCAACAGCAACAGCAGCAACAACAACCTGACAACGAGTAGCAGCAGCAGCGAGAACAACAACCTGCCCGCCGCCTGCATCGGCAGCACCGCCAGCACCACCAACATCGATTTGTGCGGCATCAGCAACCAGACCAACTCCAGCGGTTGCGGCACGGACATGTCGGACACCACCTCCGAGGAGCTGGCCGGAGAAGAGGGGGGCCACCTGATGGACCCCACGCTGGCGGAGGCCAGGCGGCGAGAACGAGAGCTTCTGGGCGCCAGCGATTCGGAGCTGAGTCGCTGCTATGTGAGCGAGACGAGTTCGCTGACCGGCGGCCTGACAGCGGGCGGCTACGAGAACCCCACGTTCGCCCACTTTGTGGCGAGTGCGAGCCGCGACGACCCCTACAACGGGGGGTCGGGCAGCGAGGGGCGCTCCCTATATGCGCCCGCCTCCGTGTCCGTGTCCGCGGACAGCATCTCGCTGGCCGCCTCCGACAGCATCTGCCTGTCGGGGCAGCCGCGGCACGCCTACGTGGACACCTGCAGCGACAGCGGCAGCGCCGTCGTGGTGATCTACGACCACCAGATCCCCAACACCCCGGACATTGAGTTCGTCAAGCAGAACTCGGAGATAGTCCTGCTGCGCACCAAGGACCCCCAGGTGCAGTCGCAGCTGCAGCTCCACGAGATGCGCGAGCTGCAGCAGCTGCCCTCGAATCTAGTCGGATCCCCGGACTCGCCGGACTCGGGCAGTGGCAAGGCGCCCCCGCCGGCAACAGCAACTGTGGCGCCCGCCAAGCAGCGACTCTCCTCGTTTCGCGCCTCCAGCGAGCAGCAGCTGCAGCTGCTCGGACGCGGCAGTCCGCAAAGAGGTAAAGCAAACCACGTCGATCAGCCGCCCCAGCAGCAGCAGCCGGCACAAGGGACAGTCAGTGATAACGGTAGCCTCCCAGTAGAGCCTCCTGTGATGCGGCGACAGCTGCCCCCAAAGCCCACCAGCCTCTCCCTGAGCCTTTTCAATGGTACAGGTACAGGTACGGGGTCGGGGTCGGGTTCGGGTACGGGTTCGAATCAGCCTCCCAGTGTGGCCGACAAGCCATTGATACCCCGAAAGTCAGACTTTAAGGCCGACTTAGATGCCAAAATACGCAGGCAGAAGCAGAAGGTTCAACAGCAATTACAGCAGCAGCAACAGCAACAGCAGAAGCAGCAACAAACGCCACAGCAGCCACTGCAACATCAGCAGCAGCAACAACAACACTCACCACAGTCGCACCAAACCAGAAACTGTAATGTCACTAATGGCCCAGCAGCAGCCGTTGTTATTGCATCCGCATCAGATCCAATCTTAAGCCCGCATCCATACCAAAACCAAAACCACAACCAAAATCATAGAATGCCAAGCCAAAATCAGACAACAGCAACATCCAATCATAAGCAATACCAGACGCCCCAAGCAGCTGCGACAGCAACATCAAAAACATCAGCATCTCCTCCATCTGCAACAATAGCTAACCCAGCATTATCATCATTGTCACCTCGCGGCGGTCTGCCACAGCCATCATCATCATCGTCATCGTCATCGTCATCGTCATCATTACCATCATCTGCATCTGCATCCACAAACTCCACATCGACAAACGCTCTTGCTCCGTTGCCCGTTGCCACTGCCACTGCCCCCTGCAGACCACCACCATCAGCGCCACCACCCGCCCATCCATATGTGTGCTCCTCGAATGCCGCCAACCCCCAAGCCAACCATCAAGCCAATACGAATACGAATTCCACTGCCAATGCCAATGCCAGTCTCAAGCCAGGCATTACGCCCAGGCCGGCCTCGTTGTCGGGTTCGTTTCGATTTGATTTTTGATTTTTTATTTTGATTTTGATTTAATCTATTTGGTTATTGATTTTCTGCGTTTCTTCTAAGCAAAACTTGGTTCTTCAATTGCTTCTTACTCTGGCTTTGGGTTCTAATTGTTGTTTCTTGGGCTCTCTCTCTCCTAACTTTATTTGATTTGCTTCATTCATTTGGCCACGATTTTGTGTGCCCTAACCCTGTTCGTAAATGGAATTGGCTTACCGTACACCGATCATATCATCACTCCACCTGCACACAGCTCAAATAACCTCCAAGTAAACTGCACGCTACTCCGCCACTAACTGCCAACTGCTTGAACATTAATCAGATAATCAGGCATTGTCTCTGTCTGACAGATAGAACTAGCCTCAAACATGGAATGGCTCATGAATGGCTTCATGGTGCATCTTACCGCGGCTTTTAGCGCTTTGGGGATCATCAGATCAATCTCTTTCTCGCTCTCTCTCTCGTATTTGGGTCTCTTTCATCCTAAACAGATGTGGATCGATCGATCGATCGATCCGCAGCGCTTTCACTGGTGCTCTCTCGTATTAGATGGTGTCCTGTGTTGTGTGTGCCAAGTGTATAAATCGATTACTGTACATATAATAATACCTGTAACTGTAATTAACAGCAAGAAGCTAATGAATATTTCCGAAGTGATGCGATTCTATAGCTAATGGAACTCTTTAACCATCCACAGGAGGAGCAGGAGGAGCATTAGGAGGAGCAGGTGGCTCAACGCGGATCGCACGTCGTTCGTCCATCAATCAGGCCAAGCCACCGCCGCCAGTGCGACGCAGCTCCTCGGTGACACCCAGTCCCAATGCTTCGGTGGGGGTAAGTGTGCTTACCGACCGGGCTCCGACCGGCGCTTAGATTAATGGCTCTCAAATTAATTAAGTTAGACTAAGTTCGGGCCAAGTTAGCCGTTTAAGCCTAGAAACTTTCTAGACACTCTACACACGAGAGTTGTTTCTTGTTTTTTTTGCTTTTATTATTTTATTTATGATTTAATTATGCAACAACAGCACGCGACGCATCTGCAGCTGCAACATAACACGCCGCTAAGCAGCTCCAGCGAGCATCTACCACCGCCGCCAGCCTTTATGCTGGAGTCCATGTCCAGCGCTTCTCCAGTGGCCATGCCGAGCTCCGCTCTTAAGGTGTCGGAGACGGTGCGAGCCCTGGCAGCCATGCGGCATCAGCCGGCATCGCCTGGTACGCTAAGACGTATACAGCAGCAGCAGCAGCAACAACACCAGCAACAACCACAGCAACAACAATATCAACCCCCACTGCAGGTGTGTGCACGAGTCTTCCGAGCCTGGAACCGACGCTCTTAGAGATCGACTTGCTTAACTTATAATTTCTTTTCATTTCAATTTGCATTTGCCCTGCCCTGTCGAACCACACCCCACACACCTCTCGTACTCGTACAAAAGTCAGTGCACAACTCCCCCATGAACGACGACCCGAGCTATGAGGCCTACTATGACTCCTATATGGATCTGCAGGCCTATGCTCATGCCTTGGCCAATGGCCAACAGCAGCAGCCGGGCCAGCAGATGCCACCACCCCTGCCACCGCCCAACCAGCAACGCTTTAATCATCAACAGCAACAGCAGCAATATCATCCACAGCAATGCTATCCACAGCAGCAACAGCAGCAGCAACATGTGGCACAAAAGCCGCCAACGCCACCTGTCTACCACGCCCCACCAGCACCACCGCCTACAGCGGATGCCGTAAGTGACCCAAAGAGTCGGAGGCGATTCGATGGGCGTGTCGATGTCTACTAACCAACGACTAACCAACAAAGGCCGCAGCGACACATCCTGGAGAATGCTCGACTAATCTAACATTCATACTTGCATATCTAGAGCTAGTGCTAGAGCTAGTGCTAGTCCCTCTGCCCCATCCAGCTTAGTTGTAATGCGATATAGATTAGCGTACTCATCTACCACTTAGCTTTCGCTGTGCTTTTGGCTAACTTTTAATTTGTGCCTTTTGTTTTACTCTTTTTTCTTCTCATGCCACACACGAACACCGAACACCGAACATATAACGCATATGCACAGACGTTCCGCACCTCGTCACCGGCCGCAGGCGGAGGAGGCGGTGGGGGCATCTATGCCCAACCCAAGCTGGTCAACAGCATGTCCAGCTTCCGCACCAGCAGCCCAAGTCCCAATGGGCATGGGCATGGGCATGCGCACCCACTGCCACCGACACAGCCCAAGGCGAATCCGAATCTAATTGCACAGCTGAATGCACGACTCAACAGCAAGCAGCAGCAGCAGCACCATCAACAGCAGCATGCTTCCGACGGCATCTACGGCAACCAGCAGCAACTTGGAGGCGAGTCGATCTACACGCGGAGCGGCCTGTCCATGTCCCAGCCGCAACAGCAGCAACACTATGACGGTAAATCTGAGCACCAACAGCCACTGCAACAACAGCAGCAGCATAGAATTTACGCTAGTTTCGGCACCTCGTCATCAACTCCATCAACAGCGGCCGCATTGGCCAGCAGCATTCAGGCAGCATCCATTCTAACACCGGCCACCTCATTCAATGCACTGCCACACTTTCCTCTGTCTTCATCCACATCATCGTTGCTCTCCAAAGTCAGTTCATTCTCAAACTCATCATCCGCCTCCCCATCAGCATCAGCATCAGCGGCGGCAGTGGCGTCGGCCAACTCCGCCAACAGTTCGCACTATCAGCCGCCTCAAGCGCCGATGGCAGCCGCAGCTAGCAGTAAAGATTTGGGCAACTATTCAAGTTCGTTTAACAAAAATTCAGCAGCTGCCCCAATCTTGAGCATGCGACAGGCTCAGCAGCAGCAGCAGCAGTACCAACATCTGCAGCAGCAGCATTACACGTGCCCGCCTCCACTGGAGGATCCGCCACCGCCACCCATTTACAGTGCCGGAGCATCGGCCACGATGCCCAAGAAGATGGCACGCCCCCATGCTGGCCAGAGTGCGGCCTCTCAGTTGAGTGCCTATGCAGCAGGTTCGGCCACGGCTACGCTCCCAAAAAACATGATGCAGCAGCAGCAACGTTTACAGCAGCAGCTCCAACAGCAGCAGCAGCAGCAGCAGCAGCATCAGCAATACCAACAGCCGGCAGGCATGGGCAATGGCAATGGCCATGTAAATCAGCGTCCACAGTTGCCTCTTCCCCAGCAGCAGATGCAGCAACAGCAGAAACTGAGAGCAGCTCAACAGCAACATTTGGCGGAACAGCAGCAGCAGCAACAGCAGCGCCAGCCACCCATACCGTCGCGGCACTCGAGTGTACAGCAAAAGATATTCGTGTCAACGAATCCATTCATACAAACGACGACCGTCAAGTTCCATTCGCCCTCAGCCTCGCCCACTTGCGGCTCGCCCGTAACTGGATCTGGGTCTGTATCCTCGGCTAGTATTTATGCCACAACGGCGCGTGGCAATCACCACCATCAGCAGCAGCACCAGCAGCAAATACATCATCCACAACAGCAGCAGCATCAACAGCAACAGCATTATTATCGCGAGGTTGCTGGGGGCAACAGCAATGGCGGCGCTGCTTACTACAACCACAATAACGCCCATGGCCATGGCCACGCGAATGCGAACGCCCATGCCAATGTCCATGCCCACGCCCACATGTCCCATGCCCAGGCACATCATCCAAGTAAGAACGCGAGCCGGAGTTCCATTGATTTGATTTGATTTGACTTGATTTCAATGAATGAGCGCTGCTCTATATATTTGTGTTATGTTTGCTGATTTCGCTCCTCTCCTACATGGCATTGGAAAAATTATATTTTGTTTGCGAAAATGTTTTTTATTTCTAAGTTACTCGTACTTTTAGCGCATGCTGCCTCTATTTTGCATTATTTTGGTTTCTTTGCGTTTGAGTTTGAGTTTGAGTTTGGGTTTTGGGTTATGGGAAAGTGTTGCCCATTAACCTGATTGCGTTTGTGTCAAGTGCGCCTCGGAAAATGTTGGACAAACAGTAGATTGCAGGGAGATGGGGAGATTCCCTCAGTCTCTCGCTCAGAAAGCAACTTTCATATCAACTTTCCTAATCATCAATCATCACTTTGTCAACCAGCACTTTCAGGCAGAATGTTGAACAGCAATTTATGAGTTTTATTTTGCATTTTGGATTCACCATTTTAAATTTAACTCTTAAATCTTAAATCCTAACCACTTTTTCCACACTCCTCGAACCCATCCGGCCCACTCACTGATCGATCATCTTTGCTTACGATTTTCTTTTTTTTGCCACAACAACTACAACAACCGCAACGCATATTCATAGACTACGCCACAAGCACAAATATCGAAAAGACTGGCAGCATTCGAGCCAAGACCAAGGCCGAGTTCCTCGAGAATCTCAACGCGAAACTGGCCAAGCAGGGCATGTCCGGCCGCGCATTTGCCGTGCGAAATCTCATCAATAGCAAGGCCCTGGTAAGTAGTTCACAACCAAAGCATATCCACTCCAACATATAGCCAACATTCACTATGCTTTATGCCGGTGCCAAATGTTAGATGTATCAGAATCCACAAAATCTATCGCGCCCCAGTGCTCAATATCGTAGACCTCCCACCTATCCCAACACCACTACCACGACCAGCACAACCGCAACCACAACCACAGCCATTGGCACTGGCACTGGCCACTGTGATGAGCAGTGCTAAGGTATTTAGTTCGATCCTCGTTTTTCTTCTCGTTCTCTCGTTTATTGAAGTCTACTAAGCCAGCTGGCAGCTAATCCACTCAGTGCCTAGTTCTACCAATTAACCCTGCTATTTAATCTAAGCTTTGAGGTCAATAGCATTCTAATCCTATCTTTGATGGATCTTTCAGCCGGACCCTCGCATCTGTCACGAGTCGTTGATGGATCAGATAAAACGCGGAGCCCCCTTGAAACGTAACCAGAAGATCAACGATCGCAGCGCTCCTAAAATACACTAAATTAACGCATAGACCTAAGCAAAAGAATATTATTTATTACTATTATTAACATATGAAATAATCAAGAGGCCCCGAGGCCTGCTCGATTGCAGGCTATTGCAGAGTTTGGTTTGAAACTGAAAACTCGTACATACAACATTCAACCTAAACAAACACATATGATTACGGTACACTATATACAATATATAATGATATTTAACGAGCGTGTTAGGCCACACTCGCACTAATCAACAACTCTCCCGATTTCCCGTCTCCCAAAAAGCATCCAAAAAGGATTTATTCTTTCGTTAAGTGAATACGACAAAGAACATGGAAGACAGTTGGTTAGCCCATTCGTGTTTATTTATAATTCAATCTCGAATTTACCTTTAAATATTATATTATGTTTATGTATTTATCATAATTTCCTTTCTTTATGTACATACATATATCTGAAAATGATTTGAAAAACCAATTGAAACTAATCTGACGCCTAATAAATGGAATATATCTTATATACATATGTTTATTGTGTTTGTTTTGAGTTATCCCTTAACCTTATTTGTTTCCAACTGCAATGGCTTGTCGAACTGCTTGTCAATTGGGATAGGTCTGAGCATATTTAACAAAAGTTTATACAAACATATATACAATACCGAATTGTCCTAGATGTTAAACACAATGCAATATTGATATGTACTTGAAATCCCACTGCAACTTTACTGCGATTCCTCAAGGAATGCATACTCGTATACTCCTAAGAAATTGGGTACACTTCTCACATAAAAGCCAATTACTGCCAAGCGGAGAGGGGAATTTCAGAGACGAGACTAATCGTACCCCGACTTTCGCACTAGCGTAGCGCTACACATATGAACGTGTTCATATCAAAGATAGCAATACGCTACATAACATTTCCATTGGACTGAATCTTGTACTGTCATTTTAAATGCATAGCCGCGTAGACTAGAGGCCAGATTCTTACTGTAATATACATACATATATCATTTCCGTTCATATCAGTTCACAAAACATAGAACAAAATCGTCAGTTTTAAACCCAACTTATATATATTTCGGTTTTAATGAACATGTACTGCTTAACCCAAGATATACTCGTAACTAAATACATCTCCTACCCTTGACTACGAAACTTTTTTAAGCCTAAAAGCGTTCTACATACATATGCTAGCTAGTAGACTTTTTAAATATTTACAAAATATTTTGTATATACGCTTTTTAAGGCTTCACCAATGATCTGTGGACTATTGGCAAACTCGTAACCAAAAATGTGGCAATAACTAAGCTAACTAACTCCATTAGTCTAGACTCTAGAGAGCATATACAAATTTGAGGCAACCATGAGGAATCCATACGAGTACGTGCATATATATTTTTTGGCGATCGATTCTACATACATATACATATACACCACATATAAATGCATAATCACCACAGTTAATTAACATAGCAATGAGCAACAATTATTTACAATTCTAAATGTGAATCTTACAAGTAACGTGTTTTCCCTGTATCAACTGAAAATTAACAAAAGCATTAAGAGTAAAACCCAAATCCAAGTTGTAAAGCGTATTTTTCAATTCATTTGCATCTAGACATGACAAACAATAATAAAATATATGTAAACGCATTGAATGTAACGGCAATTGGTTTTATTCGGTTCTGGTTTTCCCTGTTCTGCTGAAGAACACATTCAAAGTGTTTTGATAGTAGATCTCGGCCAGCTTCTCCTTGGGCTCCTGCTTAATGCCCGCAATGGCCTCGAGAACTTGGCTGAAATGAAAAATAGTTGTAGATTGGAGCTTGCACTATGACGTATTTCGTACTCACCTGATCTGGCAGGGCTCACAGCGTCCGTCTATCAGAGATTCGGCTGTCCATTTCTCCTTCTTCTTGACGGTGGGAAACTTTGTGCTCACGTGCTTATGGCCCGCATGCGATGACCGTATTCCACACCAGGGACAGTCTGTTTCCAGCAATATGCGATCATTTGGCAGCTGCCGAACCACTTCGGCGTTTTCCTCAGTCTTCAGGGAGCAGCCATTGACCCCAATGTAGAGGCCACCGAATGCCAGAATGCTGTGTGCCTCCTCCAGAGTGCCTGTAAAGCTATGAACGACTCCGCCTCCACACTCCTTGAGTTTGTCACGATTCCGTCCCAAGATTGCCATGAAGTCCGAGTGAGCATTTCGCATGTGCAGGAAGAGCGGCAGCCTGAACTCGGCCGCCAAGCTCAGCTGTTTCTCAAAGTACAACCGCTGCGTCTCCTGGCCACAGAATTTCAGGCGATCGTAGTCCAGGCCGCATTCCCCAATGGCAAGCACCTTACTCGGATTTGACTCAATCTTTGAGCGGAGCTGGTCGTAGTAGCCCTCCGGGTCCGGCAGGAATTCATCACAGCGCGTCGGATGCGTACCAACTGTGGCGTAGAGACGCTCTAAATGGTTAAAATCTTGATCATAAGTGTTTAAGAAGGGTAATCATTGGCTTTCTACCATCTTTTGCGGTCAGTTCCAGAACCTCGTCCACATCTTTCAGGCAGCCGGCAGTAATGATGATCTTTTGCAGACCCTGCTGCCACGCACGTTTCAAAACAATGTCCAAGTCGGCCACATGCTTTTGGGAGCCACCGTAGCAGCCCTGAAACATGGGATCCGTTAGATTTGCCCCAATATCTGTGGAGCTTATGCCATTAATGTTTATATTTCTCTCAGCTTTTTCGTTTTTATATACAAACCAATAAATTTCAAAGCCATTCGAAGCATTCGTCCGACCCGTATGATAAAAACCGAACTTAGCCCACTTAAGACCCCTCTATTTAAGTAGTTCAACTACTTGAGGTAAATGGCGGAAAATATTACTGATTGTAAATTCTTCTTGAGGATTCATGCCATCTCTCCTGTGAACTTAAAAAAAACCACGATATTTTTCAGCTGAACTGCGCTAAAATGATTCAATTTTTATTATTTTTGGTGGATAATTGAAATACCCCCTTGGCTTATAATAGGTTAATCGTTCTCGTCAAGGATTGGAAACCATATTCCTCGATTTTAATATTCCGCTGAATATTACTGGCTAGATAGAACATTTAGCCATGCCCACATAATTATATCCGATTAATTAACCTATTCTCAACTTGACTGGCTTATTTTAAACACTTGCTTTTATTGCATTTTGTGAAAAAAGAGGTTTTAGCGAAATAAGTCAAACAAAAAACAAGTAGCGAAATAGGTCAATCAAAACAAACGAAAAAGGAAATTCGTTCATATTGCTTAATTTTGATATTCCATTAATTCCAGTAATGCCCACATAGTTTTATCCCATTGATGAATACATTTTCTACAAGATTGGATAGTTTTTAATCCTTGCTTTTATTGTATTTATTGTAAAAAAAGTTTTAAACGAAAAAGTTAAACAAAAAAACAGTCACTATGATGCGTGTAAGCCTTAGTATAGGTCTTTGTATACCCTATTTTGTCAATTTTATATGAAGGTATAAATATTGATATGAAGATGAAACGTAACGAATAAAGACCTTTTCTCAAATTGATATTCTTTAGACATATTCAAGTACATTATTAGTATCTTGTATATATTTATGTCGATCCTGATACCTACTGAGCCTTAGAAGACAAACGTATTCACAATTCTATAACATCCATTTCCCCCAGGGTATGTGTGCATGGAGCTAGCAACATTTGTGTATAGAATGGGACTCATTGTTGCAATAGCGAAACTGCGGCGAATCGGGTATTGCCTATATTTCAAGCTATATAGATTTGCCCACTTAGCTTTATTCCATAGATAAATGCATTTTCTACAAGATTGCTTCTTTTAATTACCTTTATGTATTTTATTTTGACCAAAAAACGGTTTTCAAGTAAATGTTGCCGCAACTTTTGTGTATGGAATGAGACTCATTGTTGCTAAAGCGAACTGGGGCGAACTGCGGCGAATTCAAATTCCTCATATTCTTTGTTCCGTTGAATAATACTATCTATATAGAACATTTAGCCATGCCCACTCAATTTTGTACGATTGATGAATCAATTCTATACATGATTGGCCTATTCGAAATACTTGCATTTATTGGATTTTTATATAAAATTGAAAATTAAATTAATAGATGACAAAAATACTAAAAAACACCACATGGGAGCGCGGCGAAAACCAGTTTCTACAGTATATACGGTCTCACTTGAAAAATATACCGAGTGGTGCGCGCCAAATCGAACTTTTTTGAATGTGAGCGACAAGGACTTAAATGTTGTCAACCGGGCCTTTATCTATGCCCACATAATATTATACGATTCATGAATAATATTTCTACTAAATACTTGCTTTTATTGTATTTTGACTAAAAACTAGCTTTAAAAAATAGCTAGTTCGGCAACAGTGACGCACATCTGGAAATTCACTGAAAAAGCATTGACGCGTGAGCAAGAGCTTTACAGTTGTGACTATAGTACGAGTATTTTTCGCCAGATGTCGTCTTAAATGTGATAGCTGTGACCTCACCTCACCTCCGTCAGAAGGCGCCACGGTAATGCGGATTTCGTTGAAATTTCAAATTCAAAGAGAAATTAATGCTAATTAAGCTACTTTAAGTCTCCTAGCAACGGGCCACGCAACTAGGATTGGCCTGAGCATTTCTCATTCGCAAAACAAGCCTACACACACGCTGCAGTGCATGGAATTGAGCCAGTTTAATGCAAAATCAATGCCACTGTAAATTGCATTCGAAATTTTGCATAATGTGAACCAATTAAGCAGCGCGCTAGAAAAGCTGTTTATTGTTCGGAGTGGTAATAGGCTACCTTCCTGGGGGCGGTTCTCTGTTCCCCATATGGATATATGCAATATGCAAATTTCAAATCATCACCAAACACGTCTGCTTTAAGCTGGAAAATGGCGGATTTATAGGCCAATGCAATTTATAATATGAATAAAATTCCATTAGTTACTTTTAATGGACACTGCGGCTGGCTGGCTTACTGTAAAGGGAGAGCGGATACGGGGTCACGGCACTACTTTTAATTGATTTAGTGGAAATTGCTTACTGTTCCATTTCCATGGCTGGCGAGCAGCCTGCTGCCTGCTGCTGCTGCTACTGTTGCTCTTAGTCCACCGGACACAGAATGCGGAATGAAATTTATTATGCAATGAAATCAAACACTACAGACCGGGGCGCATTGGGACGTATTGTGGTTTATTTTAACGGGCTAATACAATTGTCAATAATTCAATTTGAATTGAAATTCAATTAGTCTACAAGTACATGACAGTGATACACATATGTACGCACACCTAGAAAGTTATTTTGGTTTTTTGTTTTATGCTTTTAACTATTTTTAGGTTACAGTATTTTTGGATTTAGTGGTGGTAAGTAGAGCGACTCCCATTTGGGCTTAACTTTAATTGGTAGAACAATCGAATTACGTAGACAAAAATACATATGTGTGTGTGTATTTCAAAATTGGATAAGTGGTTTAGCCAGCTGATGTACATATGTACTGATATACTGATATACGGTGTACGGTGAAATCTTAAAGAAATGCCGGCTCTCCCATGTGTTCCCACTAGTCGCTGATATATATATATATATATATATATGTAAACGTATTGTATGTATGTTTGTATGTAGGTTACAGTTGGTTGATAAGAGATCGAGCGCCAGTGAGGGCTCTTAAGATTTGTTTCATTTAACTACACGCAGTAACAATGTATAAACCGTATTACATATAAAACAAACTCCGCTGCACATTGTATTCTTATACATATTATATATAACTAAATAACTCGTGGCTTGGCCATAGCCTGGACCGAAATGAACTAAGAAATTAAAATAAATCTCTATTTAAACTACTGAACAAATCAACCTTTCTGCACAGTTATATTATACTCTGTACATACATATGTACATATGTATATACTGGTATGTATGTATGTTATGTATTCTACAATATACCATCACAATTCACTTTGCATCTGCTTTTATTCTTTTCATTTACAAATCCATTAGTTATCTCCTGCCATGCTCTGTACCATCTAACAGTTTATTCCGTAGTCTTTCAAATAAATCTTATTGAATAAGTAATTCAGAGAGACAGACAGAAAGAGAGAGAGAGAGAGACAACACAAAGAGTTTCTTATCACATGCACCCACAGCACACATGCATTCACACCATTGCAACTGTGACTGTAACTGTAACTTGTGTGGAAATGGATAATAATTTGCATGCAACAGATTTGTCGAGTATTCTTTATCGTAAATCTCCCACAAAGCACCGAAAAATTTAACCAAAGTGTGCTTTGTGGGAACTTTGATTTTTTGGCCATTTAGCATAAGTAGTACACCCTGTATAATCCTTGATAAACATTCCTCAAAAACGCATCAAATTTATTTTACAATTACGTTTTTTGCATAGTAAATTTATGTATGTTGTACTTTCCGTAAAAGATTTTCCTACTTTTTCAGTGGTTCTTGAAAGCCAAAAGAAAATGCCACGAAATTGCTTTATGGTATTCCTTTCCCCACACTCTTTCTCGCTGTGATTTCCTTTTGGCCTTCATGTCTGATTCAAGTGGAGAGGAGCTGCTCAAATCCAAACCTCTTTACCCATCCACCACCATTGGAACATCAAGATTTTTTGAAACGCTTCAATATTGACTACAGTGTCAGCTAGATGTGCAATTAAGTTTGTGTACACTTGTAAATATGTATATTCCATTTAGAAGTAACCTTAGAGCTATGTTTAAGTTATTATACCTGCAGGTATTATGATAGCCAGCCAATGGAAAACGCATTAAACTTAGTCTTCTCCCAGAATAACAACGACTGAGCCATTAATTTCTCGTCAAAAGGAACTCTATGAACTGTACTACGATTCTTCGATGCCCCGCCAGACCTCCCCCTCTCCCGACACTGATTAAATTCAAATTCCGCGCACAAATTTCCACCTCAGGCAAGAGTGAAATTCTCAAAATTCTCTGTGGAAAATCTATATTCTTTAGTCGTATAAAAGTAATTTCAAATATAAATAAACTGGTCCCCCTAAGCAGTAGTAACCAATAAATCGAAATGGTGTGCCACTCAATTCAGTTCAAGGAATTAATAGCCCATCCTAATGCAGACCCTAAACCGATTTCCCCTGAATATTTGTAATTAACTCAGCTTAAGAGTTATTTTTCCATAGAACCATAGATGCAAAGTCCCTGACTGACAGTTTCTCTCTCTAAGTAAAACTGAGAGACATTTTGGCATAGATATCTGACAAATGGACAGCGACCATCGGACTCGACTGCTGGATGCGGTCTGGTAAATGCTACAAATGGGAATATAATCTGCACTCTTTAAATAATATTTTTCCTGAACGCATTCAGGCATGGAGTTTCATTTTGGAGTATGCCATTGTGGCACAAAATAATGCATTAGATAGCCAATATGCAAATACGTATTGCTTGCATACACTAATTATCGAGTTGTACATTTATTATCAACACATACGGGTTACAGGGATACTGGGTGACTGGGTGACTGGGTTACTGGGTTACTGGTTTGTTTGCCTTTGAGCAAGTTTGGGTTTCACGAATTTAATGCCGTAAACACGTTATCAACTCATTACATCGAACAAAAATATTCGCGCCCTTTGTTTATGCAGACTAATTAACTGCAATCCACTATTAATAATACATATTGTGTGGCCACATAATCCATAATTTAATTATGCCCCCGACGCCTTGAATATTTACTGCAAATTGCAGTCATCGGATGCGTTGTTGATTTGCTGTTTGGTCTTGCGGGAGGCGCGGCGGATGAGGGACCTGAAATGGTAATGAATATGGATATTGGGCGATAAGAGACACGGGGCACGCAGAATGCAGGCTCCTGGGGCACTCACCTGGAACGCGGCTTCAGCTTCGCTTCGGCACTGGTGCTGGCCACATCCACCGCATCGACGAGGCTGGAGGGCTTCTTGTCGCCGCTGCCCCCAGCCGCGCCCAAAGCCGGACTGTTCATGCGGTTTTTGTCTGTAACGGAATTTAATATTTGCTAATTAGAAAATTTCCTGTTCGTTTCGCCACAAAGGGAATGCTGCAGTTTGTAATCCAATTTCCCGAATGCGGTAACGCGTGGCCCTTGTCCCGTGGCGCGTGTGACGGTTGCTGGAGCAACTGCAGCTGCCACATGGCTGAGGAACCCATTCAAGTATGCACTGCTGCCGCAGAAGGCTGGCATAATTAACTTGAGTAGGAAACAGGGGCACCACACTCGAGAAACTTCCACGCAATTCATGTGCTTCTCGAAATGAGTTTTTCGCAGTCGGTTGCACAGATGGAACGAGTATGGAGATAAGACCGATGCAAGACCCTTTTGGCATTTTCCTCTTATCACAACTCAGCTCCGGAAAGGTGCTCGAACTGGTTGCAACAACCATTTACCCATTCGAGTCGACTAAGCCACGCCAATGAAGTTATTAACTTCCGACTAATCCCCAATCAACCTGCCATTACCAATCCGAAGGTATTCAATTTAAGCAAAAGGTGTTTGCTTGTTGGCTGAGCTGCTGCCCTTTGTGAGCCAGTCAAGCGTCCAATAAAGCCCAAGACAAACAAAGGACTTACAACGGACTGCGACGAACCGAGGTGTGAATCATGGAAACCATAACGAAGGCACCCACAAAACTGGACTGGAGTCGACTCAAATTAGTTATAGCAGTTTAAAGCCTATTAAGCCGTCTGAGTCTATCTCTGGCTAAATGATCCGTGCAAATGGAATTATTGAACTCGTCAGCAGTTGATTGTCTGTGTGCCAGAATGTTGCACGACCAGAGTACTTCTCTGTGGCGACTGTCACCAGCAACCCCATTGTTGTCAGAAAAAAAGCGCGAAAATAAGAAAAAAAAAAAATGAAAAGGACAATAGATGCCGCTGAAGCGCAGAGCGCGAGAGAAGAGCGGCCCCCACTGCTGCCAAAGGGATAGTAAATACCGACTAAGCGATGCTCTCTAACCCTGCGCAACCCCCAGCAGACTTTCAGTCAGGCAGAGCTCGCTGCAAAACCTAGGTTTTGATGCCGGAGCGGCATCATAAAAATACTGCCATCCCAGCACGAAAGCAAACACATACGCGTATCGTATGTGCTGGGGTGGAAACGGATGGATGTGGGTCTGGGCTTGGGGCTCGTTTTTGTAGATATGAATTGTGCATATGCGGCGGGAATTGATGCGTATGCCGTGTAACAGAAATTTAAATTAAATTTGTTTTATTTTCCCCTGTTTCGTGTGGGTTTTCATCAGACGGCGGCTACAAGCCTCGGAGCTGCGTGGCTACAAATGAAAGAAAACACAAAACATTTGTGTGCTCCACTGCTCCAATGCTCCAATGCTCCAATTTTCCCCTTGCTCTTGTGCGACTAAATGGATTTGGCCATATAAAATGGGTTTATACGAGTGAGATTGCAGGCCTAGCTGCTCGATGGGCAGGGTATCGGGAAGTTTGAGCTTTAACTGGCAACAAATTCAACGCATAAACGTGGCGCAGGACGTATCTCGCATTTGAAGTATATTAAGAAACTCTCACAATTGAGTTTAGCCCGGGGCTGGCAGGCAGGCTGCTTGCGGTGCCACCCGAAACCTCCTCAACGACCCAGTGTAATGGAGGGGCTGGGGAAGCCGCTTTCTAGCCGCAGCATGTGTATATGTATGTATGTGGCCTGCAGCCTTGGCTTTGTCTCATGGTTTCAGCTTACGCGCGAGGCCATTTTGATGTCCTCACTCAAGCACACATACACCGACACTTCTGAGCTGTAAGCACGTGTCCTGGCACACTGAAACACTCACAGAGACATAAACAATGCCAGCCGCAAAATGGCAGCGCCGCAAATGAAATTTCTCTGATTTGTTTTTGCATATGCCGCGTTGTACTTTTTAAGGCAATTACTCGACTGTGGCAAGACCCACTCCTAGCGACAGTCTCGGCGCCTTGACTCCTCAAGTGATTAAGTGCTTAGACCCATTTTTGGTGGTACATACAGGTCCGCTCTGAGGGCTGGGCTGTCCGTTGAACTGCCAGAGGAGTACGAGGGCTCCTGCCACTCGACCTTTGCCATTCCGACCACAATTGTCGCCGTGTCTTGACTGCCTGTCATCGACAGTTGTGGCTCTTTGCACCAAATATTTGACAACATTTTTGGCCAGCATTTAATATGTTTTGTGGACACACGCAGAGAGAGAGAGAGAGAGAGAGAGAGAGAGAGAGAGAGAGGGGGGCGATAAAGAGTGAGTGAGCACATGAACATGGCTGCTTTTTGTTTCGCATTTAAATTTAAATTTGCTGGAATGTATGGGCTAGAATCTTCACTCCGAGGCGTATGCCAGCGGCCAACTTTGCTCTTAATTTGAATGACTGAACTGAATGGAATGGAATGGAAAGGAACAAGCTAGAATATGTTTAAAGGGAGAAACATGGTTTTGGGGCAACTAAAAATGTTATCAAAAGTCCTCCAGGCAAACAGTTCAATTATTGGCAGCAATGTAGAGAGCCGGAAGTGGGGGGGGGGGGGGGGGGGGGGCTTTGAACGGCAGCTCGTAATGATTCAACAACTTTTTTCTAGAGCGGAAATTAAATTAATTATTTGCCTGGCCTCTAATGTGGTGAGGGGGAAGGAAGGAGTCAGCGGCAACATTTTGGGGAAACATTAATTAACTAGATATTTATACTTTGCGGATCCAAAATTGAAAACTTCTTGAGGCGCGTCCCCGTCCCCATCCCCCATCGGCCGACGTCTGCTGTTCTTTCTGTTTTCTGTTTCACATGCCGCGCGCCAAGTTTGTAATGAGATAATAAAGCATTCCATAATGGGGTAATTAGAAGGTCAAGCTCTTTAATTAATACACGTGCTTGGCCCTCGAACATTTTGATCAAATTCGGGACTGGGCCGTCGAGAAAGTGATTCCCTTCCACAAACAGAATGATGTCTTCCCTTGTCTCGGGCTGGTGTTTCGTTGCTTCTGTTTTCTGATTGGACCTCCTTTATGTCGCCCGATGAATAATGAAAAAGAGTTTGTCTTTGTCAATTGTATGGTATGGGGGTGGGATGGGAGCTGGATGGCGATGGCGATGGCGATGGCGATAGCCTGATCCATTTTGGCTGCCGAATCTCCACATTTAATTAGGGTCCTGCAATTGTGCGAGTAGCAGCCCTGCTAATTGCGTTCAATTAGCCAAATTGGCACAAATGTAGCAATGTTTAAAGAGAGCCCATTAATTGGCACCCGATTTTGGTTCGGCCTGTACCGTGCTGTGTGATTTAAAATGAATAAATTAATAAATGTCCTTCAATAATTGATTAAGCCGGACGGCCACTGGGTCCTAGTCATGGCCATAAGCCCCAGATTAATTACACCGTTGACCTGCCAGAGACGTGGGCTAATTATTGCATTTATGGGAAGGCGCTTAAAGCTCGGAATAATGTTGTAATTGGACTTGGAAGTGGCACGCTCCGCTCAAAGCTCGACTGAAGGACCCATGGAAGGCCGGAATTGGCCGCCGTCTGCGAACTGTGAATAGTGTGACACAGCAAACTTTCAATCATAGCCGGCGAATATGAATGTGTAATTGATATTTGAAACTGCCAAAGCCAAAGCAGCGGGAATGCTGCAAACACTGGCGATGGTCCATGGCCATGACCATTCTATAAGGTCCCGCCCCGATCGCCCCATACTTACTGCGACTGGACGAGGCACTGACGTAGGCGGAGGAGCGGCGCTTGAATCCGCTGGGCGCCGCCTCGCCGGCCACCCCGCCGCCGGACCCGCTGCTGCTGCTGCTGGTGGGCAGGAAGCGGGACAGGGAAAGCAAGGACTTGAACAGATCGGTCACGTTGCTGTCCTCTTTCGCTGAGCACTCGAGGACCTTGGCCCTGCAATGGAAAAAAAGCCAAAAATTGTTTGTTAGTGGATACTTTTGGGAGCTCTGTATACGGATACGTAAACGTAGACGTAATGAATACATCCGAAACTTCGGACAAGCGAAAATAAAGCGAGCAATATGTAAATTCCGAAAAAACAAACAGCAAACAACAGCAACAATATTGTATGTTCGATGCATAGCATTCAGTGTTTTTGTGCGCCGCAACAATGTGGAACATGGGGCAAGTGGCATGTGACAGGGGTCTCAACGCCAACGACCCGAGGGCAGGAACAGTAACAGTGGCAGGGGCAGGGGCAGTGGCAATAGTGGCTAATGGCTGAATTGAGCATGTCATGGTTTCGCTGCAACTTGCGGCCACCAAACCGATTCGCTGTGCCGACAAGCTGCGGCAAGGCCGGAGACGAGGAAGAGGCACGGTTGCCATGCCCGCACATACATATTGATATGTGTATCTATCAATATGGCCAAGTAAACAGGTAACATCTGCACTGAAAACTTTTGAAATATGCGACAAATTTCGATGCTTCAAAAATACTTTTCTGAGAATTTAATTTCGTTAAATATTTATGTATCTACTACCTGTGGAAAGTGGCTTTGGGACACAATTTAAAACCTTTATGGCTCACTCAACAGCAAAAAAGAATTAATATTTATGTATTTAATCCACAGATTTTCATTTAATTGCCATGGTCGAGTGGGCAACACAAGCATATAGATGCCGGAATTGTTAATGCCATAAACTGCCACGGCAGTAAATCAAAGTAAAAGTGTTGGCCACATAGCCGCAGTAATGTTTTTTCATATTACTAGAATAAACATGGCCAGAGAAATGCGCATGACTTTGCAATTAAATGCTGTATAAACACAATGCTCCACCTTTGACAAAGCAAACCAATTACCCGTGAGTATGCATGTACACAGTTTCTATAGTTGCATACCTATGTATATTTATCTATATTCAGTCAGGCTGATAAATGCACTTGGAGTGGCGTACTCTCGTAGCGCTTAACCGCAGACAGAGCCGACAGACAGACAGACAGACAGACAGCCAGATGGTCAGGAAGCATCAGCAGAGCAACAAATTGCATTGCCGCTTGCTGCTGGAGAATGCTTCACAGAACATGCCACGTCAAGTCTGTGGGGCTGTGGCAGCGCAGTGGGAGTGGGAGTGGGAGTGGATGTGGGGATTGGGATGGGGATGGGGTCTGCGGTTGAGCTGTGTTGAGGTGCGAGATTGTGGCCGAGGGGTTAAGGCGCTTCTCAACCCGTCCCAGCCCGACATACCCAAAACCGCACCATCAATCTACGTAAATGTTTAATCCAGCAGGGATTTTGTATGTAATGCTAACGCGAATAGTCTGCTGGCGTGAGTACTGTGCTCTGCCGCCCGTGTCCCGTGTCCTGTGTCTCGTGTCCTGCTTCATCCTCTGCCATCTCCATTCTTCGGTTGAGTGCGCCTTCTGTGTGGTGTCTGGTGCTTTTAAATAAGTTTACGCACGCATGTTTTACCCGCAACACGAGCCGGCCTCGACACGCCTCCTCCATCCGCTGCCCCGGGACTTGGTTCAGCTTCGCTCCTCCTCCTCCTCCTCCTCCTCACCTTAAATGGAATTATGCCAAGCCCCTCCAGGGCGGTTGGCACGTATGTGATTGTAAGTGATTTTTACGAGTCCTGGTTTGCGGTTTATTAAGGTCGCAATTACAACATGAAAACTGCCTTCGGTGGAGGCAAGTGCGAAGCTCTTTCATGGGAGAGGACATGAATACCCCTTTCAGGACCAGTTGTCACGCGAGAAATGCATTAAAAGTGTTGATGTTGAAAACACAAAAGTTAATCAGGTCAGTTCCAGTAGATCGCATAGTGCCTTAAAGAGATATTCCGGCAGTATGCTGCCAATATCCCACTCCTGTCCCCTCTCTCGCAGTCGGAAAAACTATCATTGAATGCAGTTGGAAGTAACGGAAGTAAAACTTATGCATATGCATGCCATACTTGTAGGTATCAATGGGACCAGGCAATTAATGTTCTATGCGACAGCGACACCAATTGCCACCGGGCATGGCCAATTAGGAACTATTGGGTGGGAATATTTCCTGGGAAATGTTGCACGGCGAATTGCTGTTTTCGATCAGGATCTTAATCAGGTGCTGTTACTCTCTCTGTTACTGCTGGCCATGGAATGGCCAATTTTTTTGCCAACAAATGCCACTTAATGAGCACCGCAACCCCATCCTCGGACAATGCAACTGATTTCGGTGGCAAAAGGCTCCGGGAAGTGCTCGCCGACACTCCCTTTCACTGCTCTGCCTGCTGTCAAGCTCGCCGTCGCTTAATTTCATTTGTAGCAATTTAATTGCGCCGCTTGCCGTTTGCCTTCTGCAGTTTGCAGTTTCAGTTTTCCATTTGGCATTTCCCTTGCTATTTGAATGGTTTGGTTGGACGGCGTTGGGGGTTGGGGGTTGGCGGTTGGGGGGTGAAAGGGGATGTTTCGTACAATTTATGGAGCTTTTTTAATTCCACTTTGTTGCGTTACTTATGAAAATTGCAGCTGTTTTGGTGGTTGTGCGGTTTTGGGGGTTGCCCCGGCACTGGCTCTTTTGGTCCCTAATTGCTGTCGCCTGCCGCAGCTGTTGTACAATTTTATTTGGGGGGTTACGTATACTCGTATTTTGTTGAATTAATGGCTGGACTTACCTTAAGCGCGGCAGCTCGCAGAAAACCCAATCTGTCACCTCCTCCTGTTTCACCTCCCTGTGGGTGGGGGCCAGGTCGGCTTTGTTCCCGGCAATCACAATAGGAATGTCCTGCAAGGCGACAAAAAGGGAATTAGCAGAGTCGAATTAGAGAGTCGAGTACGCGTATTAGGAGCAGCTCCAATTGTACTCCAAAGTCTGGAAGCTGAAAGGCCCGGCACAAACAAAGAACCGCTCCCGCGGCTCCCGCAGGACGGGAAAAGTGCGCGATAATTGACACTCGGGAACAATGGCAGCGCGAAGCGGAAAACGGAAAGCGAATAGGAAAACAATAACAGCAACCAACTGCAGAGTTGGAGAACAAGAGCTCAGTGCGGGCGGGCCTAGTCTCTCATCTGCTGGCGCTCCGCCTCAAATGAGAGCATTTTAATTGCTTTGCGGGCTGGGGCCATCACACTGCGTATGAGAGATTTCTCTCGTACTACAGCTCTTCAGCCCGCACCGCTGATTACATCCAAAATGCAGGAGTCCATCTACACCTCCACCTCCAGCTCCACCTGCAACTTTGGATGCAACACTCACCTGGAAGTCACCGCGCTGCTCTCGGATCTCCTCGAAGCACTGCTTCACACACTGGAAGCTGGGCGCTGATGTGGCGGCATAGACGAGCATGAACGCGTGCGCCGTGGCAATGGAGAGGCGTCGCATGGCAGGGAATTGCATGTCACCGGATGTGTCCAAAATGTCCACCTGCAACGGAGGCGGAGCATGCAACATTGATGAGCAAAAATTACGTGTAATGAAATATTCCATGGCTCAAATTTGATTGCAGACCGCACCCGTACCCGCACCCGCACTCACTCCCCGTTCGGTTTCATATTTGATGAGTAAATTTTAATTGGGTTTCCCGCAATTTTATTAAAGAAAAAACTGCCATTTCATTTAACCTTGAAATTCTGTGAGGACTCTCCATTTTAAATGTAAAGAGAAGAGCGAGCCTTCTTCCATGCCTAGGACAAGGACGAGTACGCCGTGGTGGTGTCGGTGTCTGGGTGATGGTTCGTGGTTCGTGGTTCGTGCCTCGTGCCTTGTTCAATGCTCACTTGATGCCACCTAATCCCGAGTGTCGGCATCTGTTATTTTGTATAGCGTGCTGCGTGGCGTATACGCGATATGCATTGTTCCCAGCCGCAGTGTCAACAGCGTGCTAAGGCCAACGCCAAAGCCAAAGCCAAACGTTTAGCAGTGTCAGTGTCTGCTCTCCGCGGCAGCCCTCCAGCGTCCCCTGCCCTGCTGCTGCTCCCCATTCAGCCTTGGCTTCAGCTATTGTGACGCAAATTTGTAACGCATTGTTTGGCCGGAATGAGTAAACTTTATTAAAAACACTTTACGAAATGACACAATTTGGATTTTCGGCACCGATTCTCATCGTGTCCATGTGGCAGGCATTGTTCATTGTTCGGTTCGGTTCGGTTCGGTTCGGTTCGGGTCGGAGGCATCGAGTTCATAGCTGGATAGCTGCGTCATACACACTCGCTCGTACGACACAAAATTGCTTTTTAGGAGCAGAAAATCGTTTAGTGCAATGTAATGTTCCCGTTGATGGCCACACGCAGCTCCGACAATCAGTCACAGCGGGTTGCAGTTGCTTCTTGTTTCCCAACTCGAGTAGAGGCCATTAAGGAGAGCCTCGACAGCAGAAACATTAGTAGAAGCAGGAGCCAAGCAGGAGGCAAAATGTTCTAGGTAAAATTGATTTGGATGCATTTTGCCGTTGGAGATTGCATAAATCACTTTAAGCCTTACTGACAGCCCTCGAGTGGAATTCAATCTAGACACAAAGATTCAGCCCACGCCTTACCTGGCGTCCTTAAGATGGCCATTGGGCGCCAAAATGAAATTAATTAAAACGACATTTTTCTGGAAAGAGAGCCCCAGAACGAGACTTGGCGACGACGGCAACGACGACGCCACCACCAACAGTGTCGATGTCGCCTTTCAACATCAATTCTGCCAGCATCGACATCCACATCCACGCCGACTATGATGATCATAATGATGATGCTGATGACGGTGATGATGGCAACGTCACCTCCATCTTCCACCCAGCGCAGCGCCCTATCCCGTACACCTATTAATCAACTTTCTGCCCCAACTTTTCCCGGATATACCCGTACTACTCGTACTAACGCAGAGTGCTTGCGGTGTAAGACAAGTTTGAACAGCAAATAATCAGCTTAAACACTAACAAGGGAGGAGGATGAAGGAGATGTGCCATCGGAGCAGGAAGTTCCCGGCCATGACAAGGCCCCTAGAATGTGGCAGAGCCAGTGCTGTCTATTCGCACGGAAATCTCTCGATTCCCGCCATATTTGGCTATTTTTGGTTCTGTTTGGAGGGAAAGATAACTAAAGTGTCTCAAATTACACAATTCACAAAGCATATATTGTACATACATATACGAGTATTCGACATCAAAGATGTATCCAGCCATACCCCAATGCTATCGATTCTTGTAGAGTCCTGATTCCAGATCTGAACTTGAAGCAACGTTATCTACGTGTTGCAAAATTATATAAAATATCCAATATAACAGTCGAGCTTCTCTATTACGAACTTCCGTACAACGAAGTTTTCTATGTTATATTTCTAATACGAGTTTTCCGTATAACGAATTCCCCTAGCTCTGCAAAAGTTCTTGATCAGAATTTGAGGAGTGTATTTGAGTGAGTATTGGAGTGAATTTGGGTTTTAGTGTTGTTTGTAAAACATGGATTTCCCGATGGATATAATACCCGAACCTTGAAGAGTGTAGATGTATAATAGATTTGCGTGGTGGAAGGCTCCGACCCTATTATATATATTTGTATATCGCTCTCTATGTAATCTGTTTTTATTGATATATTTCCAAGTCCATCTCTCAGAGGTAGATCAACATAATTGTGAGTCCTTACGCCCCCACAAAGGACGAAAATCTGTGGCATCCACAATTTTGAAAACACGAGTAAACCGCAAACCAATCTTCCTCGTGCTGTTCTGGCGGAGGGGCGCGAGATAAAACGGTTCGTGTTGTTGTGAGAGGAGAACACAAGAGACAGATATAAAAATAGCTCATATATATGTATATATATATTTATATATATGTATGTACCAACTGAGTATTGGGTATAAATATAGAGCCGCGGTTATGGAAACAAATAAGTGTTGATTGCAATCGATTGATTGAAAGACTTTACGGGATCTTATGGTGTATTTGTATTGTATTTATTTTTTAAGTGTTTAAAGTTGTGTGTGTTTTAGTGTAAGCAATATAAAAAAACAACAACAACGCAATAAAAGGAAACAGCGAATAATATTTAACGCTACAGCATTACTGTACGGGTACGGGTGTTTTCGATTGCTGCTTTTACTGATTTTCTTGACTTTAGTATTTTATTTATATGTTTTCTATAAATTTTGGTTTTCTTATTATTATTTTACAAATATTTTATTTTACACAAAACGGACAATATAAGCATTTCGACTTCAAAATATACCAGAACGAAAGAATATATAATATACCAGGGTGACCATCCTGAAACGAGCGGAGCATTGCAAAATAAGCAGTAAGAAGTAGGTGTCTATGTGTGTGTCTATGGTGAGAGAATTGAATTTCTTTAGGGCTATTGACGGCTGCTGTTCCGCACACTAGGCTCGCCTCAAGTGCATTTAAATTAACAAGAGGTCATTCGATCAACTTGCGTTTTCCTCATAAATATACGATTATATGTACATATGTGTAATCCTACTTATTTATGCCCTCGGGCAGCAACAGAACAGGCATTGAGGAACCGTACTCAAAGCCCCAACCTCCCAGGACGGCATCCCTTCTACTCCATTAGCAAGAGACCAGGGAAACCAAGGAACGCACGTGTCTAGGCGGCTTATACTTTGCATATGGAATTTAATGCCTAGAGGTTGTGATGCTGTCTGAGATTTTTGGACAGGCTATTCTCCAGACATCCAATTAGTAGATTTCCGCCTAATTAATGTGCTTACTTGCAGCATTTCTGCCAGTTGATGGTCACTTTGATTGGCCCAATGAAGTCCGCCTCTAATTGCAGGCTTGCACTTTAACTTATCAACTTTGAGCGCAAGCGAACAATACGCGACGGAAAACAAAGGTCCTCTTCAAATGTCAGCAAGTAACTACAATGAACCCCTAGTACAGCAAGACTTTTTTCATATTTACACTAACAGCATTGTAGGGCTTTGTTCCCGGACTCGTACCCGGACCCCGACCCGGACACAGACTCACCTTTAACGTGACGCCACCCAGGTCGTACTCGCGGTTGTAGAGATCCTCGACGGTGGCGCGGTACTTGTCTGTGTAGGTTTTAAATAGGAAACGCTTTACAATGGAGCTCTTGCCCACTCCGGCCCCGCCAAGCAGCACGAGGCGTATGCGTTCCAAGTCCGCCATTTTGTCCCAGTCGCCGTCGTCGTCGTCTGTTTAGACTGTAAATCGTTTGTCGCTCAAGGAATTGGCCTCACTTGAGAGGCTCTGCTCCTGGCTCTGGTGCAAGAGGATCCTTCTTTGTCGTTTACTTTCAATGGAATGCCTTTGGCTCTGTGTACATTTGTGTGTGTTCTTTCTGCCTCAGTGCTACAGCTACAGCTACTGCTGCTTCAACATTATGTTTTATTGCTGGTGTGTTTCTGTTTCTGGAGCAGCTTGGGTTCGAACATTATGAGTCCGAGTGTGGCGTCACACTTTAGTTTGATTTCCGTTTTCCGTTTTAATGTGGATGTTCTGGCACCACTTTCCCCTCTGCTATTTCCCCAACAGCTAGAACCGTGCGGACTTCCGCTTTAGCGACTTCCGCATCCGCTCGAGGGTGGCCGCGTTGTGCTAAAAGTAAACAAAAAGCAGGAAATGTTTAGGTAAAATTTAATCTTCGGCTTATAGCCCCCCAGAGCTCCAATTCAAACTTTTCCTATTTTGAAATGCTGCCGGGAATGCTCAACAAATTGCGCAGCTCGAACCGAAAGTATCTGCGAAAGCAGCTGCATGATTGCAACCGCAATTGCAACGGCAGCCTCCACTCGTATGTAATCATAATCGGCTCACGTGCTTGCCTCGCAAATCAGATAAGCGTGTAGTGCAGGCCAAATAAACCCACATCGATACAGAAGCCAGAAGCCAGCATCCAGCCATCTGAATCATCGCAGTCCACTAGGATGCAGCGGGTGGAGTGCCTGCTGTGGATGCCCGCCCGCCGTGTGCAGGGATGGATGAAGGGCGTACTTGTACGCCATTCAGGCAGTCTAAATATAGTAGCAGATAGTGCATATGGCTTATGAAACAGCACACAGATACTACAGTCGAAGCAAAGGATACGGAAGGCCCTTTACCATGTCTATACGTGGGAGTACTCGTACTCGTACTCCTGCATGCTAAGTGCACGGAGCCAATTCAATTTTCAAGCTTTTTTCCAAGTCAATAGCAGTTTGCACCTGGGCAGCACGCCGGCTATACTTGCACAACTACACGGCAGTCTGCTCTCCATCCACCTCCACCTCCACCTCCTCTAATTGCAACATGATATAATTAGGTTTCCAGGGAAAATGCAATCTATTCCAGGCAAGTGCACATATTGCGGGGGCTTGGGGTCGGCTTGGGGCCACTGCACATAGCTGGCAAAAATTTTGATAAATACGTAACTGAATATTCAACACCTGCCAACAGATAATAACTTCAGAGTTTAGGTGCACGGCGTGCATCATGCGCTAATTACTGCAATGCTAATAAATGCACACGGGGAACTACCAAACTGCTCCCGTGCCACAGATACTTTGGCAGTATGCGCCACCAGAGGCGACAGACCAGCTCCGATTGCTGAACGTTGTTTCACTTCTGTTCGGCACGAACTCTCTCTATCCTCCGTGCCAGGTGCTCTTTACGGACAGTTGAGCCAGTTGGTAGGATATCTAATTGCTGGGTTCATTCTGGAATACTAATGAAGTGTTTATCAGCAGTCTAAGTACGATTGTAGGGTAGTTCTGATTCTGATGCAGGAAAATAACGAAGATTATTGCTCGTTTGCTTGACTCTGCCGCTTCTCTGGAAGGAACGGTGTCTATGCAAATTCACCGCCATTTTACATTGTGATGATGATAAACTTTAATGGGAAATCTGTCTGCCAGTGAAGTTTGTTGCTCCACACAACATGTTCCTTGCTTCACCCGTCTCACCGTTTTGGAAATCCCTGCGCTGCCGGCCACACAGGTGGTGAGTGCATATTCATTTGCATCGCTCTCAAAGAACCTGCGTAAAGGGGGCCAGGAATAGGCCAGGACGCTTTTTCACTGGCTAATGCGACGTGAAGCTCTCGTAGTGCGTAAGAGCTGGAGAGAAACTCTGAATGCATCGGAGTCATGATGCTAATTGCATGGAAGGGCGGGGGAATATCAATATGCGTATGCCATGGGGGACTATCTATCTTAGAATTTAATTCACTTCCAAGTGCCCCAGCAACCCGGCGAACTTTGGCGCACGCAGCAGCCCTGACAATGTTTTCCGCTACACAGAAAAATTTAATTAAATCTGCTAGGCCCACGCAGAAGTCGCAAGACAGTAGGCAACCTACGAGTACGAGTACCAGCGACATCTGTGCCTTGGCATGGGCCGGGGGCGGGACCGGGAGCGGGACTGGTGTCGGGGCCGGAGAGAACATACATAAATATATTGTAAAAGAACTGCGGGACCGGCCAAAAGTTTTCGCTTTACATTTTAAAGCACAGCGTGCTGAAGGAGCGAGCGGAACTTGAATTAATTTTTCCTGTTTTCCGCAAATGAAAACGTTCCTGCTGTTGACATTTTCTGTTGTTTCTATCTGGCACCCAAACATGTCATCAACAACTCAAAGAGCGAGGGGCCTCTGGAAACTTTTGCAGGACGTGTCTGCTCGAGCACCCGAAAACTGCAAATGTTTTCAAAAGCATCAGACAGGGAAAAATCACAGAAAAGAAAGCAGAAAATTGCTGCGTCCCTCTTTTTCTTTTTTTTTATGCTAGCTTTGTTGGAAACCAATTTATGTTTTTCCCCTTTCGATTTCTACGAATGAGTTGAGCTCTCTTTTGAGGCCAAAAGCCAAAACGGAATCACAAGCTGGAAAACACGTGAATTGAAAATAGGGAAAAGGGGTTGATTAGCTTCATGAAGGTTGGATCGGGATCAGGCCAGAGTGGTTGATGCTAGTGCTGATGCTCTTGCTGCTTTGGCATTCCCTGACAGGACGGACGGCATTTAAAATGTCATCAAAAGCACATTTGTCTGCTTCTCACACCAATGGGGCAGAACGATGCACTCAAGGAGTCAAGGATTTGTGTGCAATGGCAAGATGGAGCATGTGACATGATAACAACCCCCCGACTGACTGTAAAAACTGCTAGTATCTCTGGGGGATTAAAACGGAAAAGAGAGATATGTAGATACAGTCCGTCTGTCCGTAACTTTCCCATCTGCATCTGGACACAGTCCAGGGCACGCCAATCACTGGGGGCCAGAGAGTTTCCCAATATTTATTAGCCCCATGCCAAGCTGCCTTCAGTGGCCAATAGTTGATTAAAATGCCTCAAATGCCGCAGGCAGATCAAAACTTCTTCGAAACCGCTCTTACAAAAGCTTCCGCAGAAAAGTTTGCCAGGGCTTGGGGTCCCGAATATGTAAGTGTGTGTGTGCGTGTGCGTGTGGTGTGTGTGTGCGTGTGTGAGGTTGCGTACTTCCGCTCGATCGCACCGGAGCCATGTTGACTGCCTCTGTTGCGGATGATGGACATGCGTTAACCTTTAGCTATCCGCAGCCACACAGCGAGAAATATGTGCCACAAAGGATTGATGGCACACATTCACTTTGTGGATCGATTAGCCATAAAGAAGGGTGTTATTTCATGTTTTATCACGAAAATACCTATCATTTCTTTCTGGTTTTCTAGGAGGATATGATGGAATAGTGCTGTGAGGCTCAAAGATAACCTGAACTGTTTCTTAGCCCGAAGGGTTTTAGTTCGCTCCCTGCTTTTCTTCGAGTGAACTTAGCTTGGGCCCCATACACTTGGAAAGGCTCTGGCCGGAATGCTGTGCCCAGCAGCACTCGGACCACAACTAATTGAGATTGTTTTTAGGGGAAACTTCATTTGTTTGCAATTTGTTAATGCAAAATCCACAAAATGCAATTTATTTTGTGTTATTTTGTGCGACGAAATTGAGCCAGCCCAACAATTGGGAAACTTTATTGGGCCCAATGTCGAATTTGTAGTAAAGTATCACGTTTTATGTGTGATTACTTTCCGCATGTGTGTCTATGCCGTCGGCCGTGGGCTGTGCGTCCTGTGGCTTTGTGGTGCTTAAATCATAAAATACGCTTTTATGTTGCACACACAAACGGGCGACGCGTCATCTGCCATCTGGCATCTGGCATCAGGCATCAGGCATCAGGCGTTGGGTTGCAAAGTACGTGGTTGCAAAGGAGTTCGCCTGGCCTGCCTCCAGCTCGGAGATTTATTGCCATGGATTTGAACTGCTAATGGGGCCAAAAACGGTCGCAGCTATAAACAAATTATTTTATGAGGCTGGTGGCAATACCAATGTCGATTCTGGTCAGGCTGGCGTCCCGTCGTACAATACCCCTTTCTCTCGTCGCTCTAAGGGTCGTCGACACAGCTTCATGATTACAAAGTGGTGGCGCCAAAACGGGGCCAACAAGCGTGTTGGCCTTAAAGTGTTGATTACAGCGATGATGGCGGCTCTTTATGGCTCCGTCTAACACGCCCTCCACGCACACATGACGCCCCCAGAGGTGTGCTTGATGTTAATCTTCGTGAAACGAGCTGCTGGCTTCAAAAAGTGGATTCAACTCACGCGAGCATCTCTTGCCAACATGGATACAAACTCTCACAAGCGCAGACCCCGAGCTACACTGAGAAAAATCAACAAATCAATATAATAATCCTATTTTCTGTCCCATCCTATCCTACATTTTTGTAGTAAAATGAGTGTAAGTTTTCGAAAACGTAGTAACATCGGTTGTCTTTTTCGTCTCTTTTATCCGTTGAGTGTAGCCGGAGCACTTTCCCCGCGGTGGCTGGTCTTTAAAGCCTTATCCTCTTTCTGGTTCAATGGTGTGCGGAAAATGGGTCACTACCTGTTACACATATAAACTAATCACAGCAAATGACCGACGAGAACAGCGACCAGGGAGCTGGGTTCAAGTGAGTGTCTGCCACCTCCCCTCCTATTGCATTGCCCGGCGAATATCCTGGCGCACACCTTTTATCTGCTCGACTTAAGTGTTATTAAAAACTTTGTTGAGGTACTCGTATCTAAAAATAAGCTTTGAGGGGCGAGGTCGCGTTCTTTTGGCCGTCCGCCACTTGGGCAAACACTTTACACTTGGCGCGTTCCCAGTCCAGGGAGACAAGCGGAGTGAGTCCTCAGCGAGGACTTAATGAGCAAACTCTGCAATTGCCACAACAGCAGCCACATCGCAGCTTGCAACTAGAAACAATGGCAAGTTGGAACAAGAGTTTGATGTAGATTGGATTCGCGCCATGCGGCTAATTGGAGAGCGGAAAAAGGGCAGCAACAGGGGAAATTTCCATAATTGAGTTGGCCAAACGAGTGCTATCA